TAGTATAATTTCACCTGATGACATGGAGTGCACATCAGACCTTGAGCAAGGTCCGTGAATACCAGCAAATTAACTACGTTTATAGGGACGGCAAACAATAGGGCAGATGGCCATCAACGCGTGGCATTCTTTTAGCAATTCTTATCTGCCTGAGATTGCTTCTCCTCCCTGAGATGTAAAATGGAGAGGTCCCTGCCTATGCATAAAGGTAGAGAACTGAACATTTTCCATCAAGAACCATAAATCAACCAGTCCCGCGATCTCACTACCGGTGTCTAATTGAGCCAAATTCTCTTAAACCAGGCCCCGGTTTGAGATAGGAAACCATAGGTCCGGAGGCTCTCTGAGGCCCGCTCACTGTCTGTCTGAGTAAAATTCAGGGCTGACCCCCGTTTACAGGAATGAGGCTCGTAAGCACTAACACTCTGCGCCCGTTGGAGCAGAGCCCTTTCAGCCGGACCTGTAAACACTCCACGAGGGATTTAACTCCACGGAGAAAAGAGGGTCATCGCCAGGCTCTTCTGTTTTCTTTCCCGGTGAGCGAGGCTCCTCCACAGTACAAAAGTGTGCCACTAACCAGAGAGCCTTAGTCACCTTTTTGTGTGTATTTCTTAGAAGACAGAGAGTTAGTAACTAACAACTTCACATTTTGCACAAAACCCTGCCAAATGGCCTTCAAACAGAACTGGGCTCTGTCTTTTCCAAAGTCACTGTTTTTGTCATTTCACTTTGTGTCTGTCTAACAAGTAGACATTTAACAGATAGTTGGTGATGACATTAGAGATGAATGACCGTACCATGCCATGCGCACCAGGTGTTTGTTGTATGCCCATCGATGCCTCTGATCCTCACGACCACCCAGGGAAGTGTCTACTTGAACTGTTCCCACTTTATAGATAAGGAGACTACGTCCAAGCTAAGGTAGCCCGCTTGCTCAAGGATGCGCAGCTAAAAAGTAGAGAAGTCGTGATTTAATCCCTGGTCATCAAACTTCAGGGTCCCGTAAGGCTCCTGGCAGTGACCTTGTTCAGAAGCGTCCCCTCACAAGGGAACCAGCTCAAGCTTTTGAAATGAAGACTTGCTTGGGTGTCCCCTCTGGCTCCAGGCAGGGCTGCCAGCGTCTCCCAACTTCCTACCAAGTCTCCATTACACCCCAGGGGACCTCATCTTCTTTTACCACCCAGCCAAGGCCCATCTAGATCTTTTCCATGTGCTTAACTCATGTGCGTACGTATTGAAAACACATGTCTAAGACCCTTCGAGAAATACTTCGATCCTGGAAGTTACGAAGAGGAGTCATATACAGGGGCTGGCACAAATAATGCCCCTTTTTTATTACAAAACTTTTTATTACAAAATTATAATCATGTAATTCTGTCATAGAACAATATCCCACTCAAGCACACCATATGACATTTTAGGTGAGATGTTCAAATTAAAACTGTAAATTATTACACCTGTATTATTACCCTACCAACCATACTCAAGCAGGCTTTACTTCTGCCAGACCCTGTATTATGTAACACAGTGGAAAATGTAGAAACAGTTTTAAAAAAATAAGGGAAGAAGTGAGGAATTGGAAGATTGAGCTTAGCCGAAACGGAGGGGCACAGCCGGCAGGCCAGGCCCCCAGCGTGGCACCGACCCAAAAGCACAGATGTGACAAACGGTGTGGGTGGCTGACTGACATCGGATATGTAATTGTCTTCAAAGTACCAAATATGACTTTACACTTGAAAACTTTCTCCACAGTGTGCTGCGATTAGGAAGAGACGAGTGTCCAGAGCCTGAAATGAAGCGATTGAGTCATTCTCGGACGGCAGGGTGGCTCCGATGTTATCAGAAACACGGAGTTGGAAGGATTTAAAATGCCCACAAAATCAGGCCTGGTTAGGAATGAATCATTGCCAGGATTGTAGTCGTGGTGTTCTACCCAAGGCCCTCCAGTGGCCCCAGGAAGCAGGGCCCCTCGTGGCCAACGGAATCGAGGGGGACCCAGTGAGGGAGCTATGTGGTCACGTCTGATGATAAGAGAGTTCCACAGAGTTGAGGTCTCAGGCTGGATCTTCTTCCTCTATTTCAAATAGCAGTGAGCTCCCCCGACAGCCACAAAGGAAGGGGACAGACACTCAGGATTTCGGCAAGAGGATGGGTGTGGGGAAAGGGCGTGGTGTTTAACATATTCAGGGAGTTAGAAGATATGGGCAGCCTGGGGCTGTGGGGGGAGAATCAGAATTGCAATCAGAAGACCCAGGTTCGAGTTGTTCTTTCCCCGTCCCAGCTTTGTGACATTTGGTGTGTCCCTAACACTCTCTGGGCCTCAGTTTCCTTATCTGTAAAATGGGGGTCATAAAATTAGAACGGAAAGCTAATTGAGATAGGAAACCATGGCAGGGCTCTGTGAGCAAAAGCGATTATTGTTCCGCTCTTGACTTGCGTTTTCTGCTTTGACGTGTGGCATTTCTCCTGTTGGCTCGGCCCTGTCTCTCCTCGAATGCCCCGCGAAGAGGTCCAAGGAGCACTGTGCCAGCGGCTCATTCTGAGAGCCGGAGCCCAGGAACCTTCCCAGCTGGCCTCTTCTGATCCCTCCCTGCACTTCCCTCGGTGATGACATTAACTCTCAGGCTTTTCCCTTGGATACCGTGAGCCCCCTTAGGGGTCTGAGCTCTCCTTTGTCCTCTGAGTTTGTGCCCTGAGGCCGGAGTCAACATGCCACGTCGAGCTTGCTTCTGACTCTGCACACAGCTGGTCCCCACCGTTCCCTGCCCAGCTGGAAGAGGGTGTCACATCCTGGCCCATGCTCACAAGTTCAATTAAGAATAGCCTCGTTAAAAACAACTGTTAAAGGAAAAGCAGGACTTGGGTTTTATAGCATAAAACAATTTTAAGCAATAAACTAATGGTAATTGGATGCATGCGTTTCAATGTAATTTCAAAGCATTTACCACTTTGAACAAAGAGAAGTTCCTTTACACACACATATGGCAAACGCCATATCCAGTAAAACTTTTAATCGTACAGTATTCATAAAATCTTTATGACGAAAGTCGTACAAGCCTGTACGTTTGGACATCGTCATTAATGGAAGTTGATAAATTGACATATACAGGGCGGGCCAAGAGTACAGCTTGTCCATATGGAAAATAACACAATAATTAACACATAATACAAGAATAAATGGTGTTTCGCCTACTCCCAACTGTACTACTTTTGCCCCACGCTGTATGTACCTCACTGCATCGGAACAGCCTTGCGGTAGCGCTTCCCCAGGAGGAACACGTGGGCCGGGGCCTGCCCAAGTCCCCTCTGGGCGTACTAGTCGGGAAGGGCCCCGCGACGGCAGGAGGGGTCCTTCTCCGAGGGCCTTAAAAGCAGGAGGCCCAGACACGGGTGGCGTGGGGCTCTCCGTCCAGTGGGAGAGCAAACACATGAAGGGGTTAGTAACCTGTGCCTTTCAAAACTCTCGCCTTGTCCGAATGCTGGCCTTGCCGTTGTGGGCTGAGCATACTGACTGAGTCACCCTGCTGTCTCTGCCGCCTCTACCTCAGGGTCTTAACGATGGTCACATCGACGTGTTACTTATAAGCATCTTTGACACAGGGCCACACTTGCAGAGCAAGCCAGAGGGATCCACTGTTTGCTTGTTTTCCCTCCTGGCTGGACCCCCTGCCCACCTGCCCTTCCCAGCTAGGCCAGGGCTTCCAGATTTTTTACCCCGCCCCACCCCCGCCCCCTAAGCCAGTCACGTCAGAACCTCAGTGGGCTGTGTTGGACATCGTTTTGTGTGGCTGTATCATATACCCTTGGAAGTCACAGGCAGGTGCCACTGAGTCAAGCCCATGAGTTTACTGAGCAGCTACTATGTGTCCAGGACTATCCCAGGCACTGGGGAGCAGAGAGAACTGTCAGAGACAGTCCCTGTCATTTACAGGTTATGACCCTGGGAGGAGGGGGAACGGGCGTGCACAGTGCCTGTCGTCTCTGGCAGAACACAGCCACTGCGGCACGAGGGCTGCCAGGAGCGGGGGGCTGGGAGCTGACGCGCTGAGCTGGGAGAGGCGACCCTTCCATCTGGAGTGGCCGGACGGCGGTGCGGGGCGGATGGGGCACGGGAGCAAGAGGGGGACCTTTGGTCGAGGTGGGTGACAGGAGAGGGCCTTTCAGAGCGCGCTATCGGTTAGCAGGGCACGGGGGTGGCGAGGCGCAGCCCCTTAGGTGCGCGTGCTTACAGGAAAATCTGCTGCTTACCTGTGCCCACGTGGCCACCTCACGGAGGGTATTGAATCTCTTCCATGAGATTTAGGTTGCTGGGGCCTTGATCTGTTTTTATTCCTTCGCTCCTCCCGAAAGGGTGTTTTTCTTATGATGTGATTGAAATGCTTAAATCGTTGTAAGCTATATTTTTCTGGTATGTTTGCAGCCCCGAGAAACCCTGTGCAGTCATGCTTTCCATTATCCTTCGTATAACCTTCACATATTACGCCTGCATGTTTGTGTACAGTGCAGGCCCTGCTCTGTGGTCGGCGACGCCCCCCCGGGGGTGCTTGTGCGTCTCGGGCCGGGCAGTTGCAGGAGGCGCGGGTTAGAGGGAGGACAGGGGAGGGCCCAGAGGCCGATCAAGAGAAACCAACCAGCATTCCTGCTGGAGAAGTTACAGACAGTGACAAGTTATTTCTGAGCATTAAAAAAATAAATAAACTAAACCCCTGAGACACTAAGGAAGTTAAATAATGGAAGTTACGAAGAATTTCAAATAGGAGGATTGTTAAGATGCTTCAGAATGAGTCACATTAGGTCCATAGACTAGACCACACTAGAAGTACTTGCTTGATGTTAAAATGTAGTATTGACAGCTAATGTTGAAATATGTTGTTCTCTTTCTGCTAAAATGAAGATGACACCCAAGCCATTGTCCCCTTGGAATCCTAGGACGCAGTGCCCTTTAAATGTCAGAGCTGTGGATGGACAGCGTTTGACTTCCCTGTGCTTTCTCATGACAGGAAACAACAGAAGTACCCCGCCGCCCTACGGGTTCTATCTGTCACCAGACGAAGAAATGAGGAGAAGACGGCTTCAGAGGTTTGACCGCCAGTGAGGACGCTCAGCGTCAGCGTCTTGGGCCAACGTGCTCCAGCAGTGTAATTATCATCCATTTGGTTCATCTCCCTAAACCCTAATTCATTTCAAACAGAGGCAGAGAGCACGGTTCTCATCTCAGACGGCTTAGATCTGCCGTGGCCGGAGGCCCCATGAGGCTTAGAGCCACAAACGGGCGGACGTGTCCGGAAGCTACCTTGCTGAGCACTGCTCCCTGCTCCCTGGCAGCAGCCTCTCTCCTGGCCTTGTTTTCTCTCACACGCCAGGTCCGTCACTCCGTGTAGGGACCAGCTTCCACACTCCTTTCCCTCCCCGTTGACCCAGCGGTTCCTCTGCCGTTTGGTTCTGAGGACTGTGACCTTCGCCCGGAGGCTTGTTTTCACCAGCCCTGAAGGCCAGGCTTTGTTCTGCCCGGTGAGCTCGGTCCGACCTCGCAGGGAGTCGGGAGCTGTGCCTGGTCCTCCTGGCACACTGCCAGGGTGACTTTCCAGGGACAGGATGTGGCCCCCACAGGACTGTGTGTTCGAGTCTCCGCACAGGAGCCCCAGCCCCTCGGGCCCCTGCCTCTTGGTGGTGGCAGCGGTGCACTCGGTGCGGCCTGGTATTGCCCTGCCTTATAGGACGCCCGCCTGAGAACGCTCAGTAGGACCTCAGGCGAGGAAACCACACTCTTAGGCGTGCGGTGGCACCAGCAGCCTGGGTGGCCTCTCCAGTGGCCGTCTCTGTTCGTTCCTAGGGGTGGGGGGGCTTGTGTTTCAGCCATCGGCAAAGCGGCAGTAGGGGCCACATGCAGAGTAGAGCCAAGGGGCCGGGCTCTAAATGCCATCCCTCTCTCCCCTAAACCCTGCCAAGAGGACTCCTGTTTTCCCCGGAGGGAGAAACCTCACTGTTACAGGCCATCTTCTGACAGCACACCCACCACGCAGTCTGCTACAGCTCTCCTATCGTGAACTCACTATTACTTGTACACAACTACACAAAGACGTGCCTTCCCCACGGGAGCGTGGGTTGCGAAGGGCTCTGGGACCGGGCCTGTGTCTTGTCTGTCTTCCGGCACTTTCCCCCTCTGCCCCTCAGTGGATGTGTTCACTGAGAAATCGCTCTTGAGGAAGTTTTTTTCTCATAAAAGTGCCTTTTAACCGGTCACTGTAAGAGCCACTTGTTTACTCAGGTGTCCCACACACTCCCCTGGCCCCTGCAGGGCCGTCTGTCCAGGTCACTTAGATGTTTCCTGGTGCTTACATTTCTAGAACAAAAGGGCACGCATGTATCACTGATGTCTTAGGCACTGAGATATTTATTTTTAAAGAGTTGGAAGCAGAAAAATATCCTATTTTACTTTATTTAGCATTTATATAGAGTTTTCTGATTATGAAAGTATTATAAAATACATGTCCCTTGTATCTGCATAAAACAAACATGTTATGGAAGAAAATAAGCCATATGTCAGCCAAGGTTATTTTGGGGAATGGAATACATAGGATTTTGCTTTCTGTTTTTTATAATTTTATATTGCTCTCTTTTAAAAATGTGTGTACATGTATATGTGTATACTACTTTTGCAACAGAACTGATTTGTATAATAATAAATCAAGAAACATAATGAGGAAAATGGACTTAATAATAAGTACCATCTGTTGAGAAAAAGCACTCCATAAACAGAAATACAAATAAGTAGACAGACGATGTTAGAACCGCCCGGAGTCTCACTGCTCAGAAGGGCCCAGGTCAGTGTTTCGGGGGTAGTGCTTTCCAGTGTTTCTTCATCTATATTTGACAATTCGGAGCATGCCGACTGCAGTTTTGAACCCAGCTCCCAATCTGAGCTGACCCTGGAAAGGCTCTGGCACTCGCACCTACATGAACTAAGGAAAGCACGCGAGACCTGGGAGCACTTCGATCTCCTGTCTGGCACAGTGATACCTAGTCTCTTTGGGTTAATTTATAGTTGATGTAAAAAGCTATAGCTTGTCTACATGAATTGTTTCTGTGACTCCAGTAACTTTAAATTAAAATGTTCAAGGTAAATGTCATCCCTCTCTCCCCAAACTCTGCCAAGAGGACTCCTGTTTTCCCCGGAGGGAGAAACCTCACTGTTACAGGCCATCTTCTGACAGCACATCGACCACGCAGTCTGCTACAGCTCTCATATCTTGAACTCACTATTACTTGTACACATCTACACAAAGACGTGCCTTCCCCACGGGAGCGTGGGTTGCGAAGGGCTCTGGGACCGGGCCTGTGTCTTGTCTTGTCTGTCTTCCCACACTTTCCCCCTCTGCCCCTCCACCACCAAAATCTGGCCCTGGCTCCTGGTAGGGACTCAAGAAACGTTAGTTTCCCATCAGAGTGTTTTTTCAATGCATTAAAAGTATACCATATTTTGCAGTGTATAATGTGCACCCACATTTTTTGCACATCCTACATGGGTTTATTATACCCATTATTATATCCATGGTATGTAGTCATTATAGCCATATATAATGTGCATCCTTATTTCTCCCTCAAAAATTTGGGCCAAAAAGCGCACATTATTCACAACAAAAACACAGGTAATCACTTTGTATAGAAGTGTTCTTTTAATTGCTGTTGAGTCTAAGAACAGTAGCTCCTGGCTGTATTTGCATGGTCAGACATGAAGATGCCAGAATTGGATTTAGGATGGTCTAACTGTAATATTCACATCTTCTTTACTTACGGAATGGAACATCACTAATCTTGAGCAATGTGGGAAAGGTCATTTTACTTATAAATAAAAACCAATTATCTTAGCACAACAGTAAAGATATTCTGGAAATTATCATAATTACTTTGTTCAGTTAATAGGTTTGCCTGTAACCAGGGCTAATTATTTTTAATGTTCATCTTATTTGTTTTCTACAATGAGGAATCCCCAAAGTTATGCCAACAAATTGGAATTGAGTGGAGGAATACAAAATTAAGTGTAATTATGTCTAATAGGGAATAAACAGAGCTGGTTTTTTAAATTTGATTTCTTTGCTTAATAGCAATTTCTTGATTGTCTGTTCAACATCCATTTCCCACAAATTAGTCGTGGTCAGTCAACTGATGAAATCTCTAAATTCAGAATCTTGGTTCTCAAGATGAGGGAGTGGTTACAGTGGCTTCCTCTGAATGATCCTAAAAGAATTGCCTGTGATTGCCACGTTGTATATGACTGTTGAGCCTCCTCATCGTTTCACCTGCGGCTGAGGCCCAGACTGAGCCGTAAGCGGCAGGTTTCAGCAGGATCAGGGCCGCGCTACACCTTCGGCGCCTGTTCTGCCACCCGAGGAGCTGGTTAGCTAAAGCCGTGAGATCTGCCACCAACCAACTAGAAGCAGAGGTTGCGTCCGGCCAGGCCTCCTTGTTCTTAGCCTTAGTTTCTCTTGAGAGAGTCAGTATTCAGAGAAAAACATATTCAATTAGTCATTTAAAAAAACAAAACAAAAACCCTAGCATCTCTTCCTTCCTTTTCCCATAGATTATTACAGTCATTTTCAATAGTTTTTGGCCCCAGTCTTTCATTTTAGAATCGCAGGCTCTGTACAGAGGGACCTCGTAATCTCTCCATGCATCACTCTGCTCAATAGTGAAGATACCCCTGCCCTCAGGTCCACATGGCTCTACCTGTTAATCTTCCCAAGTGGGCACTCGCAACGCCGCCCATCAACCCCTACCTTTTATTGTCTCTCTGTTGCCCAGAGATAAAGGTCAGACTCGCTAGCCTCACCGTGGGCAGTGCCAGCCGCCCTCTGGGCCTCATTCCCATTCACCCATGAGTTTGTGCTTGAGCCAACTGGTCTCATGGCCTAATAAGCTGTGAGTGTTCCTGATCCTGTGACTTCATTTGTGATGTGTTTGAGGCGGAACCGCCTTTTCCTCTCTCCGCCCGCCCGTCCAGATCCTCCCTGTCCTGCGCCAGACACCACAGCCCAGAGTGGCCTCGCCCCACCTGAGCTACTGCTCTCGTTGGATCTTCCCACAGTGCCCACTGGCCTCTTGGAATTGCAGGCCATCCTCGGGGCGAGGCTGACTTTCTCTCTAGATTGTAAGCTTCACCAGAGCGGGGACCATGGCTGTTTCTCCGTATCTTTTTGTCCTTTGAACAATGCTTTGTCTTTAACATCAGAACCAATAAATGTTTGTGGACGGAAACAGAGAACAGCTCATTTATACCGTCGCCACTGGAATATGTAAGAAGATGCGCCTGTTGCTTATTAATATCATTGCACCTTTTGTTCTCTCTTGAGTCACGTCCAGGGAAGGGTAACTTGAAGGAATGCGTTTGCCCCGGAAACGGAGAATTCAGGGCCTTTCCCAAGTCTTCGTAAGAAGACAGGCTCTGTCAGTAAGTAGATCAGATGGTGGGGAGATATCAGTGCATCACTCGGAAGGCACGCACCACGTCATTGAACCCTGCGACCTGAAGCACAATCGAAGATTCCAGCTCGTCCAAGAGGTGTCACCACGGAGTCCCTATGAATACGACCCCACCTGGCCCTTGCGCTCCTGTGGGTATGGGTTGGATATGTCTGTGCTAACATTTTTTTTTTTCCTCCTGTGGAATTTAAGGGTAGAGAGGGAATGATCTTGACATTGTGTTCCAGTGGCAGACGTGAACTGGCAGATTTGAAAATACACTTTATACCTTACCAAGGAAAACTGAAACACGGCTAATAGAAATCATTAAATTTGCTGGTAATACATATGGCTTCTTAGGAAGAGAAAAATGTAAGAAAATCAGTATTGTGTGGCTTAAGGAGGCTCTTGGGATCTGGGGCAAAACCTGAGAAACAGCACATGCCACATGGCTCTCTGTGTGCAAAACCTGACCTAGGTTCCTTCTCTGGCCAGAAGCCTACCAGCCAGGGCTTCTGCCAGGAAGCTGTGAAGTTCTTTTGTTCTCACTGTATTTCCCCCATAAATACCTTGTGCAGCGCCTGCCGGGAAGTGCTAAATCCAAATCAAACAAACAAAACAAAAAAAGAGTATGTGACTTTTAGATTTTTGGTATTTATTTGAGGTTCTTAAAAGTTATTGCTTAACTTTAATCTTGAGATACTGCCTCTTTTTATAAGATTCTCTCCCCCAACAATTAAAATGAGGCTGATCCCAGGGGCTTATGACCAGCAGCCGTGCGCGTCAGAAACGGGCTGGCTGGCAGGATCAGATGCGGGAGTCGCTATAGTTACTTCTGCGTCATGGGAGCAGGATAAGTGGGGATCCGACCTGCACACATTGCCCCGGGTCGGACCCACTGTGTACCGCATGTGTGGTAAAGCAGACTGAGTGCTTTGCCACCAGGAGAAATTTTTACTCCTGCTTCTAACGCTTTCCCTAGCTGTTCCAGACCAATAGTTTCCATTGGAAACTGGATGAGAATTTTGTGTTAAGCTGATAAAATTACACCGATGAAGCATATAATCGTCGAAGATGCGAGCTCCCATCCCCCGGAACAGTGTGTGATAGGAAGTGCCTTGCTGGCAAGTGGGCCAATAACAATGGCCAAGTAGTTGGCTGGCACTGAAGTGGCTGAGCCTCCAGGCACAGGCCTCCAGATCCTTCTTTCTCCAGCACAGAGCAGTCCTCCGGAGCGGCTGACCCCGGACATCGTGGGGCTCCAGAGGCCTGGCTGGTGGGCCGCTGACCCTGCAACACAGGCCTTCTGGGTCCCCCAGGTTGCCCTAACCTCATGGTCCTCTGCCCCAGCCCCCTTAGAGCAGCCTCAGGCTGCCTCCCAGCCAAGCGGGGTGGGCTGCCCGAGGACTCCCGACGGGGCCTTGCAATGACAGCATCAGCTCAGGGCCCCCGAGTGACATCTCTGCAGGACCCTCTATTCTCTAAGCAACCCACAAATGGGGAAGCTCTTAGCAAGCAAGGGTTGGTGTCTCCTTGAGCAAGTCACTTTTCTCTGTAAATCTCACTCTCCTTACCTGCAACACAGGAGCGTGGAGAGGCTGGGGGCGGCGCATACACAGCAGGGCTAATGCAGTTCCTGTCACCTAATTCCTGTGGATGCCTAGCTCAAGAAATGTTCAATATCATCACATCTCTATCAGGTGAGAGGTTAGACCAAAGACCATTGACCTTCCCTCCTAATTAAAAAGAGTAATTCCATGAAACAGTTATTGAATGTCTGTGTTTGGCTACCAGAGACTGTAACCACTGCCTAACCCCTAACTTCCAGCTGCTCCAGTTATCATCAGCAGCGCCTTACACCGTAACCTCTTTGTAGTTGTATATTTTACTTGAAATCCTCAGAACTACCCTTTGAAGCAAGTGGTCTCATTTGCCTTCAACTAATGGGGCAACTGGGGCCCACAGGGTCTGAGCCCCAGCCCACGGCCCATGCAACACAACAGCGGTTGGTGCAGACCCCGGCCCTGAGGCCTGGTTTCCTGCCCGTCCCCCGCCCCATCACCAGCTGCAGGACAGTGCTTCCAGCAGCCTGGCAATCCCATCCTCTTCTGAGCAAAGGGGGTCAAGTTCTAGCCCCCACGCTCTTTCCATCGGCAGCACACACCTCAGCCACGTGTCCTCTCCTGCCTCCCCGTGAAGCCAGCTGCAAGGAGGCTGTATTCCAAGAGAGGTAAAAAGCAGACTCACTTTGGCTTGAAAGGAAATAAATGCACCAGATACATCACAGTTGTTTGGGGAGGTCATGACAGAACTTTATATATAATCAATAATATTATCAATTATAATACAACAAAGACTTAAGTGTCAATAGCAGACCAGGCACCTTGCAAATGGTACATATTAAAAGTCTTTAACTTTACAACCATAGGTTAGAGAAAGGGATGCAATTTATTGGACCCGTTTCACATTTTTCCTATGAATCATTAAATATTTAAGCACCATAAAATTCAAGCATTTTGCATGGCTGTGGCAGGCAGCCTTGGTAGTTTCAAATGCATTATGCAGAATCTCTGGCAGATAATAACAGTGACAATTGCAGAGTACTGATTTTTAATGTCAATTGTTTTGTTCCCTGCAGAACTTCCTGACAATGTCCCTGCAGGAAATTGTGACTTTTTTTTGGTGGTATAGTAATTTTAAGAATTGAAATAAAATAGCATTATTCAGACATTAATAATCGGCCAGGTTTAAATAATTCTAATTAGTCATTTATATGCCCGTGAGAATCATAATTCTATGTAGAAAAGAAACAGAAATGTTTTTCATATTAAATGATTTGTTTTAAATAGAACATGTGACCATAATCAATGTACAATGATTGCTGTGTATTAGGCATAAAATCAAACTTAATTTCCAGTGAAAGAGCAGGTGTGATGTCCCATTTTATACATGAGAGAAACGGGACTCAGGGAATTGGTGTAACTCACTCAAGGTAACAGCAAAAAGTGCCAGAGCCAGATTCAAACCTGGATTCAACCCGTTCAAAAGGCCGCATGTGTCCACTATCCTTGCAGCCATGCCACATAAAAGAAACAATTATCAAGTTAGCCTGGTGAGCTCATAGAAACATAAATCTCGTGTACTTTCCTGGAACACACAGAATGATTTGCTTTGTTGTAATCGACAAGAGGCTCAAAATAAAATCTTTGATAAGATCCAGTGTTAGTGCACCATTCCATTGACTATTTTCCTAAGCACCGACGTGTATGCCAATGTTTCAGAGGTGATCTTGTACTTGGAAGCTCTCCCACCACGAGGGTAGAGAGATTTCAGCCCAAGTGAAGTCATGTCACATTTCAATGAGAAGTCTTCTCTCACCCACATCTCTCAAATCTAATTTCTGAAATTTCAGTTTCTGGAAAAGCGGCTCTTCTCCAGGAGAGGGTGATGGTTAAAGTTTATCAATTGGCTTCCTGTGAGTAATTGTAAGAAGAGACCGTGGATGGGTGTGCAATTAGGTTGTCACATTCAAACATTTGGAAATAAGAAATGGTCCGTACTGGTTACCATTTTGCCCATGAGAAGCCCATATGCAGAGCAAAACATCTAATGCCTAATGGCCTATTGAGTTGTCAGTGAAAAAAGAACTGTGTGTGTGACCTGCTCAGCTATATGGGCATTGGGCCCGCAAAGGTGAGTGGAGCCTGGTCCTGCCCTGGCAGGTGATGACAATGAGGGGCTCACATTCTAGCAAGAGAAAGGAGGAAGTGTGACAAGACATGACAGGAGCCGCGGAGGGACGGGGCAGCGTGCTCAGCTCCAAGTCTCCCGGGGAAATTCACATCCGCTCCTCCCCCTCAACTCACCCAGTCTTTGAATCGGCTGGCAGGTCAACTTCATGGGGTGGGGGCGGTGCATCACTGGTAGAAAGAGCAGGAGCTAAAATTTCAGGTGCTCAAAAATATGTAACATGCCATAGCATAGTTTAAAAAAATAAATGGGCCACATGAACAGGTACACCAAGAAAGTATTTCATCTAAAAACATACATTGTTATTTCTACCAGAAAGTATTCTTAAAATGAACTGTCATCTGGGGAAACCCCATAACAAGACCCACTGGAAGATGTTCTGCCTATAAGGGCACATTCCTAATCAATGTTTGGCAAGGAAAATATTTCTTATAAACAAACTTTTAATTGAGTTTTTCTTCTCTCAATTATTTTTAAGTGCATTGAAACGAAGTACTAAAACGTGTCACTCTCTCATGAGAAATGTCTTTCATTTTCTCTAAAGTGACTTTTCTTTTTTAATGAGAAAGGCAAGTTTCCTAAAAATCTTTTTCAACCAGCCTTTTGATATTTAGGATTAGACCACTGAAACCATGGCAAAACAGAAAACATATTCTTTGCTATTCAGAAAAACTACTCATTATAAATTGACATAACTTCTAAACTTTTACAGAAAATATTAGCACCAAGTGTCACACTGCTTCCGTGGTATAATACTGATAGAAAATATAAGGATGTTTTTGAAATTGGCAAAACAGGATGCTCCTGTGAAAATCCATAACAGGAATATAAAATTCAAATTGTAGGTTGTCTTTGTTTCGTTTAAAGATAGTGCCATGTCTTTCTGGGAGAGTGACCGTGACTTAAATGAATCTTCTTACCTAAGTTTAATTAAGTCGGCCCTCCATTTTCTCCCAAGTGCATAACGATAGCTCTGTCACCTCCCCATATGAGATGCTGTTATGCGTAGGAGGCAGAGTGTCCACTGTGGGCTGTGCGCCAGCTCCGCAGGGGCTGCTGGGGAGAGCGAGATGCTTTGTATGAGCCGCGCGCCGCCTGAGGGAGCCCCATGTGGCTTCAGTCCCATTAGCACGCACACACCGAGGACAAGCTGGACCCCGACAGGGGAAAAGCCGTCTGTTTGAAAGTTCACTGCAATGGGGAGTCAATTTTTGTGAATCACTGTCTTAATATTCATTAATAGCTTTTAGGCTCTTAATCCCTTATTGAATATATTTTTTCCATAATTGCTACTTTTCAAAGGGTTGCCAGAGTAGGCATTTCTATTCTCTGAAAAACGCAGAAGAGAACATAATGTTTTACGTGCATCCGTAATGTGTTTATGCTAATGTCGCATCCCTAGATATAGCAACTGTGGTCCTTTCTGGCACAATGATTCACTCTGCTTTGAAATGAACTGTGAACACTGGCTGTGTGGATTTTTTTTTTTTTTTAAATCTCCTTGGGTTATGGTTTTACAATTATTTAAAGTGCATGGAAAAATAGATTACAGAGGAAATCATTTTGAAATGTTGGAAATCTCTACTTTCCAGTTTCATTTGTTGGCCTATTTATTTTTGCCTGTAAAATCCATCCAGAAGCCCCCTGTTTTCCAGAGTAATTGACTTCAATTGTTTGAGGTGCTATTAACCAATGAATGGAGTTTTCAGTAAATGTAATTTGTAATCTGCCCTTCATCATCTATTAGCCTCCCTGTGAATTAGCAATTTTTTTTTTTAACGTAAGGCCAGCTCTTCTACCCTCCTCAATAAAATAGGGCTATCTGGGTTCCATCTAGGTTGGTGGTTCCAACCATATCCATACGCGTAGCATTTGCTTAGTCCATCCAGCACAGAGCAGGGAAGTACAGTACTGTGGGAATAACCACGATGGAACAGCATGAACCGCTAGCACAGGAGTCCAAGGTGAGCACCACTAAATCTCACAGCACAGTCTGGGACGACTGGGTCCCCCACGAAGTTCCTCTGGGCGTCACAGCGCGTCACAGGTTCTCTAGCTAACCTTCACACAGACCTGGCACCTGCTGATTTTCTGGCGCTGGGCCTGACTGTCTTTCAAGGTGTCTGGTGACGGTGGCTCAGCAAATTGCAAGTGTGGTTTGACCACTGTCAGCCAGAAGCTGTACTTATTTGCAAAAAAGTGGCACGTGCCCTGCCGGCCTTGGCATTCCAGGAAAGGAGCTGCTCTGAAGTCTTCCAGGCAGCTGCCAGGTGACATGAGGGCCTGCCCTCCTCCTTGGTCCCCAGCTCCTGTGTGCTACCAGGACAACAAGAAAGAATTAGGGCTCTGACACACGCGGGAAGCCCCAGGCCCAATCAGTGACACACCGAGGCCTGGACCTGACTTGACAGTTTTTCCTGAAATTCTTCCGGGAAGACCAAACTAGACCTGCTGAGGAAAAGGAAGCTAGAGGTGGGCTGGGTGTGCACACAGAGTTAACCCTCTTTTACCGATGGCTCAATCAATTCCATCTTCTAAATTCTACCCAAGTAGAATAAAAAAAGAATTGACAGTGAACAAAAGGAATGGTTCTGCAGCTCAGCAGGCTGTGGTATCTGGCGGTCTTTAGGACCGCGTGTCCTACCGCGGTCCGTGGGCACAGAGTTCCCAGAATCACTGTCCAGAAGGAAGGGGCAACGGCGGGGCTGACAAGGCGGCAGGAGGGCGGGGACTCACCATCAGGAAGGAGTACCCGATCCAGAGGCTCCGCCAGGCCCGCGGACACGGGGGGATGGACTGGTCCTGGCTGTGCAGCGCCACCGCCTGGGCGGGGGCCTCGCACACGGCACAGCGGCTGATGTACGGGCGGATGTCCTCCTCCGACAGCGGCATCATGGGCAGAGGAGCAGCGGTGGCGAGCCAGTAGGACCTGTCGTTTCTCCGGGCGTAGTGGCACACTTGGTGGATGTTGCAGTAGGCAAAGGGCAGTGTGCTAAACACGGGGAGGCAGGACCCTGCCAGACCTCGGGAAGGAGGGAGAGACAACATGGCGCCTGAGAAGCCGGTCCTGGGTGCTCAGCGACCTTCCTATGGGTGCCATTTGCAGACACACAGTCTGGCACATGGAGGCCCTGTCCAAAGTCTACGTCCGCGGTGGTGAAAGTGGGGCGTGGGCCTGACCATTTCTGCCATCTTGCAGGTGCCGTGGGCCAGCCCTCACTCCCTTATCCACTCATCACTGATGAGCCAAGCAGTCAGCCAGTTGCCGGTGGGGCCGGGAGCGGGGTGGGGGTGGGGGGGACGGCGGCCTGCAGTGGGGGTGGGAGGGAGGGTCAGAGCCGTGAGCGCACCTGCCTCCCCGTCTCCCCAGAGCTCCCGGCCTGGCCTGATGGCGAAGCTGGAGGAACAAACAGGGGATGAAAACAGCATGACAAGCCCTGTGAATGAGACCCGCGGGGCCCTGGGACTTATGGGAAGGAGAACCAGAAGAAGTGATTGGAAGATAGGACCTAAAATACAAAAAAAAAAATTGGCCAGGTTTGGAGATGGTGAAAACTATTCAAAGAAGATTCAGAGTAAAGAGGGTCAGAGATGATAAGGGAGCAAGGAACTCAAAGAACTCAGAGACGTTCCGTCGGAGAAGGTGGCAGAGGAGGTCTGTGTGTCTGTCTTCAAGGGTGTCCCGAGATCAATCAGACAGAGCACACGGGCTTTGTCTGCCTTGCGAAGGGGCTTGGGTTTCACCTGAAGAGCTCCGCAGAGCTTTGCGGCGTGCGCTATGGCTAGAACAGGGCAGAGGAGCGAGACTGCTGTCCCGCCCAGCGGGAGAGACCGGCGGCAGAACGGAAAGGAGAGAGGTCGACAGTCAGACCTGACGTGTTACTTCCTTTCCCCAGGCTCCTCTCACGGGAAAGGCCATGGGGAGTCCAAGGGAGAAGTGGGGAGGGGCATGTCCGTAGCTGCCCCCTGTAGGTCTGCAGCCTGTGACCCACCTGACCAACAGCCCAGGGAGGGGTCACGGCCCAGTGAGAGCAGCCGCCAATCTCACCCCACCGTCCCCCGTCCCTGCTGGCATCTCCCTCCTGAGCCCACCACCCAGCCTTCGTCATCCGGGAAAGGCAGTGTTTGTGGTACCTGGGTCCTTAAACTCCTGGCCTGAAATCAGTCTCGCCAACCTGCTCCTGAAAACTGACAAGTAGTAACCAAGGATGACCCTCAAAATCAAGTCCTGTGATTGAAAAACGAATTGGAGCAGGGCGGGAGGTCGGGGCTGATGAATGCCGCACTGTACCGCTCCAGGGAGCCGTCAATACACCATTTACATAGAAACAACTTGCATTTGGAAGTAAAGGCTGCATTTTATATCAGACTGACATCTCACTTACTGGCAGTCTTTTTTTTTTTTTTTTAAACTAGTAAGTAACCAGATAATAACAACAGCGGCCAGAAGGGGCCTCTTGGCACCTCACAGGATCACAGGTTTAATGGAATTCACTGCGAATTAGCATGGTATAAAAAGAAAAAGAATCCCACAGAAGATGAGCGATTATTTAAGAGGCCCCTGAATACGTGAAATTAACCCGACAGTTTCAGGCAATGGGCCTGAGTGGCTCTCCACCTACCAAGGTCTTGGTTGTGAGCTCTCTCCTGTCCCTCCAGGTAGAGCAGACTGTAGCCCGTCCAGAGCCTGGGCATGCCCACGGGGCAGGTGGGCTCTCCATCCGTCTGACTGTGGAGAACCAGGAGGAAGCCGCTGAGGTATCCAGGACCGACACCCCTGGGCCCAGGATCCCCAATGGGCCCAGGAGGGCCTGGAGGAATAAAGGAAAAATGAAGGCCGTTTAGCGGGTTCAGTTTCACAAACATTTCTGATTGCCCCTGTTCCGGTGCCTTGCTAAGCTTTCAGGGAACAGAGAGAGGGGTACAGGCATGGCCCCCTGCAGGAATGCGCCGCACACAGCCGCTACCAGCAGCCATCCGTACAAGCAGCTCACACAGCAAGCATTTGTTTATTCCAAGAAACATCCCAGTGGTTGGACGATATTAGCATAAAAACAAAACAGACGACACTCCCTGCCCTCCTAAAGCTTATATTCTCCTTGAAGAAATGACATACGATAAGCATAATAAAAAGGCAACGTGTGAATTATGTTAGAAAGTGGTGTGTGCTGAAAAGGAAGAACTAGAACATGTAATGAATGACACACCCCAGGTGTGATCTTCCAGCCAGATCCGACTGGGCAGGGTGCCTGCCCGGCTGGAAAGGGGACACTCAACGTTGGTCTTTCTGGCTCTCTCTCCTCCCCTCCCCTCCCCCTCTCCCCCACTTCCTCTCTCTCTCTCTCTCTCTCTTGCTCTCTCTCGCTCTCTCTTTCTCTCCCCCTCTCTCTCCATCCACACCTTCTTCCTTTAGGCGTGTCTCTTTGCTTTCTTCCTCCTAAGCTCCAAGGGCCCTTCTTTAGCCCCTGTAACCTGTTTCCTGAGCCCACGCAGCCCAGCTGGCTCATATCCTCCACTGCTCTCCTTTCCTACCTCTGTGATTTTCTAAATAAACTTTTGCTTGTATTTGAAAAAAAAACATCGGTCTTTCTCACACCCATGGACCTGTCTCATGGTTCTTGCCTATTCATTGCCAGTTCCATTCTAAGAAGGAGGAGGGCTGGGAATCTATATGTTCAACTTCAGAACTCTTCTTTTAAAGGTTGTGGAGGTGGCCCTGGCCTGGTGGCTCAGTTGGTTGAAGTGTCATCCCATACACCAAAAGGTTGCAGGTTCAATTCCTGGTCAAAGCACAGAATTAGGTTGCGAGTTTGATCCTCTGTTGGGCCACATACAAGAGGCAACAGATCAATGTTTCTCTCTCACTCCGATGTTTCTCCCTCTCTCAAGCTCTCTCTCTCTAAAATCAATAAATCTATCTTCACGTGAGGATTTTTTTTAAAAAGGGAAAAGAGGGGAGAGGCAGAGGGAAGGCCTAGTTCTAGAATTCATGTTGGCAGGTGGGAAATAATCAGGTCCACAGAGTGGGAGCAGGGCCTGTCTCCTTGGGCCCCCACTCAGGGCTGACCTAGTGAGGAAGCCTGTGGTTATATCTAACTGCCAAGAGCAAAAGGTGAGGTTTGACTTTAAAACTAGAAGTTTGGGGGTTTTTTTAAACTTGTTTCTGGAAGACCCGCAGTCTCTCCCTGCTTATACTGCACACCAGCAGCTACGAAGTGGTAGCTTGTGGACTGAGTCAGGCCTGCTCCTAGGTTTTTCTTGGGCTCGCCAGGATTTCCCAGGCTGAGGTCTGGGACTTGAAAAGCAGAGTGTAGGGAACACGGGCCCCACGTTTCTACATGGCAAACGCAGACGGAGCGTGCGCTGCAGCTTCGGACTGGGCTCCTTGTGGTGGCTGACCCTGCCCAGCCCTCCTCACGCCTTCTCATTACTAACCTGGCATTGCCAGACAGTCTGCAAACGTGAGACTGTGTCCTGGGGTCTTTGGGTCCCTGGTGCCTAACATATATCCTGGTACGTTATATGTCAAATTTGTATTCTGAAGGGTCTTATCTCCCCCTCACACAGTACCCGCTCCCAAATGATTTTCTTAAGAGAGAGCCCTGCATGCTGTATAAATTGTAGTGATCACTGTACGATAAGATGAAGTGAATTCAGAAACCCAGAGGTTAAGTGAATCGGCCAGTTGTAGAGAGTGAGAACCCCTCCCCCATCCCCAAGATCTTCAGCACAGCCTCCCCACGGTGGTCACACAGCAAATGCCGGGCTTACCTTGGGAAAGCGAACAGCTGACAAGGCTGAACCTTTGGTGATAATGTATAGCGATTGGGGGAAATACCAAACTGCACACAGGGCCTTGACTCGTTTTGACAGAGGGTGAGCATCAGTTAGAACTGGGGGACACATCCTGTTTTGTTCTTGTTTCCATCGCCTTAAGCCCTGGTATGCGGGTATCCAAGGCAAATGTTTTTAGCAGGGCCAGTGTGGAAAGCTGCTGGAGGGGCCGGGGATCTTGTACAGCAACCTGCTTGTCTGAGAAGAGGCGAGAAGCTAAAACGCTTTACCTGGTGCTCCGGGGAAGCCGGCTTCTCCCATGTCACCTTTGTGTCCCGGAGGCCCAGGAGGCCCTGGGGTGCCATCCTCGCCCCTCCTGCCATCCAGCCCGGGCTGTCCTTTGCACCCTGCACAAAAGTCCATAACCACAATGGTGAGGACACTATGACCCCCGCTGGCCGGCAGCGTTCACCGCGGGTGCACCATGTTCCACCTGAGCTCCCCGGTTCATTTCCCCCTCAAGTTATGTCACGCTCGGATCCTACTGTCTCCGCTTGGCACTGGGGTAACTGAGGCTCCGCGACGTCTAGCAACGTAACTCATTAAGGCCAATGAGCCAATACCAGGCAGAGCCAGAATCTGGAGCCAGATCAGGGAGGTGTTGAGAGGTTTTCGTATGGTCTTCATAGTCTTGTATGTCTGACCATTTTTTTTTTTACATTGAACATGTACAGCTTGTATCATTAAATATTATTCTTAAATATTAATAATATTATTATGATGATTTTTAGAAGCCTGAATGAATGAATGAAATTTAATAGGATTCAGCTAGGGGTCAAGTTAAGTTTGGAGCAAGATAAGAGCAACAATTTTTTTTAATTGTTTGTTTGTTTTGAGTGTTTATAAGGTGCTAAGTCCCATGACAATCCCTTGACATGGACGATCTAAGCCAGTCTTCACAGCAGCAGCCATATGACTAGGTATCTCCCGTGCCAGACTACCAGTGGGGAGACTGAGGCGCGGAAAGGCAGAGCCAATCACAAGTGAACAGGAAACGGGCCCAGGATGGCCGAGTACAGAGGCTGGGCCAGCAGCCGCCAGCCGCTGCTTTGTGGCAAGGCTCAGAGCGCACGGGCGCTCCTTGAAGGACGTAAGCGGGGGGACTTGCCAGCAATCACATTGGTGCTCGAGGGGCTCTTCACGCGTTTGCTTACTTTTGGCCAAGACGTCGATTCATTGCCACAATCTCCTTTGGTCAGAGTAGCAGATTTGGCCCTTGCCTATGAAGGAGTTTACTGCCCTTATAGCCCTAATCACCTGGATTATTAACCCTCTCAAGGCTTCCAGTCTCTAGTTATTGTTCGCTCTTTTTCTTTTCCTCTCCCCCACACACTCCTTCTTTACCACAAAGGAGCCTAAACCAACTTTATCAAGTCAAAGAGAGCTCACTTAACTGGCTTTCACTCTTGTCCACCCTTGGACTTGACCTCAGGAGCCACCCAAACGTTGAGAGCAGGGGACTGCCACACTCTGGTGACCAGGTGGGTATGTCACTTGACTTCCCTCCTACAGCCATCTGAGATGCATGCCCCACCGAACCTCACTGCTTTTAAAATGTGTTCTAACAGCACCTGCCGGAAAGTGCCCCACACAAACCTCCTTCATCCCTCCCCACAACCAGCTGGCTCCTGCGCCCCACACCCTTGGCAGGCGATCTACATTCAGGGAGGCGCGCGGGGCATCCCTGGCCTTGGGGTTGCTCTCATCATGCTTTCTCACTCCTGAATCACAAACGAATTCTCTGGGAATGTCGGGTGGTGCCCGGACTGCGTTCCGCAGGCGGCTATCATCGGTGAGCAAGATATCAAGCCTTTCCTTCTCCCCGTCTGGGTGGGAGATGCCTAGCCCCTTCTAGTAACTGGGCAGAACCCCCTCTCCCTGCATGACACCTCTGTACGCGAGCTGGCATGTCTCGTTCCACCAGCTTCAAAGAGCATATCTGATATTTTGGAAAGAACACCGGGCACCCGCAGGGAGCCCAGAACATTCTTTTCTCTCTCCCATCCAATGAGAAGATTCCAACAGGGGGCCACTGTGCATTTCTGGAAAGGGCTGCCTGCGGGCTGACAAGTCAGCAACCAGCTCGTCATGGAAGAGATAGCAGGCATTCCTCCAGCGCTGTTGACGAGGGCTGAGATCACTGTCGACCTCGGAAAAGAGCTCACTCCCAGATGTTACCGTGTGGGCTTTGCTCCCATTAGGGAAGAGAGAGAAGCACTCAGGCAGGTGACGTTTCCAGAGACGGGTAGAAAGGCTTTTGCTAACCGGAGTTGTGCGCCCAGAGCGTTCCATTACGCAGCCTTGTTCTCTGCCTGGAACTTGTCTTACAGAATAAAACTATATGTAAGAGCCCTCCGGTGTTCGATGGTTTACCTCCACTGAGAGGGTCACGTGTGGACTTGAAGACAAACATGCCTCAGCAGGTTGCGGGTAGTGGGTACGGCCATAAGAAGGAACATTCAAACCAAAAGGGAAACCGCCGTTGGGTTCATGACTCAGGGAGCCTGAGCCTTTGAGGGCCACCCGGGAAGAAGAAGTTGTAGATCAAAGAGACGTGTGAAGAGAAAAGCGTTAGACTTCCCATGGTGGGGGCCTCTTAACAGACACAAGTGATGCCCAGTGTGGCTGTTACCACACTTCCTGGGGCAGGGAAGAGCCAGAAGTGTTTTACTTTGTGGATCAGCTTAGCAAGGAATAAGGTTTTGCAGGAAAAACGGGAGGAAACCAACAATGTCATTTTAAGTGGAGGTGGGACTTCCTAGCGGCAGCTGACTCTTCACAGCCAACCTTGGGGGTGGTCTACGCCGCCCCTCATGCCTGCAGATGACCCGTCAGTCTGGGTTGGGCCACTTTAGACCCTCAGAATAGACTCTCGGTTTTGAGCCACTGGCTAGTACGGCTGATGACGTCAGGGTGGACAGCGGGAAAGGGGGACCAAGGAAAAGAGGGGTCCTGTATAGCAGGAGCCAGGGCCACATGCCAGAGAAGAGGGGGCCCAGAAGAAATCATGGTTCTGAGTGGCGCACAGCTGGGCACAGAGGAGCTCCAGGGAAGGGGGTGACAGCAGGGTGGCCTGGCAGTGAGAGGGGCATCCCAGGAAGGACAGCGGGGCACCTTTTCTAACACAGCGATCCCATTCTGTGGCGCAGCTGTGGCCTCGAGGTACTTCCAGCGTCCGCAGGCAGCGGCAGTGACATCAGTAAGGACAGGGCCCAGGAAGCCAGAGAAGGCCCGTCCGTGGCCACCCGCAGCTGGAGGGGCCCGTCCGAGCCACGTCAGGAGGAAGTGGAGAGGAGGCACGGTCGCACCCAGGCCCACGGAGACCGCCTGCCCTCCTTCCGAAGTTTGCTGGGAAAGGAGACTCTCCTATGTGCCCAAGGTAACTCTTACGTTAAAGGGGACAGAATTTGCCCTTTTGACTTCTCTCAGTTACTTTCTATGGTTATTTTCCAAAGCCACCGCAATGGTGAACCCAACCACCTGCCTGGTCCCCACTGACGCTGGGGTGAAGCAGTGGGTCTCAACCTTGGCCCCCAGCTACAGCCACTGAGGGGTCAGGGGACTGTCTTAAAACACTGGTACTCGGGCTCTGCTTCCGTCTGCATTGTGTTGGTCTGGGGTGAGGCCGGGGCATCAGCATTTCTTCGAGTCCCTCGAGCTGACGTGAACCTACAGCTAGGATTCGGTCACCAGGGAAGGTGTCGCTCTCCACTGATTCGACAGGATTCATCCAACCTAGTTGGGGTTCCTCAGCCTTGCACATGCAGTACGTACCACATTCTGGGGCTCTTGTTAAAATGCAGGTTCTAACTCAGCAGGTCGGGGGTATGACCATATGTTGAGCAGCAAAGGTGGAGCTGGCTCTTTGTTACCAGGTGATGAGGCCGTCCCGCCCCCAGCTGTGCTCCTGCGACTTCCAGCTGGACAATCCTGGTTCCCCGAAACCCAGTCTTTCTTTAAAGGCTCTGCTCAAATGCCAGCTCTTGCTGGGGTCTTAGCGGTCCTGCCGTCCTCCACACAGCGATGCCTTGCTCCTCGTCTCATTCTAACGCCCTTTGCTCAAAACCCCTTTAAAACACAAACTGTCATCTGCCCTTATTTAGCACCCTATGTCCTGCTGGCCATTTCTGCCATGAGGTTGGAGACCCTGGAGCGGAGAAAAACACACACTCGCTTGCGTTGCCCATACCTAGCTGGTACTCTACGAAGAAGAGAGGGGATCTGGAAGTATTTACTGAACTGAATTTGCAGAACCCCATTACAGGCTTAGCTCTTCTGCTTCAAAGTTATTTTTTTAATGGTGGGGGTGGGGCCCCACTCTCAATACTGCACATATATACACTGCAAGGCAGCTTGGTTTTAAAATCAGGTTGATTGATGAGTTATCCTGCCTGACTGAGAGCTTTAGCCATGCACTGAGCGCCAAAGCAGAGAGGAGTTAAGCTAATTCCCAAGGCTCGTGGGCTGTAACAGAGTTGCTACAGTGGACACCCAATTAACTTCTTGCACAAACACAGATGCATGCAGCAAGTACCAGCGACAGCCCCCGCACTACTTGGAGGAAGGCTCCAGAGCTGCTTTGGACACCACCCATGAACTGCTCACTTTCCAGCCGAGGGGACATCTTGCTATGTGGGTTTGGGGAAACAGGAAAAACAGGCGGTGCAAAATTCCCACTTGCAATCCCTTTTTCCCCTAAACCAAAAGGAGCTATAACCACAGCTGGGACGGTAGGAAAAATGAGAAAGGGAAATGGCCTGGTGCCTCTTAGGATAATTGGCACGCTGGTGACTTTGAATCAGGGGCACTGCCCATTGGTCTGAAAAGCTCAGCAACCACCCGATGAGCAGCCCGGGACTCCCGCCTCACTTTGTCAATCACCCCATGCAGCGGAGATAGGAGGACAGAAAACAAGTGATTTGGAGGACACTTTTTAAAGAGTGGTTTAGTTTAAATAGGGATCCTGCTCCCCTGACAAGGATTGAGCCATGGCTCAAATCAACTAGATGAACACTTAGTTACTGCCATAATTTAGAGTGACCGTTCCTGGACCCCCTTTCCCCCCCACCCAAAGATCCACCGCCTTCTCCCCTCCCATCTTGTAGGCTGTGTCTGCTCCAGGGAGCCCCAGTTCAGTTGTTTTTCATTCAAAATCAAGTCAACAGCTGTGAATGACTATGAATAAAGCATCTACTCTGTTGTGCTAAAAGGTTTCAAAATCTCATGTCCAAAAGCTGCTCAAGTATAAAAGATTTAAGTAGAATCTCCACATAAAAATGACAAGGACTTGTCGATCCAATTAGTGCATGATTAAAACTTTGGATAAATGTGAACAAATATACAAGGGAAAGAAAATTTTCATTCATCCTCACTAGTTGCTTAGGTGCCGCTCCCCGCTCCTCCCCCCCGCCCCCGCCCCAGCAAAAAACAAACCCTACATAGCAAAACACTGAGCTTTCATTTCGGCAATATGTACATGACGCAAATAATGAGCAATCAGTGTCAGGCTCGTACCTGGTCCCGGAAGGCCTCTCATTCCGGGGAACCCCATGGCTCCTTCTGGTCCTCTTGGGCCTGGCACCCCAGGAAGCCCTGGGATTCGGGGGCAGGAATCCAAATCTGCAGGTGGCCCCGGTTCACCTGAAATTGGAATCACCACCTGTGTGATGGGTTCAAGTGCTTACAAACAAGCTCCTTCTGCCCTAGACAGACTTCAAACACTGCACTGAAATGTTGTCAAGAACATTCGACAGCCCATAAGGTCCAGGAAGGTGGTGGGACTTTGTTCACTTCAGTGCTTGAAAAACTTCCAGAAAGGATTTTGTTAAATAAATGACTGACTGAATGAAAAACTGAGTAAGTGAATGGAATCTCAGAGAAAGCAAAAGAGAAGTACAAACTAGTGCGCATTGGTGGAGTCAGCAATAATTTGGCGACTGTCACAGGACTTCTGATCTTTGGGCCACTTTTTCCTGGGGAGCCAGCCACAGATGGAGTTGATGAGGTACTAGTGGGTTGTTAATGCTCGGCTTAATGTGTCTAATTAATTACTCTACATGGCAGCCAGTGTTGGGGGGAGAGGGTGGGCAGGGGCCAGTCCGCGTCTGTTACTCAAAGAGAGAGAATGTCAGGGTTGGTAGGGGCACTAGGCAGGGCTTTTAACCTTGAGTGCACATTGGAATTATCCAGGGCAGTTACAAAAAATACTTCTACTTGTGCCTAGCCCCAGAAATACTGGTTGAACTGGAATAAAACATGGCCTGGCAGTGCCCAGCTAGGGGCGGGGGGGCTTTGCAAAACTATTGATGCTGGGACCCGTCTAGACTCATTAAGTAGGAATTTCTTGGAGGGGCCAGGCATCATTGATTTTCCCCCAGGGGACTCCAGTGCGGGCCAGGACCGAGGAGCACCAGGGCGAAGCTGCAGTTCTAACTTCAGCACATCCGAACCATCTGGCCAATGTGTCCGCGTCCAGAGGACGGAGCCAGCAGGTCTGGGGCGGGCCGACTTCTGCACGTCTAATGTGTTCCCGGTGAGGCTGCTGGTGCCCATCTGGGGATCTCATTTTGAGAATCACTGCTCTAAAGGTTTGAAATGTTTTTCTTCTTGGTTACATTCATGCCTCTAAGGCATTTTTTCTAAAGCTTCATTCAGTCAACCTGCGAGCCATCCACAAGGAAGAAGAAATAATAGCACTAAGCAATAATGATAACAGCAACGTGTACTGAATACTTTAGCATGTGCACAGTGCTTTACAGGTAAATGCTCCCAGCCAGCCTGTGTGTTTGTGCTGCTGTTTCTAGAAGGTCACAGGAAAGGAATTCAGGCTCAGGTAAATGAGTGACATAGCTAAGTGAACACGTGGCAGAGTCAAGATTGGAATCCAGGATGTTCTGGCTCCAAAGTTATCTTCTTAACTGCCACACCATATTGCATGAAGAACTCTTAACACCTGTATGACAAATGCTAAGAAATGCAACATATTTTAAAATATACTGTTTATAAGTTATAGTTTTCCTAAAATTCATACAAATGTGCAAAATAATTTTAAGAACAACATGGCAATGCAGCAAGAAAATTCTAGAAAATGTGGCCATGCTCACAAAGTTTTAGCCTACACAGGGTTAACATGCCTGTGCAGATCAAACTTGAACCCTCTAGGACTTGGGAATTTAGCCTCTTGTGAAGCATTGTATGAAACCACAGCAACACAAAGCTGGGTGTATTTTTATTGTGCAGACAGTTTAGTGGGCAACTTGAGAGAAGTGCAAGGACTTTTCCTATTTTCCCCGAATAATCTGGTGAATTGCGGTGGTCGGTCACCAATGGCGAAGGTGTGGAGGAAGCAGGTAAGGGAAAGGGGATGGGCGTTTGGCTGGTACTTCAGATTTAGGGTTTTGATATTATCCTCAAATGAGGTGATACATATAGTCACAGAGATGAAGTGAAAACTCATTAAATAGATGACTGTAATTTTTAAATACCAACATTTAAAATAGCAGGATTTTTTAAAATTATGATTTTGATTTTCATTACTTTTTAATAAACCAGAACCTGAAAGAAAAGGGACCAAAGCATCTAAAAATAACCTAGGGCACCTGTATTCAGGGCCACGTGCATTAGGGTTAGTAACAGATGCCGGAAAAGGAGAAATACAAGCATTCACAGCTTTTCTTTTCTTCTCTTGAAAAACTCGTTTTGTTCTCTTTGAAAAGGCCAGACACAAAATAATATGTTGCTTTTGCATCATGGAGGATTAAACAAACACTCAGTTGAAAAGAATGATGGCATCTTCATTTTAACACGCAAAGAAATTTGCTCCTTGAGAATGGGGTTCCGGTGCCAAAGAAAGGTTTGTTGCAAGCCCCTTAGTAGGGGTTAGGGACCCATCTTTTCATGTTGTTGATGCTTTTTATTTTAGGGACGTCCTGTGCCTTTACGTGGCAGAATTTATAAAAGAAGCTGACATTGCTGTGTACTGTGGCATTCGACAGAGAAAGCACTCATGCCCTGTGCCCAAATTGAAACTATGTCAGCGGAGCACCTACCGAGCCTCGACAACCTGCAATGAGCTCAGCATCAGCACAGCCTGAGATGGGGTTACTGTATCTATAACAGGGAAGCAATGGCACCAAAACCAAACATAATTACAGGACCCCATGCATAAAAATGTAATAAAGTTTAACTCACAAATGCAGTGAAAAGGGGAAGTATAGAAATGACTGGAAACCAGACTGAGAAGAAATTATACGTTTCATAGAACTGCTCACCTCTGGAACCTGGAGAGATCGAAAGGCAAAACACGAGGCCACGCAACGATGTTCATACAGTGGAAAGAGATTTTAAAGTGTAAATTAGGACAAACATGAAATAGGTTGTAAACAGAAATAATAATTTGAGAACAGCATCTATAATAGCATCTCAATAACATAAAAAGTCTACATTATGTTACTGACAACAGCAGCTATGGTTCATTAATGGAGATTTCATATCTAGAACAACCTGAAATGAACCTCTCCTGTGCAAAATAAAATTCGAGTTGATTTTTTAAGGCAAATATACCTAAATTTAATGTATACATAAATTCTGTCCATTTAAAGGCTTCTGAAAATTCCATATTAATTTGCCAAGTTTTATAGGTTAGGCAAAGAGAAGAACTATGATATGAATCAAAATATAAACTCTTTGTCATGTTGGACTATGATCTGCCATAGAGCAGTGCAATTTATTTGTTCTTTGGACCAGAGTGCTAATTTGGGAGATTGCAAAATATTCTGAACTGACACCACATCACCATAATATTGATTTAAGATCTTGAAGGATATTGCTTCTGCCGATCTCAGATACACATTTCTGTTTGCCCTTTCAACTATTCCTTGGCTTATTTTGACATTATGATGAAAATGTGCTGTCTATGAGGTTTAAATTAAATAGCCTTTTAGCTTCATAGGAATTAATGTACTTTCCAGAAAATGTTAAATAAAACATCTTGCAAAATCAATGGGAATTCCAGGACAGGAACTGGATCTACAATCCTCACCTATCAATAATCAATCAGTCTTTGTCTCTGGTGTGAGGGAACACAGACTTATTCATCTTTGAAATAGTATATGTAAAATCAACTCCTAATGTTCAAACTTGCTTGTTTTAATAATAAATAATAGTTTACCAAACACGAGACCTTGTAGTATAGCCTGAAGTAAAAGAGCTTTTATATAAGGACTGAACTCATTAGAAGGTGTGGTGATTTCGGAAGAATTACTTTCTGAGAGGTGACTGTCAGGGCTGAGTGTTCACCCAAAGTGCCCTGTGTGGGCTGCTGTGGAGATGACCCAGCGTGAGAAGCTCACCTGGAGGCCCGGGGGGCCCGTGTCTGCCTGGAGGGCCAGGTAAACCCTTCTCTCCAGGTGACCCGGGAAGTCCGTGCGGCCCCTGCGGCCCCGGGAATCCCATTGGTCCTAAAAGGAACAAATGAAAACAAGGGCGGTGGAATGGAACGATACAATGGCGGTGACAGTTTGATGGACTGGATTCGGAAGTTCCTGCCAACGAAATGCGGGGCAAGGCTGGCCTCGCGGTCAAGAGGAGTCGCCCGCTTTTTTTCTGTAGGAAACACCCGAACACTCAGAGGGACTCAGGAGAATGGTCCCATGATCAAGACAAAACTTACTCAGAACGCAAAGCCCTGTAACCCTGAACTTTCTCTGGAGACAGTCAAAGGACATGGAGCGAAGGTAAAATTAGGGAAAACACTTCTCTTTCTGGAGAAACAGACTCCCAGGCTGAGTCCCCGCCACTCCCTTTCTCACTCTCAGTTTCCGCCACACCAGCCATTGGGTGCCTGGCACGTGGTCTCTTCTTCCCCATCCATGAAGTCCTACTCCTTTTGCAGAGAGCAAATCAAGCTCACCTCCTCCAGGAAGCCCTCCTGGGATCCCAGCCTAAGTCTGCTTGTTTTCTGATAAGCTCTCACAGAAAGTGTCCTTTTATTCTGGTTCCCGATCACAGTTTATATTGATGGATATTTTAGTGTGACTATCTGCCCCCCCATGAAACTCTACACTTAATGAGAGTAGGGGTGCTGCTAAAGTTTGCTCCTTACTTTCCTGTAGGTGCCTAGTAACTGTTTGTGAAAATAGATCAACTATTTCCCACTGTGAGACTCTAAAAAGATAAACCAAGGAAAATCCCTCAATCTTCTCACAGTTCAGCACTCTTTGGCCCTTCTGCCACTGGAATGGGAGGTTAGAAGCATGATTAGGTGTTCCACCATATTTCTACCTCTCTGTATGTCCTTCCAGAGGTCACTGTTATTTACACACATGCTAGTTATCCCCAATCCTCAAGTTCATTTCAAGGTCGGAGCAGGGGGTGTTCACGCTCTGGAGGAACAGTCAGGGAGGAGGCAATGTCTTAGTTGGGAGGTGAACAAGGTTGTACAGCCAGCCCCCTCTTCCTTCCCTTGATGACTAGAGTACGAGCCTGTCTGTCCCGTTCTGGATCAATGACTGAAAGCCCACATGCCTGCAGATAAAAGCCACGTTCTCTGAAATTGATTTTCTGGGTAACAGCAGTAAGGAGGGGTATTGCGTGCTGTTGTATGGGTTGTGCACCGCACAACGCCAGGGATGCCGCCTGCGCCGTAGGCACAGCAGCCTCGAGGTGCCCTTGATCTCCCCTCTGCCCACACCTTCTGCCGTACTTCACAGTCATTCCAGAGTAAGGCAAGACGCTAGTGACTGGGTCCCTGCAAGCTTCCGCATTTGCTTCTCTGGTGCACAGTTTTCACATTTACGACATAAGGAACTTAAAATGGGTGATCGTTCTTGATACCTCTCCAACAACAACAACAACAACAACGGAAGTTCTAGAAACCTAATAAATCTCTAAAATCCTGGTGACTAAAATGTCTCCCAACATTAGCAGTTAGGTAAAAAATTAATTAAATATTTTAGCCTTAATGGAGACTCATTTGTGACTATAAAAGAGCAGAGTCAGGAGTCTACCACTGAGCTGTCCAGTACAGAAGCCACTGGCCACGTGTGTCTACTGACCACCTGAAATCGGCAAGTCCACACCCGGTTGCGCTGTAAGTATAAGGTGCACACCGGACTTCCAAGGCAGGAAGAAGGTTTGTCTTATTTGGCACCCTCAGCCCTGATTGTCCCATTGATACTTTACGCTGATTACATGTTAAAATAACATTTGGATATGTTATGTTAAATGAAAAAAGTACAAATGTTAATTTCACTCTTCTTTTTTCACTTTTAGAAATGTGGCTACTTCATCTTTTAATTACACATGTAACTTGCATACGTATCTATTGTTCAGTTTGATCTAGGGGATTATGAAGCGTGTTTTTTAGGGGGCTAAATGAACTTGTGTTTTTCTTCTTACTTGTCCACCAGTTACCCAAACTTTAGGACTCTTTGGAAAGGCAGAACATTTGGGAAATGTAGCCACTGATTCCATAGAAAATAAGAATTAGCTCATGGTGGTCCAGCGCCCCAGGCCCTTAAGAGCAAGTAATAAGCCTTTGCGTACCACTTAAGGAACAACTCACACTCATACCTTTCCGGCCATCTTCCCCGTCACATCCTGGGAAGCCTTTGCGTCCGGGAGGGCCCGGTGGGCCAGGGGGCCCTGGGGGCCCCGGCAGGCCACATTCACCTGGTTCCCCTTGCACAAGGTCAACACTTCCAGGGGGGCCTGGAGGCCCGGGTGGTCCTGATCACAGGGAGGAAGCAAAAAGGTTCTTTCAGTCAAAGACAAATGAGGGTGCTGAGAGCTTCTCCAGGAAAGTAATTTAAGGGTTTGCAAGCAAGGGAGGGAGGGAATTAAAAGAATAAGGGAATCGATAGTATCAGAAGTGAAACAGAGAGTAGGTCTCAGGGAGCCTGAGAAATGGTGTAAATAGTCAGTTAGTGGCTGTTAGGCAAAATGAACCTAGCAAAGCCTTCCCTCCCTAAAGAGCCATTGCTTTTGGAAGCATCAGTTGATGATTTTTGTTTGCATCGCCACCCCACTGTTTTAATATGATAGAAGGCAGATGATAGATAGATAGATAGATAGATAGGTGATAGATAAATGGATGACAGGCTTTTGAGAAAATCTGGCTGATGTGAAAGAAATGTTCACTCATTTAAACATAGTCCTATTCAAAAACAAGTGTCTACATATAAACATTAAGCTCAAGTTGTATTCTGCTAAAACTGGGTTGTTTTAAGCACCTTTCTTTTTTGCAGTGAAATAGAATCATATCATACTATCATCCCACCTTTACTAAAATGGTAAGCATTTAAAGACGGTGGGTTTGTGTCTGCCTGTGGGTTAGGAGGGAGACGACTATCTGCATGTGGCAAAACACTGACTGAGCCACGCTCTTCCCCGAGTGCCCCGCCCAGCTCTGGTCCAACCCTGTTTGGGGAAACACCGCCTTGCTAGGCTTCGTTCCTGAGAAGTGATGCGAGGGACACAATGGACCGTTAACAGCACAGGGAGAGTGCTTCCGTGTTTATGCCAGGCCTGGGTCCTGTTGCTCGGGGCCAGCGGCAGAGGTTTATGGGGCAGGCGCTGGAGACCTGCCTGCACATTGGAGGAGATTCTTTCCCGCCAGCCATGATGGCCCCTCACGCTCAGCCTTGAGCCGGTGGTGGCAAACGCTTGCTCTGAGTCAGAGTCTGTACCCACACAGACGTGGTCTGATAGGGAGGAATTAGAAGAGGGAGGGGCCTGAGCTCTGCTTCTGCATGTGGTCCTGCCAGTCCCCCTGCCCCGCTGCTGCGCTCCCACCTTTCCAACCACCTCCTCTGCCATTCCCTGGTCCTACCTCCCTAAGGAGCAGGCGGCCTCTAAGGGCATGGCGCCACCAGCCTTTGCCAGGAGAGTCCCATACCTCGTGGACCATCAGGGCCAGGCGGTCCTTGATCTCCAGGAGGACCCGGGTAACGAATGTCAACCTTGGGAGCTCTTCCTGGGGCTCCTGGAGGCCCAGGTGGGCCAGGTCTCCCTGAGGATGGACGTGTTCAGACGTGAGCCTTGTTACAATGGCAGGTTTTGATTTCATCACTGAGAGAGGGAGGCAAAGCATTCTGCTTCTTACCTGGAGGGCCTGGGGGGCCTTTTTCTCCAAAAAGGCCTGGAGGAGAAATTCCTGGACTTCCGGGGTCTCCTCTCTCCCCTTTTGGCCCAGGCATGCCCATTGGCCCGGGTGGGCCCACCTCCTTCAGACCTTAATGTAGAAAACAGCATTACCACTGTATCTTCTCCTTGTCTGTCCCTGTCATCGGGGGCTGACCTGGAAATAGCCGGTTCTGTTGAGACCAACCTCAACAGTGACCCCATGGCTGGGTCCCCAGTTACTCTCTTGAGACCCTCACACTGGTCGCCATAGGCTTGATTTACTTTATAATTATTTTCCAGATTAACAACAACAACAACTTAGCGATAATACCAATCCTCTAGCCTCTACAATGGAAAGAGTGAAAACAAATGAGATCCAATCATTTGTAATTATCAATAAATTGCTTTGAAATCGAAGGTGGAAACTGACATGTAAATAGAATTACTGTAAAGTTTCACATTGAAAAGACAGAGCATCATTGGTTTCTTGGAGAGGACAGACATTTTATCAGACTATTTAGAACAGCCACTAAATGAATCCTAAGTGACCTAAATTTCACTTCTTGACCCTCTGCACTGTGAAAAGATGCAACAATTCAAATCTAGCAGCACAACAATTCAACCCTTTTCCCACAGACCCTCAAATCTATGTGTCTGATTCCAGCTACCTTGTCGGATGCCAACCTATTTTTCTAAAAAGCAATGCAACAAATATGCAATCTATTAAAATAGCAAGACAAGCTCAAATGCAATTGTCAATAATTATCCACTTGTTATGTCAAAAATAACAGCAATTTTTTCAGGTAATTTGTTTTAGCAGCAGGTCGAGGGATACTAAAAGCGCTAATTAGACCCACGTGGCTGTACTTGGCGTTACTGTACTTAAAACAAACAAAAATCCCAACTATTTATTTTTCTTCATATTAACATTTTGAAACCTACCCCCACCTAAGCAATAATTCGGGGTAATTTTAGTAGAGTGATAACCCTAAGCGACATCAGCAAAAGGCACTGCTAACCAACCATGTCATCTTACATCGGGTGTTCTCAAGGGTCCTTTTTATGCGTCATCTTCAGCACTACAAAGAGTTTCAACACTGTGTCTTTAAGCAAAGCCAGTTTCTTAGTTTTGTTACCCAAATCATGTGAAGTGAGGAAATACCTACCCGAGGCACACTGACTGCAGGTAATTCTCTCACAGAGGGGTTCCTCTTACCTGAAGCTCCTTTCATTCCTTTCTGTCCCTTTAAACCATGCAAGCCGTTCAGGCCGGGTAACCCGGGGGGACCTGCAACACATCACAGGCCTGTGAGCCCCAGGAGAGGACCAGCCCTTGAATTTCACGGGTCACAGCCCGCAGGCACCTCTCAGAGGAGGGAAATAGATTCTCTCGGTGGGAACCGTGAGATCTCACCATCTACACATCATTACCAGGGCTGAATCCACACCAGTGGTTACTATTTCACATGTTCATTCAGTGGACATTTTCTGCCAAGACCATTTAACCCATCCCCTTCTTTGGTTTGAAAGTACTGCCATGGGTGTGTGACCATTTCAGGAACATCTTTCTCTCTGGCCAAACACAGACTAGAACTTTTGGGTCATGGTGTGGGTAGTGACCTCCAATTTTATGACAATAAAATCATCCTAGATGAGGAGAGAGAATGGAAAGGAGCGAACCCAGGCCTCCCTCCTCCCAGGTTCAGGCTCTTTCCACTCCACCACAGTCTTCAGATTCTAACGTCTACAGGACCTGGTCAGGTGTGTGGTGTAAGACAATAAGGACAGGTGGGACCTGCGGCATACTGAGGAGTCCATGCCCTACCTAATTTGTTTTTAAGCACTGTGCTACTCAGAAAAAACAGGCCTGAAGGTCAAGTTTGGCTGCGCCTCTTTCTTTGCCACCCGCTCTTGCAAAGAGAATTGTTCCGATGCCTCTTTTCAGAAACTAAATTTATTTCATGATGATCACTGAAAACTTCATTCTCTGCAGTTAGATGTGATGTCATTGATGCCCTTGTCTTCTTTCCGAATCTTCTGTCAGACATCAGCGTAGTTCCCTAAGCAGACATTTCCCAACCTGACTTCACTAAAGTTGTCACTGAACACCAGACACCTGTACATTTATAGATTTATCAATATGCAGGGGTGGGCATACTTATAGCTGTACGTATGTGAAACACAGAGTTTATTCTTGTATTATTTATTGTATTATTTTCCTTACAAACAATGGTAAACCTAATTTTGCCTCCTCCTGTATAGGGATACATGGTCTGGCACAAGTAACATCCCTTTTACTACAAAATCTTAAGCATGTAATTCTGTAATATAACAATGTCACACTCAAGCACACCCTATGACATGTTAGGTGAAATGTTCAAATTAAAACTGTAAATTATTACACCTGTAACATCAACCTACCAACCACACTCAGCAGGCCTTACTTCTGCCAGACCCTGTATATGTATATATTTATAATATATTTATATTATAATAGATAGCATATTCTGTTATAATAAATAAGTGCATAAATGTATAGGGAGGGAGTAGAGGGGAGAAGAGGAGGGACAGAGGAGGAAAGAAGATAATTAATACAGAACATTCCGGGCACTGAGCTCTCCGCCATGAGCCTCACACACATCTCACCCTACTAATTAATTTGGGGAAAAATCTTCTCCTCAGCCCCTGGCCAGTCCTGTAAATGACCTCTTTCATTAATGATTCTTCCAACCACTGGCTGTTCATCCTCACTCAAAGCTCCAAGCCCCTCAGTGCACAGCCTGACATTCGCTCAGCTTAGGGTCCCAACCCTTGAATTTGCAGTAGCAACAGCCTCAGCTTACATGACTTACCCACCGGAAGTGCCTGTCCCTCCACCACGACACCTGCCTAGACCCCCTCGGTACCCGTACGGCAGTCTTGTCTTTGGGAAGCTGGCTTATTTAGGGTAAACTAATTGAGTGCAAGATCAGAACTTATTAACCTTTCTATGCACCTCTTGGGCATATCTCCTGACGACACACAGTGGGTGTTCAATAAGTGTTTGTTGAACAAGTGAATGAGTAAATGAATGAGTGACTGAGAAAATGTGGACCATGAAGGGCGAGGGATTGAATGGGCAGAGAGAAAGCTATTAAAAAAGAGAACTACAATTTCTATTTCACGTCACATCTTTCTGTGACAGATTTATAATAAGATTTGGGGGAAGTCAGAAGTAACCATTTGTATATAAATAATACAAGGGCTAATTATTATCCATTCATTAAAGTAAGTCCGTAGTGGACTTACTAGAAGATGGATGTTAGTTGGTTCCATTTTACTTATTATCAGTACTTGAAAGAGACAGTTACTCAATTTTTAAAATCTAAACTTTCGATTGGTGCAAATGAGCCATATTCTTTAACACTAAAAAAAAAAAAAAGAAAAACAGAAAAACAGAAAAAGGGAATGCACCCTTACTTTCCCTAAAGATCTTACTTCCTGCACTCTTAACGGTTCTGGTTTAGTTTATTTTCCAATCCTCTTTCCTATTTATAAGCCAATGTTCCAAGTCTGCACCAAAAGAACACACAGACCTCCCTCATCTGCCAAATCTGGATATTTACTGTAATCTATCTGAAATGATAATAAATTGTAAGACGACTTTGCTATTTCAGCGTGTTTTGATCTCCAGCTCAAGCCACAAGATGGATGGCTTGAGGGAGTTGGCCGGGGGTGGAGTGCCTCAGCTTCTGCCAACTCTCCCTTGTCACATCCACACGTCCAGATCCAGGGCTGTCACCGTCCCGGCCCCTGCCATTGTTGAACTGGCCGCCCCATATCTGACCCAATGTTATCTTTCTAAATTGAATGCAGCTACATCTGGGCAGGGTTTTAAGGGCAATTTTTCCTTTCTACTGAAAGCTTTTTATCAACCCCAGCTCTAAATCAGAAAGTCGTTCATGCATAAAATATAGACAGTGCTGACGAGAGGCAATTAGGCTAACAAAGCGCAGTCCTTGGTAATGAGGAGTTTTAGCCACCTCTATGGATGCCTTACTGCTAAAAGGCATCATTTCAGGCTGCATCATGTGGCACGCACCGGCTGGGCTCCCCCACGCCCCCACTGCACCCCCCACTGGAGGATCCACCCTAGCTAGAACCGTAGCTTCCAAATGGGTGAGCCAAGAGACTCTGTGGCTGGAGATCCACCCTAAGGGTTTCTCCTGTCCGTCCGAAAGCCTGATTACACTCCTCTGTCCCCAGGGGCCTTGACATGGGTTTCTACTTTTAACACAGAGACCATCTTGTCCCTGTTTCTTGAGAACTTTTCAGTTCTAGCAAGGAAGTTCCATGTCCTCAGACACCCCCTCAGTCCCAGGCAAACCAGGACAACTGGTCACCCTGACATTAAAGCTGATGGGAAAGACAGACCTACATGACTATCAATAATGTTGAGCAAAGTTGCAAACTCCTCAGAACAGATTCTGAAATACAATTTAATTGTTTTTTAATTGAGAAAATACATGAGTGCCTACGAAAGGAATGCACAAGAGCATAAGACGTGGTGTTCTGACCCAGGGAGCTTCAGTTCCCAAATGGCCTTAGTAGCAGGCACTGAATGAGGCAATGAGGACCTAGAGAAACAATCTCTGATTTGACAGAACAAATAAGCAATTACCTCAGGACTGGTAAGTGCTGTGGGGAAGGGGGGTGGGGGGAGGGAACACACTAATTGTAAATGGGAGGGAAAATATTTCTATGATTTTCACAGTCTAGGGTGCATGGTATTTCTTGGCTGCTAAAAGATTCCAAGGTATTTTATTTCTTATTCTTTAATTTTTATTTATTGACTTGAGAGAAAGAAACAGCAACCTGTTCATCTAGTTATGCATTCACGGGCTGACTCTTGTGTATGCTCGGACTAGGGATCAAATATGTAACCATGGTTCACCAGGACGATGTACCAACCAACTGAGCTACCTGGCAAGGGCCCAAGTTTTATTTCTTATGAAATATTTTATTTGCCACCAACTAAAATAACCCAGCCCATATTATTTAGTCGTTGTCATGCTACAGAGTTCTTTCGGTTCCCATAACTCCAATCCTCTATGAATGTTCAACAGGGATTGAGTGTCTTCCTTGTGGAGGACACATGCACTTGAAAATTGAAATCTAGGAATCAGGCCATTCGTAGCATATGTTTAAGTTAAAGTTTCAATCGGATTGAACAGAAGCAGGACTCGGAATCCATATGGCTTGTTCTAGCAGAGCAAACAACTTTGAGTTAAGCCGCTGGTTTGTTCAAACATGAAAATCAGGCCCACTGACTTATTTAGCACATACTTCAAATATTTAGTTCCTCAGTGCAAAGTGTTTCGGCTGGAGTGTGGCTCATTTTTATACCAGCATGATAAAGTGCAACAATGAATTTATATGGTCAGTGTTTTAATTTGCAGGACTGTATCTCGCTGTTTTCTTTCTTTCAAGACTGGACCGTTTGCAGTGAAACAGTGCCACCACCTGGTCAAGAGGCGCACTTATGATTTCAAAGCACAAAATGATGATGTGATTGGAGATCACCTTTCCAGGAATTTTGTTTTTTGATCAAATTCATTAGCTTTTAGGTTCTTAAATAACATATCAAGCTGAAGTTATCTAATACATTCAAAGGAAGGAGGAATCAATAATGTTAAGTTGAGCTTCGTCATTTTAGTCACACTGGGTGTGTACTGTTTTGGCACCAACAGGCTTGAAAATCTTTACAATTTTATTGAACTAGGAGGATAGGATGGAGTGGAAATGCAGGAGGAGTGATTAACCATGGAAAATATTTTATTTTGGTTCTTTAGCCATTTTATCTCCCAGACATACAAAGAAAGTGTCAAAGAATACCCCACCAGGACTGCAGGTATTGACAGCAAGTGGCCGCAATACCAGAGAAACTCTTAAAATAACACAATTACCATTTTTCTCAAAGCCTTAAAGTTATCACAAATCACTGGAATTTGCATTATTAAAAATGCCAATGAAGAGGGAGGAAAGCAATACCAAGATCTCTTGTCTTGTGACGGGAACTTTTCCCCATCAAGTCATTTAGCGGTACAGAAATAACTGTGTACCAACCTTTCAAAATAAAAGCTTACCTCTCGGCAGAATTGCCGCAGGCGACATACCCTTCTACTCCTCGCTAAGAAACCGCAATTAATTGAAGCTGTATTGGGAGTGAAGCGGTGTGAGTGTGGAAGATGATCATTTGGATTTTCAAAACAATAATATGGTTAAGCTCAAAGGAAAGGATTCCCAGCTCTTCCAAGAGGAGGCACTTTCCATTTTACCAAAATTCAGTGCATATATGAGTCAATAAGCAGAGGCAAGTGGAAGGGAAAGGGAAGCAGGAGGATACAGAGTGGTCCTGATTATAGACATCTACCAAGTACGGCTCAAACCTTCACCTGCTGATTGAGGTGAAGGCCCTCATCTTCATAGCTACTAGCTCAGTTGTCCATTCTTCGATCTGTCCATTCCTTCATTTATTAGTTTATTCATAAACTTAAAAATACTCACCAATAGCCATCCAACAGACTTACTGGGTATCTACTGAGTGATAAGGATATCAAACTAATCCTTGCTTTTTATAAAATCATCTTCTACTTGGTGAGAAGGACCTCTGAACAAACAAATGTCATGAAATGTAAGTGTTAGGCTAGAAACACATGCAAAGTACCCATGGAAAAAATATTTTTTCTAATGTGAAAGAACTGAAGAGGAATAAGTACCATAGATGAATGGGGCGGAGGGGGTGGGGAATGAAGATTTGTTAAAAATAGATTGTATAATTATATTATGTTATAGTGACCAGACCTATACTATAGACTATGTTTTTAAAAGCCAAGATATTCAACCAGGAAAAAACGTTTCTTTATCAAATGAAGGTAATGAAAACTAGGTCCTCCATAGCGTCTTATTTTTTTCTCTCCCTCCCACTTATCACAACTGGTAAAGAGGTATTTATTTACACATATAGATTTAATATGTGTCTCTCCTTCTACACTGTGAGCTCCATGAAGCAGGGACCACGTCTATTTTCTTCAAAATTGTGTCCTAGTATCTAGAATAATAGGAGCCTAACTCTCTGGGGAGAGAATAAATAAATGGTCCTGGACCTTCCAGAAAACCTGGGGGTTGGCGGGTGGGGGGTGGGGGTGCCCTCAGAAAATGGGACGGTGACAGCATCGTTTTGGTACAAGGCAAGTCAGGAGACATGATGGACCCGGCCTGCAGCCCTGGGTAAGAAAGGACGGGCGGGTGCTGATGACGTCATGGGGAAGAGCCGTGCCCCAGACCAGCGTCATTTGGTCGTATTTGTGTTATAGGGAAAGACACTATGAATTTGCCCTCACGGGCCTGGGTCTTTCCGACGGGTCAGGCTTCCTTCTGACTTACCCTTTATCCCCGGCAGACCTGGCGGCCCTGGATCCCCGATGAGGCCTCTTGGTCCAGGATCCCCCATTTCTCCTGCAGGTCCCGTGGGGCCAGGCCTCCCTGGGTTACCTGAGGGTGACAGGGAGGTTTTGCAGACACCCAGATGATACATGAGTTACATTAACTGGAAAGCTCCTCTATGTTCTTAATATATGAGGCACTTTAACCAGGAACACTGTTATTTTTCTTCGTAAGACCTCCTAACTCTAGGGAGAAAAATACACTTAGCCTGAGGAGGAAAAAGGCACTCTAAGTGATTAAAGTTGCCAATGACGATTTCGAACTCTCACTTCATTCTGAATTGGCAAGAAGAGGAGCCATTAAAATGTATGTGTAATATTTGCCTGAAGTCTAAAGGAGAAAAAAAACCCAGCAGCCTGAGTGGGATAAATTAGGAAGGGCTGGAAAGGACCTTCTATCTGTCACAGCATCCCTTCGAGCCTAGAACCCTGCTTGGTCCTCCACAGGTGTTGACTTGGTTTACTCCCAGACCAACCCAGGAAGACAGGGCTAGCTCCAACGGACAGGTAAGAACGAGGTAAGTTTTGGTAGCTTCTCCAAAGTTACAGGTCTCGGAAATGTTACCCAAGTGTGAGTGGAGGCTGGCTCTTTCTGATACAAGAGATAGGTAGGTGTCTGGGAAGATTACAGGCTTTCTTTCAAGGTACCTGGACACCCCAACGGTCCGGGGGAGCCCAGAGGTCCTGGCCTTCCTGGTGGTCCGCTGGGCCCTTCCGCTCCAGGCCAGCCCCTGTCTCCAGGTGCGCCCACATGCCCTGAATGAAAAAGGATAAAAAATCCAAGCCGTTGTAGATTGTTCTTCAAGGCTGTGAATCTAGAAAACCTCCAACTTCAGCCCTTGCTATTCTTTTCTAGCCTTTTTCAGATTGAACAACTTTTCTATTGAAAAGATAATGTTAAAGAAAAATTAAAAGCAAAACACCTAGAATCCCACCACCTTACGCAATTTTTATATGCATGCAAAATGCAAATAATACCCACAATTTTATACCCTGATTTTTTAAATAATATTAGTAATTTTCCAAGTTTCTCATCATTTTCCTAATTCTTGTTTTTAAATGACTGGCTGAGAGCTTACTGAGTTCCTCTAAATTAAATTAATTAATTCAATTTTTTCCTACTATTGGCCACTGAAGTTTTTCTCCTCTTTGCTATTATGCATAATGATTTTTATACATCTTTAATAAATGTTTCTACTATTAAAATATTTCCTTAGGAAAATTCCTAGGAGTAGAATTTCTAGGTAACACAGTGTGATATTTTGGGTCTTTTTATTCATTTAAAAATGCTGTGGTATTTTAAAGAAAATCACAGACATCATGGAATTCCATCCCTAAATTCTTCAGGAAGTATGTCAGAAAAATAATATTTTTTTACATGGCCAAAATAACAATATCACAGCCAAGAAAATTAGTAACAACCTTAATATCATCTAATACTCCTTCCATTCTTGAATTCCCTCAAGTGTCCCCTTAATACCCTTCACAGCTGGTTTGTCCACACCGGGTTCCATTCCAGAAGCACACATGGCATCTGGGGGATATATCCCTTCAGTTAAAGCAAAAAAACTACTACAGTCCTTTTCTCAGGACAGTGACTTGCTGAAAAGAACAATTCAGTTGTCCTCCTAGTCTTGTAGCACAGACCGCTCAGCCCTGGGTTCCTGGTGAGGCAGCCAAATGGTCTGGATAAGCTGCTGCAACTCATACCCGCCTGTGGACCCCCGCAGCTCATTCCCACACGTCAGCCAGGAGGGCAAGTGCTCGCTGAGGTCTTTCTAGGCTGCTGGTTTGCTTTCTTGCTAATTAATAAGGATGAAATAGTATTCCAGACTTACATTAAATTAGACTTCTTTGATTACTGGAGAAGGTGACTATTTCTCCATGTGTTTGTTTGCAATGTGTGACTCTAACACAATTCATATTTATAGGATAAGCTAACCGTGTGCTGAAAATAACTGGCTGAATCCACAAATATAAAATATGGCTCCGTATTGACAAACCCATGGAGGGGGGTGTACTTATCATTTATTGTAACATATTATACATGAAACAAGGCTATGTTAGTCTACACCTGTTCCCTGACCAATGAGCTTCTCTCTCTGTGTTATTTTATTTTCCATGAAAACATTCCTGCAGTACAGATACAGCATTATTCTCATCTTCAAGTGAAAAAGCGGAGGTGTCAGAGGGCCGGCACCACATCCCCGCCGCCCATCACAGTTGCAGTGAGACTGAGAACTTCTCGCGTCATCTGTACTATATTTTCTCTCTGAATTGGAGGGGGAGGTAGAACTGGACCCAGTACTGTCATGCATAATCCCTGAGGCTGTGCTGTGGCCTCTCCTCAGGCTCATTCAAATTCAGTGCGGCTCTTTCCAGTCAATGGAAATCACATATTTAGGTAAACTCTGAGCTGGTGAATAACATAAGATGTAATTTTTACATTTTAAGCTAAAGCTACAGCATATGGGAAAGGGAACACTTTAAATGGTGCTAACCACAGGAGACCAACGAAGTTAGGCCAAGGCAAATTTTCTTGAGAAAGTTAGCTTCTGTCTAAAATAACTCAGATTTATTGTTTCTTAATTAAAACATTATGTAATATCAAAAGGCTCCATTTTGCACTACTTTCAGCTTATAATTTCTTCCTACCTTCACTTCTCTTAATGTTTTCTGACTGATGATGATGACGACAATGACATATTACATTTGTGTAACAATTTTCAGTTTAAACCCTTTGAACGATCCTGCAACATGCATAGGGCCCATTTACAGGTGAGGAACCCGAGCTCCCAGATGATAAGCAGCTTGCAGAGAGCACGCGCACAGTAATAATGGAGTCGGCTTTGGGCCACGGACTTCCCTTTCTGAGACTGCTCACTCTGGCACGTGTTATGAACCCCCGTAATGCTAACCTGAAAACTATTTTCCCCTCCAAATGTACACTTCGGCTACACATTTCCATTAAAATATTATATTATCTACATATATTTGACCATGTCAGAGGTAAAAGACCCATATGAGACAGAGTGGGAAATGAGGCCATTGTAATAGCTTGTTTTTCTTTTAGGCTTCCATTTGAGCAATCATGTGGTATAAAAACAAAGAAATAAATTTTCCCACAAACGTTCTGCTCAGATGTTCTTCCTGTTCTGTGGAATGAAACATGGACATTGCCAGAGGGAATTTTAAGATAATGCATAAAAAGAGAGGCTTTAATTTTCAAGGGACCCATCGAAATACAATCTACTTTCTAACCCATCCACTACCAGCAAAAGGACGTTGGGCATAAGCCATTTACCAATCACCTGTGGACGGACATGGTTCTTTCCATGCAATGGATATCGCTGTGGACGCATCTTTGCGCACTTGTCAGGTTGGTGACTTAAGATAAATCCCTACAAGTAGAATTACTGGGGTGAAGAGTAGGCACCTTTTGTCCACTGTGGGCGTAGCCAGTCACAGTGTCCTGACCCACAGGGCGAGAACGCGTGGCTCTGTCACAATCTGTTCTGAGGGACTGCAGGGCAATTGTTACTGATAGACAGGCACTGCTTTAAAGAACTTCGATTGGTTATTGGGGATGAGGTTTTACATGTGTTTGGTTTGGTTTTTAGTGAGCTAGCTATTTAGTAAGTGCGATATTCAGTGGTATCAACAACGGCATGTCTCCTTGGCATTCACATGTGCTTTTCTAAGCAGGAAAGAAAGGGCTGGAATGAAAACCTGCAGCTATACTCGGTGGGAGTGATTATGGCTAATGTATCATTTTTAATTATAGAGACTGCAAAGTAGTCCAAGTTTTAAATGTTTTCAATAATATTTTCTACTGTGTCAAAATCCGGGCATGCCCGGGGATACACTGTCATGTCAACATCATCGGTCCGGGGAGCCACGATGGAAAAAAAGGCTGTGAATTCGCCGCGTGTAGCCCTGGTGTCCGTCCCAGCCAGGAGTGCCCTGCTGCATTTCTATGCAATCCTTCCGATGTGTATCTTAATGGCAAAGGCAGGGAGGGACGGGGGTGGAATACTAACATAACATGGCAGGCTCAGGGGACAAAGTAATTGTTCTTTTTTTCAAACCAAACTTTTTTTGGTTTTAATAAGAAAAATATGTAGCTATACCTGGACACCCAGGGCTGCCTGGCTCACCCTTTGGACCGGGTGGCCCGAGCTGACTTGCAGGATCACCTTTGTTTCCTGTAAGGGATATAACGCACATAACATTATTTAAGCGAATTTAATTTTATCTCATACAAGTGACAATAATTTTCATAAATTTATCTTTATAATTTGTCTTTATCATTAAATATTCCAGGAGAGCATTTTTTAAAAATGCTTTCTTTTCCTACATAAGAACAAATGGAAACATAGATGCAAGATGTATGTAAATACACGCGATTTTACAATAACAATCATAGGAAACTATAAATCTTAACAAGTTTAAATTTCTTAACTCCCTAAAATAGTTTCAAATTGAGGCATCTATTTAAGAAGTTCCCTGGCATGGAGTGACTCTATCCTTATATTGTGTTTTTGAAACAAAAACAAGTTGTCACTGTTTCAGCTGCTACAGTCACACGTCAAGCTCTCTGCAAGGAAGCTCTACTTAGTGTTCTTGTAAAAATAAAATCACAAAGTCACACTTTATTGACGACTTCACAAGAGGTGGCACATTCAAAGGCCATTGTAGGCAATGACCCCTACAGTCCCGCAGAGCAGTTCCACACTGCCACCAAAAAGCTCCCGGACACAAGGACTTACGTCATAGTGGGAGCCCGCTATAAATGGAGGACTCAAAACAGGGTGGTGGGGAAAGCTCGCAAGAGACAAAGAGACCTAATCAGGAATGTTTATAAACCCCGCCCACCAACGCTGCTCTCTAAAGGGTCCCACCCACACCTTGTAATTGGCTCTCTTCCATCGGACCCTACTCGTAATCATGGCTAATCACTTGAGGGATAGAACTCTGCCAGCCCCCAGTCAGCCAATCTTCCCTTGAGAAGTTGCAATAAAAGGTGAGAATTTAAAGTCATTGGCTATTGAAGGAGAAAGCAAAAATATGTAGAGTATCATATGTGCCCTGATGTAGAGCACGTTGGAATGCAATCCAAACGTCACCAGAAGATCCAGAAAGGATACTAAATAGAGAGTGATGAAACCAGTTGGCAGATAAGTGCAAAACAGGCTGTGGAGAGTGGCAGAAGAGTCTCAGGAGAGAACTATGGGTAGCTTCAGGGTCAGCTCCATCAGCCTTATGGCCCGCAGCACTGTGTCTCCTCTCTGTGCATCCCCTAGGAGATCTTTCACTCTAAGTACCCTGAGTGCCTTTCGGTTCCTTGAAAATGTTGCCTAACACAAGTCCGAAGGAAATAAGTAGGTTTGTACTTTGAGAGAGCCAAAGGGACTAGAGTAAACTTATAGGGAAGTAGAAGAGGAGCGAGTTCTGAATCTTGAAGCTATAAAAGGTCAAAAGTCAAATATGAAAATGTGCTTCTTTGTAACCGTTTCCAAAAAGGAGATCTGTATTATTCTTTCTGAATAAATGTGTGCACAGTTTATTTTCTCTTACATATTTTCTTACAATTAACATGTTATTGATGTAATTTCTGTTGAAGAGTAAAGTATGTATCATTGGTAATAAAGGAGAGGATTTCTAGGTGGTTCATTAATTAGTATTTTACATTTTAAATGTTTTTTTTTACCATATTAAAATAGAATATAACTGCATATCAAACCTGTGAATTCATAGAGAGTAGGGTTAAAAATGTGAATCATTTTAAAGTAGATTTAAAAATATTAAACTAGCCCTTGTTGGTGTGGTGCAGTGGACTGAGTGCCAGCCTGCCAACCTAAAGGTTGTCAGTTCCATTCCCAGCCAGGGCACATGTCTGGTTGCAGGCCAGGTCCCCAGTTGGGGGCGTGTGAGATGCAACCGCTCATAGATGTTTCTCTCCCTCTCTTTCTCTCTCCCTTCCCCTCTCTCTAAAAATAAATAAATAAAATCTTTAAAAAATATATTAAACTAATGGTACAGAAATAATATCAACCCATGGTATAGAACAACAGTAAATGTATTAAAGGTTTTATGTAAACATTGCAATTTAAGATAGCCTGATTTCTGTTTATTTGCTTGTTTATGTCAGTAAAGGGTTAATGAAATCTCTAAGGACATTTTTGACATTGGGCCAACTTTCTATTTCTGTTTCCCAGAAACATGATAAAAATAGAATGTAGGCTGTTACAAGGCACAAGGTAAATTAAGGCCGGCAGCCTGTTTTAAATAAAGTTTTATTGGCGCTTAGCCATACTCCTTTATTGTCTATGGCTGCATTCTTGCACAACTGAGCAGTTGTGACAGAGACCACAAACTAAAAATATTTATAATTTGGTCCTTTGAAAAAAACATTCGCTGACCCTTTGCTTACAGTAAAAAGTAATCCAATTGTACATTACCTGTGGCCCAGGAAGTCTTAAGTGAAGTATTAACACCTGGTGGGAAGTCCTGGCTTTGGCCTTCGTGGGCTGTGACTTTTGTACCTCAGACCCTTAAAACCATACCTGCGGAGTCCTTAGAAGAGATTCTGGCCTCTGTGGGACATGGGGCTTCTCAGCCAAGGTGGACAGGGCGCACTCATGTGGGTCCGATCTCTTTGGCCCTAAGCTGTCACTTAAGAAGCTGCCGTCACTCCAAGGACAGAAGCAAGGTCTCCCTGTGAGGGGGACAACCTGAGGGGCCCTACAGGCTTGCTGCTGTCTGTCTGGTACTCTTGGACCTGAATGACAGTTGCGGATGACTTGAGTTTGAGTGTTTGACTCTCGAAGAGAGTGTAAAAAGAACCCCTGGCTGTTGCGGTTTGTTAGATTATGCTTTGCTTTGCATGCAAAAAGTGCTTGCTCACAATGTTACAAACACCCAGACTATGAGACTGATGGCTGGCTGCTGTGTTTCCAAACCATACCTTTAGGTCCTCTCATTCCATCAACTCCGGAAGGTCCAGGGCGCCCCGGAGAACCCGGCTCACCCTGAGAGTTTAATGAAACAGAAGGAGAACCTTAACTGGGTTTCAATGACGCAGGTGTGACATGATCCAGAGATAGTTTTCCATAACCCACTTAGTGTTTATAACTTGCAGTAGTAAAAAAAATGTGGAAATGCATTGCAAGCACGCTCCTACATGTGTCTAGTTTTTAAAAGTGGGTGAAATTTCAGAACTGGGGGCATCCTTACCAAGAGGTCACATCCAAGTCTCTATACTTGATAGCAAAATAGTAACCGCATCACATAACATGAATTTTAAGTTTTAAATACACAAGTTGATACTCAATAAAATATTATTAGAAATCATTTCATGCCAATAACTTTAAAAGCTTATTTTATTCCAAGAGATGAGTAGCAAATTATATTATACATTTTCTAGAAGTTGCGATGTAGGCATCTACACTTACTGTACCTCCTATCTTCTCAGGGGCTATTTACTCATAACTGTAAGGACCAAGTCAATGTGTTTACAGCAAAATCTATGATAACTGTAATTGGATATGAAGGCTTAGAAACCAGAATTTGGGTCATCTTTCAGGTGACTCTTTATTCTAGCCCACCCGCAATCATGAGGCAAGTCTCATGGAGCTGTTTTAACTAGGCTCGGGCTGGTACATGAGTAAGCAACATGGTCATCTATGTCACAGGAACCAGGCACTGGTCAGGAATGACAGTTACATCATGGTCTTCTGGAAATCTCTATCCTTCCCTCAGCCAACCCCTTAATTCTAAAAGCCAGGGAAAGGACAATGATGTCCACTGGCAAATTAGGATTCCTTCTCAGCATCCTGAGAGTACAGGTTTTATTCTTTCTTCTCTCCCACAATAGCAGCCACTTACCTGGTCACCTGGAAATCCTGGAAAACCAATGATCCCTCTAGGCCCGGGGAAGCCTGGAGGGCCCGGGGGTCCAGGAAGGCCAGGCTGCCCGTTTTCACCTGGCTCCCCTCTGTGAAATCCAGGTGGTCCCTGTCTTCCCGGCTCTCCTCTTCTCCCCAGGAACCCAGGGTCGCCTTTATCACCTGGTGGGGTGGAGAGTGTTACAAACCGACTGGAGAAATTCTTGGACTAGGCTGAGGGTCTTGGTCTGACTTTTAGAAGATGAAGCCAAAGGGACTGGGAATACTAATTCCTGCTCTAAACCACATGGCAATGGTTTGAGGTTCCAGTGACCTGACTGTGAAAGAAGCCACCCATGGGCAGCCTCAGGGGTGTCCTGGGAAGGAGCTCTCACAGTGTCATTTATGTCAACATACCCATTTTACAGATGAAGAACTTATCCAGGGAAGTTAAAGTGTCTGACCACTAACCATTAGCTAAGGACAGAGCCAAGACAAGAACTCGGGTCTCATGAGAATAAGTCTGAACTTGGGAAAGAAGACACCAGAGGGAAGGCCAAATCCTTGCTGCATGCTGTTTCTGAGGCAGCAGCACAGGCCAGGGAGAGCTTGTTAGAGAGGCAGGTGCAGCCCAGCCCTGTGGATTCAGAATGAGCCAAGTGAAATGACTTGGAAAATCTTTGTGCTATTCATTTTAATACCAGCCACCAAAAACGGGGTACCGTACACCTACAGTAGTATTTTGTATATATCTCGGGACTGATCTTACTTTGGAATATCCAAATCTATAAATACACATGAACTTCAGCTGAGTTCTAGCATATTAAAAAAAAAAAAAGACAACCCAACAACAACAAAAACTACCATAAATTTATTGGTATTGATTTATATCTATAAAAGGACCTGTCCTAGTCTCAGTGTTTCTGGAAAGGTCGCCTAATCCACATGCTTGTTTGAATGACCTGTAAGGAAGTTAATGTATTTGATATGGTTATTTGAGATTTGATACGTATTTGAGAAGAAAGTGTTTACCTTCTACTCCTGGGGGTCCATCATCTCCAGGAGGTCCAGTTTCCCCGGTTTTCCCCTTTTTGGAAATTATAGCCATTTCTCCTTCATCTCCTGGGGGTCCTGTCTCTCCTTTAGATAGTAATTATTCAAGAGCAAAACAAACAAGCAACACACATGTGAGCCTTCTGTTATCACTTCATGCCCGGTTTGCAAACCCCCATGTAATCTACTAAACTGCATTTATGTTTAAATGGGTGGGTTGCATAGTAGCAACTTTTTTGGTGGATGTCCTAAAGGAAGGGCCACGCCTTTTACCTCTATCTCCCACCCTGTCCACTAACAGGGTCTGGTGCATAGTGAATGCTCAGTGAACATCTGCTAAATTCAGCAAAGCTGGTCTCAGTCTTAAGTGAAAAAAAAGACAGGCTTGAAAAGTTCCAGGTCTAGAACATGTCTCTTCGTCCTGTAAAATTTGAATCACCTATCTCATATTTTCCCGTTCCCTATCTTCCCCTTCCTAGCCGCCCTCTATTATTTTCCTTCCATGAAAGGGACACTTACCTCAACGTGGCTCTCCACACAGAGAACTCCCAAAAGTAGGAAGAGTAAATGATATACTGCCTGATTTTTGTAAACACTGTCCAGTTGTAGAGTATGTGGGGTGGGCTCCTACCCGCTTGGTGAGAGCCAATTATTAACCATTCCAGAATTTTGGAAGTTTTAAATCAGCCATTCCGGGTTTATTTACACTGTGGTGAAAGTATTTATGCCACGGTGAGAGTATTCGTGCCACAGGGGAAGTATTCATGCCATGGCTATCAGCAATCACGATCAGGGCATTTATTCTAAATTTTAGTTTCAAGAACCAGTTTATTAACACATCACTGACATTCACCTAATTTTTTACTTTTTTAGGGGATAATTGTTTAGTAGCATAATATTGCTAGCCCAGCAAACATCACGTATCTCAGTTAGCAAAGAGTGATTCTTTGATTCCTTGATTCTACAGAAATAATGTATAGTATTAGTAAAACAAACTAATAGCAGAATCAATCACCTGAGAAGTAAGAGTAATTTGAATTGACTATAAGGCTATTTGCCCAAAGGGTTTTAAGGTTTTTAAGGTTTTTACCATGTTTCTAAAATTGACAACTATTCATTCTCAACACTAGAAGTGGAATGTTATCTTCACTCACTGCAGACTCATGATTAAGAGGTAAAAGTTGATATTTAACATAGATGAGAATGTTTAAATAAGCGATCTCAAAACTTATGTTTTATACTAATAAAAACTTGATTTTTTATTTTTCAATTATAGTTGACATTCCATTTCTTTTTAATTGAAAACTCTTACTTTAAATGAAGCCAAGGGGAGACTCAGCTCGGAGCCCAGATGAAAGCGAACTCGTTCTGTCTCCACGGTTGGCAAACCACAGCCCGAGGGCCAAACCCTGCCTGCTGTCAGTTTCTGTACAATTCATGAGCTGTGATTGGTTTTTACACTGTTAAATCGTTGGGAGAAAAACTCAAAACAAGACTAGTATTTTATGACATGTGAAAATTAGGTGAAGTTCAAATTTCCGTCTCCATAAATAAAATATTGTACATGTTGTCACCGGCTGCTTTCATGCCACAAGAGCCAAGTTGAATAGTTGCAACAAAGACCATATTTCCGGCAGGGCCTGAAATAGTTATATCTGGCTCTTTAAATAAAAAAAAAAAAAGGTTTGTTGTTGTTTTTGTTCCCATAGAAGGACTGAAACGGAATTTGGGAGCCAAGATCCCTGCCTGCACCCTTTTCCTAAAAGGTGAGAAGGTTCTCTGAAACCCAATAGCTATAAATCAAAGCATTGGTTAATTTTCTTCTATGAAGAGAGCAATTCATTTACCAAAGTTTTACATAATAAGACTCAGAGGTAAGGAAAATGAATTTTGTTTAAAATTCTAAAATCAACACCACAGAACCAAAAGGCAGAGGAGGAACCCAAGCTCCAGGACAGTCCCATTTCATTTTTCAGAGATGATATTTATGGGTTCTGATCAAACACTGAGAGCAAACCTAGGCCGCATCCCTATGCCGTTTACTGCACGTACCTTTAGCACCTCTCTCTCCCTGGTCCCCCCCAAAGCCGGGCCAACCCTTCTCTCCGGAGTCCCCCTTTTTGCCACGGTGTCCCTCCAGGCCAGGCTCTCCTCTCTCTCCAGGAAAACCTGGCAAGCCAGGCAGCCCCTGGGGTCCTGGAGAAAAGAAGGCATGAATTTTTAGGGAAACATTTTAAAGGCTAGCACTGTCCCGAGATCGGTGTTCCTGCTGTCCCCCTGAGCTCGCACTCCCCGCTGCCTCTGAGCGCGCATTGAGGGCGGGCAGCCACGATCAGTCTCGTGCCGTGGAATAGCTGGGCTCTCCCTCCCCACAGATCTCGAGTGCAGGCCCTTATGTTTCTGAGTCCTGATCCCAGAATGGTTTCAGAGAACTGGGTGTGAGGGAGGAAGCTGGAGAAAGCCCGGGGGGGGGGGGGGGGGCGGGGCGGGAGGCTCCCAAAATAGAAGCGCATTAGCCCTGACTCTACAATTTACTGGTTTTACCCAGTTCATTGTGCAGAAGGGCTTGTGGGTTCTGCGGCCCCAACACCCCACCAACCAAAACATTCTGCAGCTTAAAATATCAATACAGAGGACAAGAAGAGGAGAGATGTCACTAAGGGAAGGACAAAGTCAGGCTCATTGAACAGAACATTCTACAGTGTGGTCATACCGAACAGGCTCCACTTGGCAGTGGATTTTGAGTTTATAAAATGAGGAAGATAATTAAAAAGTACTACCTACCTTTGGGGCCTGGGAGACCAGGTAGTCCATCATCCCCAGAGGGGCCTGGGATTCCCGGGGGGCCTGGGGGTCCATCTGCCCCTGGCTTTCCTGGGGCTCCTGGGAGGCCCTTCATCCCAGCTGGTCCAGGAGGCCCCACATCCCCTCGCTGTCCTTTCCAGCCTGGGTCGCCTGGGACAAAGCACAGTGACAACAATGTGGGGAGACTGAAAAGTGGCTTCACACATAAGCAGGTAAAAAATAGTCATGGTAGCTTAACTTATGCATCTGGGGCCAATGAAACAAAATGAAACGATATTTATCAGCTACAACAAGACTAGGAGCTCTCCGTCATTCTACAAAGATACTTTTTCTGGCTGCTATAAAATGAAGGGCAGAAATATTTTCAAACATTTTTACTTGAATAAATACTTCCCAATAAAGATGCATGAATATTATAAAGAGTTTTTTCATGGGAAATGGATAGGGGTAAAAACTAAAATGTTACTTATATTTACTCTTGGTGGGGTGGAGAGGTGAGTATGGAAACTAAAGAAGACGTTCCAGGGCCTTCCGGACGCAATGGTCAAGTGAGTTTTGGTCAGAATGTTAACTGTGATGAGAGAATTGTAGAAATCAGAGGAACATCATCTAATATTATTGGTGCTAGAAATAAAGTGACAGTGACAGGTTTTGTCCCAAGCTTGTGTTGACCCTATGATAGGGCATATTCCTCCATTTGGATCAAAGCAAGGACTTACGTCACCGGTGGCAACCTGAATGGCGAGATGAAGACCATATTGGAAATAGCCCCCTAGAGGCCTGTGCTGAGAAACCCTCTTTCACGGGTCTCTTTGACTTCCTACACATCTTGATGGGTTTGCCAAGGATACAAGGTCCTGACTGCTCTTTACTTGGGCTATTATTTCTCAAGGTCATGTTTGCAGTGAGCAACCTTGACAGGTGATAGAGCACCGTCCCCGGTACAGGAAGCAGGTTGTCTTCCAGGCTACCGCAAACCAGTGGTTCCCCATGCACGGGGTTTCTCCCAGGTACTGTAACCAGCTGTGTGTGTGGCCCCTATCTTGCTCTTTATATCACCCCCAAGAGACTTGGGTGGCGTGGGGAAATGACACAAGCCAACAAGAAGCTCATGCTGCCTTCTGTGTGGCAAATAATGAAGTTTTTCTCTGATCCTGCAATCTTGCTTCTTCCAGCATCCGTGAAAGGGCAACAGGCGAGCCTCTTCCTGTGTAAGTCAGGTAAGGCCCCAGACCCTTCACAGTCCTCGCCACCTGCTGACACTTACCTGGGCTGCCTGGAGCCCCGGGGAGTCCCGGTGGCCCTGGTGTTCCCGGAGCGCCTCTTTCACAGGAATGGCCAGGTAGACCTGGGATACCTGGAAACCCAGCACTTCCCTCTCTGCCTTTAGGACCTTTGAGACCAGGGATTCCGGGCATGCCAGCTGGCCCTGAAATGATACGATTCTTCTGTGACACTCATGGAACCCAATGACATAGGTAGCCTGCCACAGAGGGCAGGCTTATCAATATGGGAAGTCAACATTTTCATCCGGGCTCAGGGCTCTCAAGAGTTAAGTCTCTGAATGAGGAAACGAGACAGTACTAACAGAGTTACTGGATAAGGTGCCACAGAGAGCAAAGGAGCTGCTTATGCAAATTGAAAAACCATGAGGTTCTTCCTGATTTTAATTAACCTCTAACATTGCAGCGGCTTTCACACCAAATCTCCACAACACTCACAAACCCAATTTGTGCTGTATTAATTTGCATTTCTATTTATCGGAAAGGTGGTGTCATCATCTTCAGAAAGAAAAATACCTCCCTATAATTCCCTGTCCCAACCAAAAAAAAAAAAATCTATTTTACTTTTCCATATTTTCTTTATATTTTTGGTTCCTATGTATACATTTTTAGAGTAGTAATCAAGTGCACGTTCAATTGTTAGATTATTTCCCATTGCATATTAATCTGCAAATGTTTTCCATTTTGTTGCAGTCTTTACAAATATAATTTTAATTGCTAATGCTAATAGCTGAATAGTATTTCTTTTTTTGAGTGTATACTTGGGTGTGTATGTAACTTAACTCTCTTTATTATGAATAATGCTACAGTTGACCTCTGAACAGCTCAGGTTTGAACCATACAGGTCAACTTATATGCAGATTTTTTTTTTCAATAAACACTGTAAATGTATTTTCTCTTGCTTATGATTTTGTTAATAGAATTTTCTTTTTGCCAGCTTACTTTAATTGTAACAATACAGTATATAATACATACAACATACAATATATGTGTTAATTAACTGTTTATGTCATCAGTAAGGCTTATGGTCAAGAGTAGGTTAGCAGTAGTTAAACTTAGGAGAGTCCAAGGTTACTTGTGGATTTTTGACTGCGCAAGTGTGGAGTTGGGGTTCGGTGCCTCTAACCCCAGCATTGTTCAAGGGTCAACCATAAAAGCGTGTTTTCCTAACCTTCATCTTCTGTCAAATGCTGCCCTGAGACACATTTTCACAAGTCCGATAGTAAGATTATCAGACCAAGATTATTTTCATTGACTCACATAATGTGCTGTGACTTTCCAATCTTTTGGGGTTCTGTATATGAATAGTTTAACTTAAACCACCAGGTAAGCTCCCTGAAGACAGAGAACGGGGCCAACTCCCCTGCCCTCCCACCTGCTCACATGCTTGTGCTGTCATGGGCACCTAATAAACGCTGGCCCGTCCGCTGTTAGAAAAGAGCCAGAGCAGTGTTTCTTTAAGTCTGGTCTGCGGTCCACTCTTGGCCACTAACACTCTAAGGGCTACAGTTTATACTGGACTGTTGGGCCTCGCGCAATTCTGATGGAATGAAACAGAATTCCTGAAACTGGATCCCAGAAGATGATTCTAATGACCTCATCCCACCTCCAACCCAGGATTGCTTTTAAATTCACTTAAATCTGAAAACCTCTGCCGGGGATCCTGAAGAATCCTTAAGAGATTTCAGAAAAGGGTGTGAACCTCTGCCGCGGCCACCTTCCCATCCTGAGTTTCTCCCCTGCTGCCCTGCCTGCTGCCCCTGTTGGAGTGGAAGCCCTGTCACCCTGCCACCTGTCCAAATCATGCAGCTCATCTGCCAGGGCTCAGCGGGCACCCAGCTCTCCCAGGGTGCGCTCCCTGAACTCCAGCCTGCATTGCTCCGCCCCTCCGAGCTGCTCCTCCTGGTCTGGTCTGTCCTGTCCTTCACCCTGGCAATGGCAGTGGGCAGGTTACATAGTCCTTGCTCCTTGACACTAACACACTGTCCCAAGTCCGAAGCAGGCAGACCGACGCCCAGTAGCTGCTGAATCAAATTGATTCGCCTGAGCCACAGTGAGCTGCTCTGCATTTGAAAACAACCAATAAAATGCAACGGTAACACAGGTTTTCTGAAATGTAATCGGGGTGCCCACATAGGAGGGAAGATGCTTGGGGGACATTTTTATGTTCTAGATTTCTAAGTCAAGATAGTGTAAATGCTCTTCAATGACCTGTTCCAGAGCTGAGCTGGCTTGGTAGACGCAGGGACAGCGCAAACCTCATACCTGCAGGCCCAGGATATCCTGGGTCGCCCCTGAGTCCTTTCAACCCTGGCATTCCCGTAGGACCTCTCTTTCCTGGGGGTCCTGGGTGGCCATAAGCAGGGTCTCCAGGGATTCCTTTCTGACCATCCAGTCCAGGTAAACCAGGAAGGCCTGGGGGCCCAGCCGGAGAGGAGCCCTTGTCCCCTTCCAAACCTGGATCTCCCGTGGCACCACGAACACCTATGGAACAAAAATTGTTTCAATCATTAAACGTAGAAATATAGAGCCTATGCAACTATAAGGCTACTACCTTGGGAAAAAACACATTTTTTAAAAATACAAAGGTATGTAACACGTATTGCTGTTTTTGCCACCTTTTTGCAGGGAAACAAAATGTAATTTTGTGTTTCCTAAACACCGGTGATGTCTCCCTAATTGCTTGCATTCTCTGACAAATAGCTTGTCTGGACTGAGCGTAATAGACCAATAATGGCCTATAGCTCATGCTTCAGGTGAAAGAGGCCCTGAGAACACAAAATTATCATAACACAGCTAAGAGTTTAATGTATCAACAAAACCCTTTTCCCCACCATCTGGGGATCTCGGGCCATTTCCTGGCTAAGAGCACCCAGTTTTAGAATATGTGACTTTCTCAATGAAAAGCCCTTTCCTTACCAGGTGGACCAGGTATTTTTGATGTTCCTGGTTTGCCGGGCTGACCTTTTTGCCCATCCAAACCTCTCAGCCCAGGAGCACCCCAAGGACCTGGAAATCCCTTTGGACCTAAACAACAACAATGAAACACAGACTCAATAAGACACAAATCAAGTGAGAACAAAATAAGGTGATTTTAAAAAATGTATATTAGGTCTGTTTAAGAGTAATTTCTACTTGATGGCAGTAAAGATAAGGCCTAGTCTAGGTGATATACTAATTTTATGAGTCACCTGTCCAAATAGTGTTTCTTAGGCAGCGATTGGGTTCAGGGACTTTATCAGAGGCCGCCCTGGAACGGATTCTTTCTGAAAGTCTTGGGGACGAACACTACACTTCAGGCGAATCTTTCCATACGTTCTCACGCTGGGTCTCAAACACAAATATGCGAGCATAGCCTGTCCTTGTGGGAGGACAGAGACAGCGGCCAGTGTGTGGCCTGATGAGAAAACACCACAGGAAAGGCCCAAGTCTAGTCCCTGCATCTCTCTGCATTTGCCCTTAAATGAAGAATAGGCCAAAAATCCCTGCAAAAGGAATTGAGGGTTTTTATTTTAAACCTTCTGTGATTTCTTACTAAGAAATGCCTCAGGTGAAATAACATACAAATCATGAACTTCATGTCTGAGTGTTTGTTTCCCTTGAGGTGGGAGCTGCTGAAAGTGATCATAAACTGTTTTGATGCATCTATGACAAGGTATCAGTAAATGCAAAAGGGAACATTCAATCAGTCAACCAGCACTGCTTCTCTCCACGATGAGGAATTATACTCCCACACCCTGGCCCTTGCCTTGTGCTGGGCGGACTGTAGTTCCCACGCTTTGATCTCGGGCTTGGCCCTGTGACTTGCTTTGGCCAATGGGATATTAACAACCAAGAAGCAGTGAGGGGCGAACTCTGCCCATAAAGCCCAGCTGTCCTCCTGCATTTCTGCAATCATATGAGACGAGCAGATGCGGGTCCCACATATAGGGTCCACGGGCGACCCCATGTTGCAGACCCAAACCTGGACTTGAGCCTGGGACCAAGTCAACAGATACCATCTGAGATCAGCTGAACCCCACCCAACCGGCAGAGCCATAACAGAGAAAATAAATATTTGTTGTTGTAGCCCATGGAGATTTTGAGGTTGTTATACAATATTATTGTGACAAAAGCTATTGGTTGTGGAGGACAATAAGTGCCACTCGTCATTCAACATTTACATTTTTTGTTGTATAAGATAGAAAGATTAGCGTTAGTGGCTATGCTAGTGCTCGATGGATCAATTTAAGTGACCACTGAATAAAGAAAGGAAAATTGGGCAAAATTATATAGATTTGGGGTCTAATTTAGCTATAAGGAAAGTGATTCAAATGAAGCTGTTTCATGAAAGTGAAATCAGGGATGTAGGTATGTGAGCATTTTTCAGGTTGTTTCAGGTCAGAAGTTTGGGTCTCTTGTAAAGCAGAATAGAGAAAAACTTAGTGAGCAAATGATCATTTTTTATTCTTGGGACACAGGACAAGAAAGTAAATAAAATTTTAAAACTCTCAAGGGGCAGACATTTTAACTTACATGTGATCAAATCAAGGTAAATTTTGCTGCACAGAGATATGAAAAACCCGCTTGAAGTGTGCCCAAACCAGCAGACTGGAGACCCAATGTGCACGACTACAAATGCTGCTTTCCCGCAGTCCCTCAAACCTTTATATTAATTTTAGAAATACCCTATTTGCCTGTGGATTTGCTTTTGGTTTATCTACCTTGCCAGCTCTTTCATTCTGGGACATGGATAAGACAGTAACTTCTCAGTGATCGTACCTGGAGGTCCATCAGCACCCGGAGGGCCTGGCTTCCCGGGATAGCTGACGTTATAAAAAATTGTGTCACCTGGAATAATAATTTAAAAAGGTAGCATTCACATCATTGACAGCCCAATGCACTGTGAATCTCAATGACAATTCGATCAATATATTTTTCATAGAGCATATGTAGAATTCAAAGGAAAAGACTCAAAAGTATCGTGGATCACTTGAACTACTTCTATTTCAAATTTCCAGAAAATCTGTCCTAAAATCTGAACTGCAACTCTCAGAGCTGTTACAAACATAAGAGGACTAAGAAAAATATTGGTTCCAAGAAGTATCAGTTTTAATGACATAGAATACTGGATTTGTAGACTCATGGGTGTTGAGTACCGTGAGCAGGTTTGGTAAATCATGAAATAGCAGCAAGTACCCGTGCTGAGTTCAGGAGATTCGGCTCCTAGTTCAGATGCAGGGGGGACTGTGCAAATAGAGAGACTGGGCAGAACATTAATAACAGCCACCATTTACTGAGGGTCTGGCCTGGGTCACATGCTGTAAAAAGATATGCCTTGTCTTCGTAATGACTGCAGCATGGTTACTGTCATCTCCCATTCTAATCAGGGAGGAAAATAAGGCTCCAGGCATGTGCCTCTGAGACCCCTTCTCCTTTAAAATGGGATGTTCCTTTTTGATCATAGAAATAATATCTCATAATGTATTATTTCATATGCTCTCAAATCACAAACATATGAGATGAATAAAAATAACGTTAGATTTTGATGGGTCCCAGACCATGATTTTAAACCTTATTGAATTCCAAGTTATTTGCCTTTCTAAGTTGTCACATCAAGAACCAAAGATATTATTCTCTTCTGAAATTTCACAATTAACAATGTAGCCCAACGTGTATGTACATATTACAAAAGAAAGAAATCTTAAACAAATCCTCTTCCAGTCTTTTAAAAAGTTTACAGCTATAATACTGCAGATCATTTTATTGTTCGAAATTCATAAAACTGTCATATATATTTAAAATCCTTTCTTTTTTCTCCCAAAAATGCTTACAAATGGGTTTTCAGAGACAATGTAATGTGTTTTTTAAATGAAACTCTAGTGTTTTTGCTTTTCTTAAATTAAAATACACTGCCTTATCTCAGAAGATTGTAAAAATAGATATTTTGAATACGGGCATACATGTAATTTTAATACAGTCAGATTGTATTAGTTGATACTGAGAAGTAAATAAAAGACAACTTTGATATGCCGAACAAAGCAACAAAGACATCTTATCATTTTAAAGATTTGTTTTAAGTATGGACCATGTGGTGATGCTTCTGTTTGTTTGACAATATTGAAGGTGGAATTTTATTCAGTGGCTCTGCCACAGCTCTAATAACTGTGGCCCGAAGAGAGGCTCACTTGAGCTGCCATGACTTCGCTTGACATACCGTCACGCATAAAGGTTCACAATTACCTTTCTGACCCTTCAAGCCAGCAGGGCCCCTCTCACCCGGGCGGCCTGGGGCTCCTGGTGGGCCCCTTTCTCCCAGTGGGCCAGGAAATCCCAGTCCCGGAGGCCCCCTCGGTCCTTCTCTGCCAGGGGGGCCTGGCCGTCCGGGAGGCCCTCGATCTCCTGGGGCTGCGTCTTCATGATCCCCCTGCGAATGTTCGCATCGTGAGTCAGTTGCCAACCTTGGGAAGTCCATGAACTCACAGTCTAACTGTTAGTCATTGTCACAGGCTAACGAAACACATGCAGGAAGCTCATAATTCCAGGAGACAGGGACTCGACAGCAAATGGAATTTTAACTGATTAACTTAGGTACTTCTTAATATTTTACACACGTATTTACATATAAATGTGATTGGGGTGTGTGTCTTTCACCTCAAACACAAAAAGCTATGCGGCTGTGACGTCTTAAAAATGGAATATGAAATTTTATGGAGAACCATTCTTTATTATTAAATATAATAAAATACAGAAATGAGTAAGTGAATGGAGGTGGGAGCTGGCAAACTGAATAAGCTCTTATGCATTTGGCACTGTTTTCCTGCACTCTTATGAGAAGACCCCAGGGCAGTCTGCATCACCCTCCACATCTGTGGACAACGGGCTCACAAATCCTTGCTCCTCCTGTGTAAGAATTTGACCTTCGGCTAACCGTCTAGTTCTGTCTCTCTGAAAACTATAAAAATCGCATGTCAACTACATTACTAGGCAACCTTACGTAGGGTAAAATCAAACCCAGGAAGCAAAATTTGCCTCTGGTCTGGAAGGACTGGGAAGACCTGCACGAGCCCTCGTTGGAGCTTCCTTCAGCGGTGGCTCCTGTAACTGCCAAGTTCCTTGTGGGGTCCCCACCGGCGGCACTGTGGAGACAACCACCCTTACAGGAAGGAGGCTTTCAGGTCAGGGCTGCCCATACATCTGCCACACACAGATCTCATCTCCTTCACCCCAGCTGAGGACCCAGCTGCAGGGACTCTTGCTCACGAGGAATGTCTGATGCTGCCCTACTGACAAGTTGAGGGTCCTGTCTCCTATCCTTCTGAATGGGCTGGTCCCAAATTGATATATAACAGTGTTGTGAGTCTCTATGGTTTCAGTGAGCCTACAAAGACCACCCCACGCCAGTGGGTATAATAGAAATTCCTCTCCCAATTTTATCTGTAAATATACTTTGGGTTTACACTATTAGGTTAGTGTACACGAAGACAACTGCCACTCAGTGACATTCGTTCTAAATAGTTTGTCAAGTGGAAGAATGACTTAAACAGGGACTACCAAGCCTAGAGCAGAGAACATTATTCACATAATTAAAGTCAGCTGAAAGACCAGAAAGCCATAAACATTATCTGATCTGACTTCTAAACTTCTGTCTCTTATTCACATGCATTCTCTACGAATGACTTCCTATAAAATCAGAACATTGATTCTCCCCTATTACAACACAGTCTGGTGGAAGTACCATGTGCTTTGGAATAAGGCTGAATGGAGTTTTTAACTCCTGTTTAGCCTGCTTGATAGGTAGAGGACCCTGAGTAACCTTACCGTAAAACTGGAGAGATAACTGCTCTTCAGAAGCCTACTATTAGGAGTAAACATCTAGCTCACTTTCTGTGCAATGGTAAGCATTCAGAAATACCTCATACCCAGGATAGTTTAAATTCCTAAGCATTGAAACATGTCCCACAGTCCTTTTTTATGACCTTCATTACCTACACATGGTCTCCACACAAAACAAGCTTGAAAAATGCAGGAATATCATTTATCAATGGATTTTCCATCAGCCAATACATCAATGTAGTGTATTTGTACTAGTTTATCCTTTTTTGCGTGCTCCTTCCCTCACGTGCTTCTTCACTAGGGAACAGAACTCAAAGTAATTATCAGGACCTGTGCTCTGTTCTCCACCCTACAGAGTCAACGGAACAGGCCTCTCATCAGCATGGGCTTTGAAGATACAAGGGGAAAAAAACACCACAAGAGTGATTCAAAGACTGGAGACAGAAAGTCTTGCTGTGACTGAACTGCCACTCAGGATTTTAGACCATCTGCCAATATGCCATACCTTTTATAACAACTACTTTTTGTGGCAGTGAATCAAAGGTGGCATTGATTTCCAGCACGTAACACTTTATCAAGGCAGAGCAGATGCTATGTGCCCATGTAAGAACGTGAAATTCCGTAGCAGAAGAATTATACAGACCGGGAGTCCTGGATCCCCTTTTGCTCCAGGATGTCCATCCAAACCATGTTGTCCCCGCTCTCCTGGAAGTCCTGGGAGCCCATCAGGACCTCTTTCCCCTTTGCGTCCTGGGAACAAAAGCCAAAAAGATATTCAAGCCTTTATCAGGAGTGGGTGACCTAGAAGAAGACTTGGGACTAAAGATAAAGGCATGACCTTGACCCCGTGTGAGCTGGGAGAGATTCCCCTGAGTGTCCCACTTGCCTAATCACACAAAGGCAAGTGTGCAAAAGTCATAGGGGAGATGACAATCGCCAGACCCATTGAATCTTCCATTTGGGAAACGTTCCTCTTCCCGTTCTGACAGGGGGGTTCTGTATGGAGATGCCCATCACAACAGCATCTCCCCTCATTGTGTAATGTCAAACATGGTGCTCCACCTCCTGGCCACAGTGAACGGGGATGAGTCATGGTTGCGCACTTGCCCCAGGCCAGTCCAATCCTTCCTGCAATTTGTTTCTAACTGGAGCTGAGAAGGTAGAGCTGTCTTTATATCAGGTTGGAAGAACTCGGAGCTCTATGTACCCACAGCCCAGTGAAAGCTACTCTTGGGGGGAAAGTGCAGACGGCACAACGAAATATGCAAGATGCAGGGACAGCTTCCTGTGCAGTTGTCCCTTGCAAACCCTACATCTAATCTTTCACATTTTGTTTAATTAGCCAATAAATTACTTTTTCCTTACACTACTCCAATCTGGATTTCTGTCACTTTACAACCAATATATTCTTGATTAGGACAGGATCCTATAATGCAGTGAATAAACACTAGGTAAGTCAAAGGAACTGTTCCAAACTCAGCTTCCCAACAATGCAGATTTGAAAAGGTAACTAAAGGAGCATGTATGTTTTCAAATGAGAGACAGAGGGTTTGACACTCAACATTCACATGACTCCATGAAGGACCGAGAGCATTTTTTAAAGAAATCTCAGTAGTAATCCTAAGTCTTGTTGTAGAATTGATCTGTGGTCACCAGGGAAATTGCTGCAAGAGGAAAGTTCATGTATCATTCATAAGATTCCAGTTAAGTAGTTAGCAAGGCTCACCTTTAACTCTTGCTACAACCATGTCTCCCTTTTCTCCTTTGTTGCCAGGTGGTCCTGGAGCGCCAGGTTCTCCCTTGGTGAAAAATAATAGCAACAGATCAGTCTGTGATGGGTCAAAGGTTATTCACATTCTTGTATATCTAATCTCTCTTCTTTCCTTCTAGTCACCTGTTCTAGATTCTAGTTTGGCACCCCTGGTCTCCCTCTCCCTCTTGCCTTCCAAAATGGGCCCTGCCTTACAAAATCAAGGGTCTTGAATTGCATGTAAAAGCTGGTGGATCTGAATATTTCTGGACCTAAGTCAACAGAAATTTATCAACACCAATTTCCTGGTTGTGCCAATGCACTAGGATTATGTAAGACATCATTGTGGGAAGCTGGGTCAAGGGTATGCAGGAGTTCTCTGAATGACCGTGTGACTTCTTGTAAGTAAAACTTTATTTTGAAAGAAAATCTTATAGTTAGAAAAAACTTTTAAAATTATCTTGGGCTTTGTAATGCAGAATTAAAAGGAGAGGGGTAGGTTAACCATGGCAGCTGCCACAAGAGCTGAAGGTAGAAGTTTAGAGATGAGTTTGTGATTAAAGAGGTTGAGGTTGAGGGAAGTTAATGAGCAAGAGAAGGGAACACAGAAACCCTTGCTAGAATCAGCACATTTACTCTGTAGAGCAAGTGAACAACTACCATATATTTACCATGTATAATGTGCAGTTTTTGCCCAAATTTTTGAGGGAAAAATAAGGGTGTGCATTATACGTGGGTGGTCCTAAAACGAGGGTGCACATTATACAGGACAAAATATGAGCATAACATTGTATTAAATAGCAAGCCATGTCAAAAATCTAGAACCCTACTGTTTGTGTATTGGAGTGGCCAAGCCACTCCATGAAATATTTACAATATTTCAATATTTACAATATTTCAGTAAATATTTTAGTAAGTATAGAAACACTAAACATACCTGAAGGTTACTTATCTGGTAATAATCAAAAAACATAGGCCAGAATTTTGAAAGGAGGCAAAACTGACTGAGGAGACCGTTTGCTTTGCTGTCACACGTCCTGTTGCCTTATTTCCATACAGTCTTACAACGTGTAGCAGCAGGCCCAATTGTCTTTTTAACTGGCCCTTACTTATTTGCAAGCAGTGACGTGTAAAGGGAAGAAGCTGCCAGCGAGATGAGCCCAACGGCAGCGTCAAACACTGAGAATGTAAAGAAGGCAAATATGCACAAAACAGGCATAGAAACTGAAATGGACGTAATGGTTGGGAGCCATTTTGTGCAGAGAAAATAGAGCTACACACACACCAGCCACTCAGTAACCCAAGAATGTCCCTCCAGTATAACATCCCAAGGGCGACAATGTCTATGAGGCATCCATACAGTGAGTGGAAAAAATGTCTTAGTAGAAATAGCCAAATTCAACAGGAAAGGAACTTAAGAAACCATAAAGTGCTCATATGGCTTGAGCATTGCTTAAATTCTTATTTTTACTATCTATGCTAAGTTGTAAGGGACAAAGGAACAGGGCCAACGTGGTTGGCACATAGTGTCCGGTCCAAGAGATGGAAAATGAAGATGTCCTTCTGATGGACAGAGTATCAACAGAAAACTATTCTCATAGCACTTGACCAATAACTCCCCAGAGAGAGAATACCAGGACTGCTCACAAACACCCTGGAAGAAGAGGTGCACCTTAGGAGTCTGAACAGTCTATCAGTGAGCACACTGGCAACCGAGAATGTATTACAAATTGCTCTAATGTTCTGCTGATGCAGAAATTTAATTACTAGAGTCAGATCCTAGACTTAGTTGCACTAGTAAGAAAAAACAATTACCAGCACCGTTTTTATATTTCACTAAGGAGACATTCATTTACTGAGAACCTACAAAGAGCCAGGCATTATTCTGAGTCCCGAGGACAGAGCAGTTAACAAACCGTCTGCCTTCATGGCACTGAGACTCTAGGGAAACAAATGTTGAATCTCCGAAATTCCTGGGGCAGAGAGGGTCCCAGCCACTTTGAGATTGAGAGCTACTTTTCACAACTGTGAGACCCGAGATCACTAAACACGTGTGTTAACACAACCACCCAATCTCAGCAGCAACAAGAATGTCCTCTCTGCCAGGCATGTACTAGTTGTTTCACACACAGTCTAGATCGGGGACTTCACCCGCAGGTGCCCCAATGGCCGTGTCCTTCCGAGGGAAGCAGGTGGGTGGCCATGGTGGGGACTGGAGAGCCCAGACCTCCTCCCACGGGCACAGCCACCTCTGAGCTTCTAGCAGCTGTGGGAATGCACTGACCCTGTGTTAACGAACTTCCAGTTCTCCAGGGCGACCCTGAATCTCACATTAACAATTCAAAAAGAAACAGTGAGATGTACGAAGGAGTGAGAGCACCCACAGTGACTGTCTGTTGTTCCTTCATGCTTCCTCCATCTGTCCATCCCTCTCTCCCTCCTTTCCCTTCACGGTGTCCCCTAGTATGAATGGGGTCCCTAACTGTGGCCACAAAGCAATAAATTTAATGCAGAAAAGTTATACAGACAGAATCACACACAGAACAAAGACATCCGAAATACAGCCAGTCCAAAGACGTAAGCCCCGGAGCACCCAGATTACGTAAAGTCTAGCCAGGAAAACCCTGGATGAACTAGTAATCCACACTTCAAGATGTTAGCCCTGAGAAGCAACTCAATAGGAAGCCACAAAAATATTTTAGAGCCCATTAAATCTTCATAAGGAGATGAGGTAGTAACAACAAAAAAAATGACTATGATAAAATGTTGAATTAGAAAAGCAGACTATAGAATGCAAATTACTTAATAATTACAACCAAGCCGGTCCCCCATACGTGCGTGAAGGACCTAACTTCCTGTGGAACAGATTTTGCAAATGCAACGGGCCGTGCAGGGGCAGCTGGCTTATCACCCTCACTTCAGGGTCTCAGACCGGGACCTTATTTTTGTGGGATTTCCTGGGAGAAGTGGAAAACATACATGGCTGCTGATCCCGGGATTAAGCGCCTTGAACAAGGAGGGAAAGAGGGTCTGTCTCCAGCCCGCAGAGGAGTGTCCCAGGGCCATGATTTTATTCTGAGGGGCAGCTCAAAGGCTCTGCCTCAACCTGAGCCACTTGTAATGGTCAGCGAATGAGAGTCATTTTGAGATACATCTCATCCACTCTCTGGCACTAAATATCACCTAAACTCTGACAGCGTCAATATGCATATCTCCAGCCTCTACTTCTGATCTGAATCCTTAACTTATAGATCATCCCCCATGCCTAATTGACATCTCCACTTGTTTGTCTACTAGGCACCTCAAACTTAAATGTCCCCAGTGATATTGCTTCCTCTCATCAACCCACGGCTGCTCCTCACGTTGTCTTTGCCGTCTTGGCTCCAGCCTTTATGTCCCTCCTTCTCACGTTCCACGTCCCAGCTAACAGCCAGCCTGTCCGCTCTACCTTAGACATGCATCCAGAATCCGACCACTTCCCACCACGCCCTCCACTACCGTGGAAATCCGCGCACGGTCTTTGTCACCAGGATTGCTGTAGCCATCGCCCTGCTCCTCCCTGTGTCCCCGAGGGTCTGTCTTTAACAGGGCTACAAGGATGATCCATTTGAAATGAATGTCAGATTGTCTTTCTTGTCTTAAAACTCACCCCCAGCTGTTCTGTGTCATCCAGAGAAAAAACTCAAATTCCACCCGCCTGCAACGCCCCGTGGACAGCAGCCCCTCCTAACCCCCAGCCATTCCTTTGACTTTGTCTTCTCCTGTTCTGCCCCTCACTCTCTCCACTCAAGTCTGGGTGGTGATGGCCTTGACTGCCACGTACCGCACTGTATATTTATGCATCAGTCTGTTATATGGAGTATGTCCTCCCAACAGGGTAGAGGCCCCGAGGGAGCCGAGACTGTGTTCTGGTCCCTGCTGTACACTTAACACCTGCAATGGCACGTAGAACATAGCAGGTGCTCAATAAATATGAGTCAAATGGATGGATGGATGGGGGAATGAATGTATACAGATGATTGGGACATTAATATATTTACAGGCTCAAAACATAAAAATACATATCAAACTATAAATTAGAAACAGGTCCAGTTGAATTCAATCTCTGTCTCCTTTAATTAGAAAGATTGCTACTGGTAGGAATTACTCACTGGTGGCCCTGGAGATCCTTCAGCACCAGGAGGGCCTGGGTGACCTTTTTCTCCAGGCCAGCCAGGGGGCCCCAAGTCTCCCTTACTACCCTGCCTCCCAGGAAGTCCTGGGAGGCCCGGCGAGCCCATGGGACCAGGCTTACAGGCACAGAGCCCCGCATTTCCTAGACAGGGAATAAAAGGCAGCTTTGTCATTTCCCAAAAAAGGCTTTAGCTAACAAAATCAATAGTAAAAATCAAAGTCAAAAGTGTCTAATGAGCACAGTTCTTACGGCAGACACCTGATAAAGTGTGGTAAGGGGCATTGGGCACCGGGTGGGGATATCTAGGCATGGTCTGTATGGGGTGGATATAGCGTTTCTATACAAATGGGGTATTTTGAGGCTTAACAAACTCATCTTGACAAATTCTAGGGAAAAATCTGATGTCAAATTCTAGTTAAAAAAACTTTAAAAATAAGAAAGTTTCTAATTTTTGGAAGTTTAAAAGCCTCTTATTTGGTTCTTACTAAAAAGATCTCTTAATTGGTCCCTGCTAAAGAATCAACAACAAAAATTTGTTTAGAATGTAAACCCCAAACATTTAAGGAAACAAAACAATATGTGAGGAGGGATTATTGAATGCATTGAACGTTATAGCTGACAATTCACTACAATGCATTTGCTAATCATCAGGACTTTGAGTCTTAAAAACATCTTTAAGCTAGTCGAACTCATCAGCTCTCATCCCACCTGACCCAGTTGGTCAAAAAGGCACCAATCAATTTAGGGTAGAGAAATAGCACCACAGGCATTGGATGAGTCTGGGAAATACGAGACCCACAGAGAGAAACTGAAATAACAGATCAATACTGTACTCCCTCTGCTCCTTCTGAGGAATCAAGAGGAATCTGAGGAAGCTAATGAATCTTGTGAAAAAGTTACCACTCTGAGGCAAATGTCATGGCAGGTAAGTTTCTCCTTTGTACTCTAAGACTTTGAGTTTTGGTAAGATCTAATCACGTGATGAGCACATAGTGAGTTGGAGTACTCATTGGGATAACTAGGGTAACAAATCTAAGCGAAATGCCACATTGCACATGTAAAAATGCTTCCCTAGAAAGTCTACCTTTGATCCATACTTGCCTTTTTCTCCTTTTGAGCCTCTTCTTCCTGGAGGACCCATTTTGCCTTTCACTCCTTGTGGTCCAGGGTACCCAACTCTACAATATATGGCTTTATAGTGGGAGAGGGGATGGGCAGAGAGAATCATACAATTTTTTGTGAATGTCTCCTGCAGAACAAGTGGAAGTGTCTTTTGCACTTACATCTTCCCCCCGGCCCCGTTCTTTCTTCCATTCATTCCATTCTTTCTCTCTCATAGAAGAACAGATGATACAATTGTCACATAATGCTTCTGCCACCATAACCTTTGGTAAAGCCAAAGGCCTCAGTACTGATTAGTGGGTTGCAGAGCAAAGCAACAGACAACAAAAGAAGCAAACATACCAAAACAAAACAAGTAAACAAAAACCCAAGAGGGGGTGTGTCACAAGGATCTTCTTCCCCCTCGATCATCAGTGATTGCCTAATGAGGAAAGCATGAGGCAGAGCTTGTAAAAACAAAAATTCAGAGCTATGTTACTAAAGATGATACATACAATGCAAACAAGAAATTCCTTGATCTCCCTCATATTCCAGTTAAATAACATACAGTAAAAGAATGTTATAAAAAGGCATAAACCTCAAAACAAAGGAAAGGAAAAGGAAATAACGGCAAAAATAGAAGAAGACTTAGCAGGCCCTAAAAAAGCTGAATTTTAAGTAGGCAGTAAGAAAAGCAAAGGAAGAATACAATTTATATGAGAAATCCCTCCCGAAGTTCAGGAATTGGGACCTCTGAAGTAGAGTGACAATGAGTCGTCCCCAAACAAAATAATTTGTTGCAGAAACAGCCAAACTATGAGATCCTCTTCTTAAAAGCTATAGCAGGATAAAATGACAACCCCCCAAAACTGAAGGAAATGGTTCAGCAGAAAGAAAACTTAGATAGAAACTATACAGTTTAAAGAGCAGGTGAAGGAAGGCATTTTATCACTGAAACATGAACAGGTTGCTGCAAACATTAAAAGAGAACAAGAGCAACAGCAAAATCCTTGGAAATTAGGAAAACAATATGTGATTGTAGAAATTTTAAAATTCAGGAGCAGAGTTAGAATATAGAGTTGAGAAAATATCCCAGAAAATGTTGCAGAAAAAAGTAAAGAAAAATAGATTAAAGATTTTCACTTTTGCTTTGTGGGACGATGCTCCAACCAAGTGAGCCACACCAGTCAGAGCAGTTAAAGAATTTCAAAAGAGACTTGTAGGATTGACTCTCTGGCAAATCTACAGAGTCCAGAAAGAAAACAGGGAGAGGGGAAGAGGAGAGAATGGCACAAAGAAATACTTCAGGAAATTGATTTTCAGCAATGAAGGATTTATGTTGGATTGCAACTGCCCACTGAGTGCAAATAAATGCAAATGTACCCACACAAAAAAGCAAATCATTATGAAATTTAAGGACATTAAAAATAAAGGAAAACATAGAATTTCAAGGAAAACATAAAATTTCAAGGAAAACATATTTCAAACAAATGATCAAGTATCTAAATGTTAAACTTTTCAGTAACAACATGGGAAGCTAGAAGACATCAAAGAATGCTTTCAAAAACCTGAAGGAAAAGTATTTCCAACCTAAAATTTTATACTCAGCCAAATGATTGATTAAATACTACAGTAGACTAATGTCATTTTCTGACAGACAAAAATCCCTCAGATTTATACTTTTTCCCCAGGAAGTACAATGAGAGAACAAACCACCAAAAGAAATACATAAGTTGTAAGAAACACAGAGACAGAGAGAGACCGAGGATAACGGTGAAGGCAGATCTCAAGACAGCATCTCAGCAGCAGATTAAAAATGCCACCTGCCCTAACTTGGACAGGTCAAAAGCTCTAGGAGAGGTTTATTCAAAGAGATAACACTGACAGAATATTCAATGAGTTATAACGTACTATTGGAAGATTATGCAGTTCTCAGGGGGTTGAGGTTGAATTAGCAAACACACAAAGAAAACAATACAAGTGTTAACAAAATGTTGTGCTGGAAAAGTAATGATATATAGTTATAATATGTGACTGAACTGGTGAATAGCATTTTATAACTATTCATTATAAACACTGAATATTTAACTCAAATTATCATACTAACTATATTTTCCAGTTAGCACACATGCGGTTGGGAGGGAAGAAAAAGACAGCTAAGTTCATATTGTATGGTGGGAGGTCAAAAGATAATACTAGAACCAAAAAATTAAGAAATAACAATACAAGTATGTTGAATGGCATCATAGAGACAACAAAAGATCCAGGGAGGAATAGAAGGAGGGGTTGCCTAGGATGGCAGTTCATCATAACTGGCTTTGTTGTACAGTCTGACTCCTAAGCCAGGTCCATGTAAAGCTCAGATAAAAACTGACACTACATTTAAAAATAAAAATTAGCCCTCACTGGTGTAGCTCAGTGGATTGAATGCCGGCCTGTGGAGCAAAAGGTTGTAGGTTCAATTCACAGTCAGGGCACATGCCTGGCTTGTGGGCCAGGTCTCCAGTAGAGGGCGTGTGAGAGGCAACCATACATTGATGTTTCTTTCCCTCTCTTTCTCCCCCTTCCCCTCTCTAAAAAAAAAAACCCAGTAAGTACATCTTTAAAAAATAAAAATAAAAATTATATTAATAAAATTCTATTATCCCACTTAAATTCTCCACCAAATATTTTCATATGCTTTAATTGATGGGATAGTCCAATGTTATTTTACTTTTGCAGCATTAATAATACCAACTTGGCTCAAGGAATGTCAAACAATTTATAAAAGACTTAGAAAATTACACTTTCTGAATGACACTACAAATAGAAAATCCAACATGACTGCTAGTGAATGTGAGAGAGGAGCACTTTACCATCTGATCCTGGAGGTCCCTGAAGTCCTGGCGGTCCAGGCAACCCAGGTGGTCCTGGGTGCCCTGGTTTCCCTGGAGCCAAGTCAGGTCTCCCAGGGATACCAGGTGCCCCTGGAACTCCTGGATGCCCGGGAAACCCTGGCGGCCCGGGGAGTCCCATTATGCCTACAAGGGAAATCAAGAATGAAAAGCACATAGACTCTCAGATTAAACTTTTCTGTAGAAGAAATCAAATCAGTATATTCTTCCTTGGGCTATGAAGGTTTTCAAGGGAAAAACAATGTAATTAAAAAAGAGTAACTGAATATCCAGCCATCAAAATGCCTCACCTTCTATGAAACAAGCACACAAGTGGAAACAAACAGGTCTGGGGAATTAGGTTTTATTTACTTGTCCCCATTCTTTAGGATTATTGGGAAAGAAATATATATCATCTAGTTAAAATTATTTTTTTCAATCTTTCCACCTTGATAACTTGGTAAAAATAGTATCAATAAGCATATAGGGCATAAAATACCATGGCAGCTGAGGTGGGTGGGGAAACGCTGAGGTGCTGCATTTGAACATGACCTCTTTCTCTCTGGCCCCAGGTATTTAACTTCTTTAATCTTTTATGTCTATCCTAGAGGCCTGTTATGAGAATTAAATAAAATAATCCACATAAGAAGCTTAGTGCAATATCTAGCAATAGCATGAGCTCATCAGATGATTAGATTTTCAGTGTGTTCAGAGGAGGTCAGAGTGAGTAATACAGCTAAAGCTACATCCTGCTTTCTCTGGACATTCTACTCACCTCTCTGGTGGCTTTGGCTTAAGGACAGCTAGAAGCCTTGTATGGGAATGACTACTTCTATTTCTATTTTCCTAAGTATGCCTGGTTCTAGAATCTCTTTGTGGAAAACTGTAGTTTTCAAAGATGGCCACATGGTAGCTCTTGCCCTTCATGTTCTTGTAGAACCTTGACATTCTCCTATCAAGAGGTGAAGGGTTCCCCTCCCTTTGAATGGGGTGGGCTTTCGTGATTGTTTAGACTCCCAACAGCTTCTAGGGCTAGATTATTCAATGTGATGCAGATTCTGCCTTGTGAGCTGAAATACTCCGGACTGGGGGCCAGGCCCACTGTAGAAGCAATCTCACTGCTCTAAAGCTGCCACTTGGTAAGGAAGCCTAAATGACGTAGAGAGCCCACCGACAGGGGCCCTGAGACTACGTGGCAGATACAGAAGGGAGAGGCCTGGCCAGTTCTCACACTCCTTTTCCTGCCTGCAACCAATCCTTGGTCCTAGGATGACTAAGTTTAGTCCTTCCTAAATTCTTGAACCACGGAAAGAGTGAAAGGTAATATTATGATTGTTGTTATTTTAAGCCACTAGGCTTGGATGATATGTTCATCAAGAGAAAACTGAAATCCTGTCAGTAATCAGGAATAGAGCATGCTAGTTAAATAATGGCTTTCATGATGGTGTGCGTATGTGTGGGGGCTTTGCACATGTCTCCACACATTATCTTTACTGCAAAGTTTATGCCTCATAGATCAGTCATGGAAAATTTAGGCCAAATATGAATAATAATAATAGCTAACATCAGTGGGTCTTCCCTATATGCCAGTATGTAGTCTAATAACTGTATACATATTACTTCTTCAACCCTAACAAGAACTCCATTTTGCAGATGTGAAAACTGAGGCACTGAGAGGTTTAATAGATGCCCAAGATCACACAGTTTATAAGTAACAGAACCTGGAATGTTGGTGGCCTATAGTGTAAATGCATAGCTATTTCACTATACTATACTAAGTCACAAGCTTAATCACAGGTAGCTGACTCCAAAGGCCTGCTTACTTCATGATAAATACTATAGGTGATTATACAACAAAATATGTACACTAAGGGCCATACATACATTGATGTACGTAAGACAAAATGAGCATGTTTTCCGATGGAAGTGGCTGCTGTCTTGTCCTCACACCATTCCTAAGACCTGACTCTGAAGCTCTGCAATCATCAGATGGATCTGGATGCTGCCTTGTCCCAATGCCAGGGAAAAAGCTCGGCCACCTTCCAACAGGGAGAATGGGCTACAGTGTATGGCATATGTTGGCCACGACCTCCCATTTGTAGAGCAGGAAGTAAATTAAGTTGTAGCCAGAATTAAAATTTTTTTCAGAAAAATAGAATAGCAAAGGCATTTATCATATACCAATAAATGTATTATGTTGTGAAATTTGCATTTCAGTTACATGTATATGTGGACACACACGTGTCTGATATGATATATGTGCAATACAATATGAAATTATTTCTTACTAGGGGTTGTAGCCAAGATTTGAAAGCCATTGAGATAATTCCTGAAATAAAGAAAAAAAGCTTGTGGAATTAAGAGGCTTCCTGTTATATTTGGTTTTTGGTTTTGAATCTGCTGGACACATGTCACTTACTCCCATTGGGTTTCTATTTCAACCTACTAGAGGCACTATTTTATTAAAGATAAATCTGAAAGAGGAAATCTAAGACAAGAGTCTAATTCTTTCTAACCAAAAGTACTCTTATGATTTATATAGTCCTGGGTCAGTAAGCCAAGGCTGCATTATCTAAAGATTAAATGAACTAAACAAAGTTCTGCTACCTTTCTGGCCATCAGATTCTACAAAGTGGAATCTAGGTTCATGCAAGATTAAACAAGGATGCTGTAGTTAACACTTGAATATCTTAGGAAGCTTCTTAATCCTCTCAGTAAATTTAAGAAGAGACAGACTGAATGAAATTCCATTTATTCAAGACTTTCAGAAAATGCCAATATCCTCTAAATTTCTATTCCTAATTTTACTAGGAATGTCACCCAGCCCAGCACTTGAAGGAGTTCAAAGTCCTTATGTCAACACAATTATTTCCCAGGCTCTTCAAATATTACCATGAGTACAGGGGATTTTGTTTTTGTTTTTGTTTTTTACCACGAGCTACTGAAGAGGGGAGAGACGGAGATTGTTGTTTTGTTTTTAACTAAGGCTGAATCAAATTTTACTTTTTAATTTTGAATTTGTATTTCCATATTTCCTGTAGGAGATTTAAGTTGGGGCCTAAGTGGGTGAAGTCACTTTTGACAATTAGATGTCCAAAGCAGAGTCCGCCAAGAGGGTAGGAAGACCGGAAGAAACGCTGTAACCCTGGCAGCAGTTTCCAGATCTTGTCTGCAAGCGATCCTCTTGTGGGGAGCCTGTTTTGCAGACATTTTCCTCACCAGACCCCTGAGATCTTGACTAACTATTTCTGAGGGGCAGCCCAGGATGTCTTCCAAGTGAGTGATTAACTGGTTGGAGTTCAGTGGTTCTTAACTCTGGCTGTGCGTTAGCAATACGAGGTGTTTTTATAATAGCGGATATCTGGGTCCACCCACCAGAGAGTCCAATGTTCTTGGTCTGGGGGAGGCACAGCCCTCAGTGTTTCTGAAACACTCCTGAGGTGATTTCAGTCTCCGTTAGAGATGAGACCCTCTGGTGTGGATGAGGATGCAGCATGCCTGGGTTATAAAAGCCAGAGGACTCGTACCTGGACAGGTTTCCCCTGGTGGACCGGAGGGACCAGGAGGACCAGGAGGCCCAACATCCCCCATTTCTCCATAGCAGCCAGGGAGCCCTGGATCTCCCGGAGGGCCTGCCAAAAATAATGACACTAGTGAATACAAATAAATGTATACCTATATTATAAAAGCCACATGCAATTACTTTTTGTGAGGCTTGCTGAAATACAACTAGGGGACTGTTTTCTCAGTTTCTACCCACATTTCAAGTCTTCTATCTTAGATGGGAGCCCTTCATCGGCCACCACTCTGCAGACACGTGAACTCTAAGCAGTCTGTCTGTCATTGATTTAGGCCTCTCCTGTCTTGGCGGCACCATCTTGGTAGGTCTTAGTCAAATGGTTTTACACATATTTTAACAGCTAAAAAAAAAAACGCTTCTTTCTGAAACATGACATAATAAAAGTCCCAACATACAGTTTACACACTAAAATAAAATTTGATGTCTTATGCCGATAGAGATGAACCGATATGCACACTTCTACTTGCACCTGTACGATTACATATTCATGTTAAAGTTCACAGAGTTAACCTGCCTGAGGTGAAAACTATGGAAATACTGGGACAGAATCTTTTGTCAGGGACATGCAAACCCCATTTCCAAGTAACTAATGAAGGAACAGAATGAAACACAAACCTTTGAATAGAGGAGGTGGAGTCATCAAAAACCCTGGCCGTCCTGGGGGCCCGCGATCTCCAGGGTCTCCCTGAAATCATTCATTCATTGGCTTTTCTTAGGAATATTAATATTTTTCTCATGTTGCCTAGCACTAAATAGATATCAGAAGGACCAAGAGTACATTCATATACGAAATAAGACTATAGGCTGACAAAAGAAATGAATAGTTCATGGAGTTCTAGGAAAAACAGACTTTCTACCTATAACCAATAAAAAATAACCAACCGGCAAAGTTCTCTCAAAAGAAAAGAATGTTTTTAATGTCCATAAAGTTATTCCATACTCATAAATTAGATAGCTCGGAAGCCAGGAAGACTCCATAAATACACTGTGAGCATTCATGTCCAACTTGACTCTCTAGGACAAACAGTTTATTCACTTACAAGATCTGAAGCTATATTTTATTTTAGGAGCAAATATGGTCCCCCTTCACTGTGTCCCCTGAATGCTACCATGGCTTGTCCTGGGCAAGTGCTGAAGGTGAGGTCACAGAGGTTGCAAAGGAAAGAAAAAATTCAATAGTGGTAAAAGCAAAGAGCTCTCCTCAGTTCCCTCTGTTTTTAATCATGTTACTATTTGATCCTCACGGAATTCTTTAAACTTTCATTATTATCCACCTTCAAAAGGATCATTGCTCGAATGTAAAATGTAATCATTGCAACGTGCAATAAAAGTACATATACAAAATTAACTCTGTCTTTTTCCAAAGTTACACTTTGAATCATTCTTTGAAATATTTTTAAAAATATATTGGATGACATAAGGGATGTAGAATTTTGTCAGGCGACACTCAAATAAGTTCACTTTTTTACCTTTGGGCCAGGAAATCCAAATGGCCCCGGATTTCCAGGATTTCCTTGTTCCCCCTATAAATAACCAGACACAGGTCTTCTATTAAAAAATGTATTTGGGTGACAAATTATCTTATTATCATTTAATTTGAACAACACGCACTCACAGAGATTCTGTGCAAAATCTTAACATCTTAACACTACGTTGGGGTTGGAGGAGTTTTGTGCTTTAGTTTTTGCACTCACAGCTAAATCACGTAACTCGTAAAGTAAATGCGTCTCCCTTTCCAACTACTGTGTGCATGCTTGCACGCACTGGCACAACTTTTGAATGACACTCAATTGCATTAACTAATGAAAGTGCATTTATCACCTCCATATGGTGTACATTTACCTTTAATCCCGGAAAACCTGGAGACCCATGGGAGCCAGGCTCGCCCTAATAAATTCACAAAAATCAACAGCAACAGAATTAAATGAAAATACATGCACCAGTTCAAGGAATCGGATTTCCTGTTATGAGATTGCCCCATGGACATTTACTCTTATCTTCAAAGGTAAGTGAATAAAAGGAAATAAGTATAAAGTATATTCAATTTCTTTATAACATTTACTATTTTAATTGATCTTTAGTCTTATTTTTTAAAAATATATATCCTTGCCTGTGCTTTATATTAAGAACATATTTTTGTTGCTGTTACTCTTCCATTTTAGTATATTTAACTTAATGCCTGCACTGGGCTCAATATCTGAAATCACAGCAACTTCCCGAGAGATTAACAGTTGCTCTATGCATCATCGGCAATAATAACTACTGTGGAATCCAATGTTGTCCCACTCAGTACTAAATCTAAAGCCAAATAAACTCAATGCCCATGCCCGCTGGGGTCTGGCCTCCACAGTCACTCTGTGAACGGGGATCATAATAGTGACGTGGGTGGTGATGTCTGAGGCCTGTTTCTGTGCTGCTCTTCTAGCTCCTGCCCCTACTCCAGTATCTCCCTTTGCTCAGTAGGCTTAAATGAACAATTCCAAGCTACTACCACACTCTGAGCCAGGCAGGAAATGCCACAACCCTGTTACTTCCCTCTTCGGCCTTCCGCTTGTCTGTTTCATCTAAGTGATGTCAGTGGAAGGGGTCTCCCCAGGACTTGGAGCTACAACGCAATCCTTGTTGTCAAAAGCATATTGTTCCTATTTAAGATAACCCCACTTTTAAGCTCTCGTGAATATCGATCTAGTTTCATAAAAATGTGAGAGAGAGCCACCTCCACACTCACAGAAGTTGAGGACAGTACGCGTGATCCTTACCCGAGGGCCCGGGAAGCCAGGAACACCCTTTTCTCCTTTTTCCCCAAGACCAGGTTCTCCCTTTAAAATATGGTAACATTTACGGGGGTTCGAACAGCAATGTTCCAGAAATAGAGAATGCAAAAACAAAACGAGAAGTAAAAACGATTGCTATCAGGTTAAAAAAAAAAACAATGCTTTAGAATAGACATGCAACAGGATTAGAATAAAATAGTGAAAAATTCTAGTAACATATATTAACATTTAAAGCAATGATAAAGACCACACAAACTTTTTTTTTAATTAAGATAGCACATCATACAAATTTAAAAAGCTACCTCAAGAAATTACCTTGGGTCCTGGAGGTCCCGGAGGTCCAATCCTTCCTGGTAATCCTTTCACGCCCTAAAAATCAAAGTGACTGTAATCTGGCTTGTTCTTAGTATTTAACGTATTGAATTCCATTTCCTTCAGAAATTGCCTCTTTCTACATCCATTTTTGCTAATTTTTAAAATAAAAGATTCCTCTTCAACTGTCACTAATTAGTAGCTAAGATCCAAGCGCACTTATGAACCTGACACTATTCAGGCCATTTCTGTGTGAGAGGCGTCGTGCCGTGGAGTCGTGGGGCACAGGTGGAGCAGGACCCCTGAGCCAGGGCCGCAGATGCAAGCCGGGAATGCAGCCGCTAAGAGGAATGTCTCATTTTGAGCAAATTAGTGAAATTTGATCCAGTAACCGAAAATCATCCACAGGACCCGCATGTGGCGTCCGTAACATCAGCATCGCCGGCTGACGGAGGGGTTGGTGTTTGCCAAAAGTCAGTTACATGCCCAGTTCTATGCATCCGTTTCCCTTTCAATTATCAAAACATCAAGCCCAGATGTAACATCTAAAGGACAACAGGACTTCTAGGGGTCTCTTCAGCCCGCATGTCAAAGATAATATTAAGGGGGCACTGCACAGGGAAGGATGCGTCACCGTTTAGCAGCCCAAGCTAGGGCTGCACGAACTTGAAAATAGTGGTAACCTTTCCAAGCCTCACTTTCAGCTCTGGACAATGGGGCTCATAATCATACCAACCTGTTAAGATTGCTTTGGGATCGATGCAGTGGTACGTGTGGGCGCTCAGTACTGGGCTGGCACCGGTACGTGTTCAGGCAATATTGGCTATGATTATTGTGTTGTACTTTACCAAAGTGACCTAGGGATTGGAATTACCTTTTCTCCTTTATAGAGAGAAGAATATGGTGTCTCTACCAGTAGGGTCAGTCCAGGAAAACCTTGTAGGCCAACCTCGCCCTTTAAAAAAAATCAAGAAAATAGAGAATTTCATATTAACTTTATTTTGAAATAAAGTTTAAAACATGGAAGGCTTTCTCCCATATATTGTGATGTAATGCTTACAATTCTGTGTGTCGTGGATTCAAAATTAAAATCATAGCAAGTAAGTGATGTAACTTAAAATATTCATTGTTTTTCATAAGTAATACACACTTATTGTTAAAAATAAATTTAAGAATAAATTAAAAAAATAAAAGTGCTACCTAATCCTAGCTACATAATCCTACCATCCAGAGATAATCTCCACTAAAATTTTGATATAGTTCTTTGTGGCGGGTGCATGCACAGTGTATGTGTATGTTTGCATGCCTGTATGTGTGTGCATGTAAACATATATGCATGTACACAATGTACATGTGTACATACATGTATATGTAATCAAATGATGTGTTAAACACAATTTAAAATAGATATAATCACAATAATACTATATAAACTATATAAACATAATTTAAGATATATTTTATATTTTAAATTTTAAAATAATTTTATATTTTTATTTTAAATTTTAAAATAATTTTATATTTTTATTTTAAATTTTAAAATAATTTTATATTTTTATTTTAAATTTTAAAATAATTTTATATTTTTATTTTAAAATACTATTTTTGCACATTTTTCCTATTATACTAGAAATTCTTCAAAAACCTGATTTTTAGTACCTATACAATAATTCATAATAAGAATATACTATCATTTATTAAGTCATTTAAGTTAGATTTAGGTTATTTCTAATTTATTTTCAATAATATTTTTAAAATAAACTAACAAACAAAATAAATCACAGGCAAGAAAACATGGAGCAGCCTGAAAGTGACCAGAGGAGATGGGGAAGGAGGGCAATGGTGGAAAGAAGGGGAAGGGACTAGACAAAGAACATGCGTGAATGACCCATGGACATGGACAGCAGAGTGGGAACTGACTGTGGGAGCGGGGGATGGGGTGGGGTGAGTGGAGGGGGGCAAAGGGGGAAAAATTGAGACAACTGTAATAGAATAAAAATGATTAAGAATTTAAAAATACAATAACAAAGAAAAAAGAAACTGTATAAAATAATCAGCTGAAAGTTTCTATTTATGTCATTCCAAATTTTATTTTCTTGGAGGAAAAAATGTTGCTTGAATTTTGTTGTGTTCACATTTGTTTGTTTGTCACAATACAACCATAAATTCTCACCCTTAATTAGACGATAATTATTTTGTAGTTTTCTGAAGAGTTCCGTTATTCTACACCTGGAATTGTCGCACATCACAGTAAAGAGCAGGCCGTGGAGCAGGTCATGTGTGTTTGCACACCTGCCCTTAGTGACCGACTATGTCACTTGGGGCAAGTTCCTTAGACTCTTTCAGCCCTCATTTCCTTAATTCCTCTGCACTTCACTTTCCTTCTCTGTGATATGGGGATTACAACACTGCCTATTTCAAAGTATTATTTTATGGAATAGACAGTGCACACAAAATGCTTACTGCTTACTACATGAAGTGGGACAAAGAAACTGCTCAAATATATCATTATTAAAACCATTAATGTTTTCGATAAGTGGGATTTGTAGAACAGGAGTATTGTTTCAAGTTTAAATGAAAACGCACAACCAAAAATTCAATCCCTACCCAAACTTGAAAATCAGGAAATGAGGGACATTGGTTATTTTGTTGTTGTTGAGGTACCCCAGTACCTAACACGGTATTGGTTAGGTAGTAGCTGCTCTATAGATATCTGTTGCAGGACTATACAGTTGAACAAATGCATGAACAACAGGTGAGTGAATGGGTAACAGGTGCCGGTAAAGATAACTGTTCTTATTCTCATAGTTGGAATAAGCCTGAACAAAGCCCATTCAGGCTGACGAACAAAAAATGTCCTCAAAATGTTGGTCATGTCACTATATTTCTGTATTGTAAAAGTGTCATATGTTCATTTTAGTCAAAAGTACAAACAAGATAAATTATGAAGAACAAAATTTAAATGACCTATTATCATATCACCTAGAAAAAAAATCAGTGACAACCTTTTAGGATAGTCTTTCTTAAAATGAGGTGGACAAACGTGTTCTTGAACATCCGAGAGTTCTGCATAAAAATTTCAAAATTGTCTTTATTCATCTGAGAATACAAAAGAATTAAAGTAGATCTATTTTGGATCTTTGAAGCCGCCTCATAGCCAAATATTTGCACCTTGACTTGTTGGGGCTGAGGTCACTGACCTGCCTCACGCCACAAAGCAGTGTTTCTCAAAATGGGGGGCGTGGCTCCTGGGGCTTTGACAAACATATTCCAGGGGTCTGTGACGTTGCAAGTTTGAAAAACATTGTTTTAGTGTATTTTCTCTAAGTTCATAGTTCTCACGGTCGGGGGTAATTGGACATCCCCTCCCCCAAGGACATTTGGCAAGACCTTGTTGCATTTTTGGTTCTCACAGTAGTGGGGGCAGGGATGCTCCTGGCCTCGAGGGAAGCTGCTAAGCATCTGACAGTGCACAGGACAGCGCCTCACAGCAATGAGGTATCAGCACCGTCAAGGGGGAGAAATCGGCTCTAAGTATATATTGTAGTGTCTTTTTGTTACTGTTGTAGCTTTTACAAAACAGAGCTTATTCTTTTGTAGCCTGTACTTCCTACTCAATCTTATATCATGGGCACCTCCCATATCCGGAAGTCTTCCAATGTATTTTTGGCAATGAGTCATTCTGTTCAATGGCTACACCGTAACTCACCCAACCGCACTGGGGCTCCGGGAGAGACGGGATGGGGTCTGTCATGCTGAATCCCCACACCCCGCACCAGCGCTAGCCTGGCACAGAGCGGAGGCCACAGTTTTTGAACCATTTGCCCACAGTTGTTCAAAGAGCCATTCACCAACTGTTATACACCTTCAGATTTTTCCCAGGAGAGCTGCCACTTTGAAATGCTTTTGGCTTGTCCCCCCTAAGGTTCACGTTTCAGTGGAAGGGAGTGTAGACGTGACAGAGGGAGGGAGTGGGAATTGTGCTCTGCTAAATGCTTCGGTTCCAGTTATTTATACTTTTATTTATATGTGCAATTTGGGATTTTCATGCAGTTATAAAGACAAAAAAATTAGTAATTAAACAAAATTGCTACTCCAGATTAATATATTATCAAAAATGTTCAATCACTTTTTGCTTATGGTGAAGTGCAAATAAATTGATTGGAATTTAGTGTTTCATTTTGTCAGAACTGTCATTTTACAGTCAAGGGTAATGGTGCCATCATAATTCAGCAAAGAAAAAATTCTTAGCCATGAATACGGGCAGCAATGAGATGATGAACCGCCCCCACGGCTCCAGCAGCACATACATTTTAACACCCACGCCTCCACACAAACAGGCATTCTTACCGGGTCTCCCATTTGCCCCTTAACTCCCACGCCAGGATGACCCTGGAAAAGAAAAAAATAAGTCAATCTAATTGCTTTTGAATATTAAAGAAATAAGTACAAGCAAGACTTCTGTTAAAGCAATTGCTTGGAGTTTATTTATCAAATACTTTGGGGAGTCTAGTAAGAGGAAAGACATCACCCTAACAAACATCAGAGGTCATTTATCCCATGGGCCCTGGGCTCGGTTTGTATATTTGACCCATGGTTGCCTACCTTCACACCAGGACTCCCAGGACGGCCCGGAGGTCCCTAAATCAGCAACAAAACACACAAATAATGTATCAGTCACAGAAACCAGAATGTGTCTTTGTTGGTTGTCCCAGGTTCCTCTTCAGGAAACCCTTAATTTTAAAACACCCATGAGGGATCCTCTATCATGGTGGGGTGGGGATGCTTGTTACCCTCTTCTCCGGCCCTGGGAGGGGCCCACGCTTCTAGATCACGGTGGGCTGGTTCATCAGGTGATGCTCTCCCAGAGAACCCTCCTGTGCCTGACCCCAGAGGGAAATTTTGCTTTTCTTGCTTTATTTAAATGCTAGGCCTGGGGTTTTGGAGGGACATGAGCAGGGCTGTACTCACTGGTGGCCCTGGCTCCCCGGGGTATCCCATGGGGCCTGCCGGTCCTCTCGCGCCCCTTGGTCCCTAAACATAAGACAATTCAGTTCATTTGTTACCCCAAATCATAATCAGCATTCACAGCAAGAGCTACATATAATGCCAGGTGGATATAAGTCCAAAGAAATCACAGTTCCGGCATATCCACGCCCTGGAGCATCCTCACAGGAGCTCTGCCGTGTCCGTGGGCACAGTGCTCTGTGCATGGCCAGAGCACCCCGGCAGGTGGGACAAACTCCCACATTGGGTTTAAATTAAGCACCAGAGAGCAATCTACTGACTTATAAATAAATTTTGTAATACTAAAAGTAGGAAGCAAAGAAACCTGTTAGGAGCAACTCCTAAACGCCATGTGTGTTATGACTTTGTTATACAACAGGATGCTTCTCAAATATTAATATTAATTGCATTAATTAACATGAAAAAAACGAATGTATACTCTTTCATATATTTTTAAGCGTGCCCTGATGGTCAGATGAACGTGAACAGAAATGCTGTCCCCAGTTCAAGTCCAAGATGGTTTGACCATGAACAATTTTCTGTAACACATAAGCTTTGTGGCATAATTATACACAGGTTCTCTAGGACAGGTCACAGCTGCCAAGAAGGCTCTCTGTTCTCCCACTGACCTGGCCCAGGTCAAAGGATTTGTAAGTGTGCAGCGAAATTGCTCTCTCCAGGAAGATGGATTAGTACCTAACAGCGACACCAAGGTATCTCATTGATTACACAGAACTGAGTTTCAGGGGTAGTAAGGGAACCAGCTTGTCTACAGCCAGAAGTTACCAAGCAAAATTATAGGTCCACCACTGGGAGGCAAAACTGACTTGAGTTTTAATCTTATAAACATGGGTAAATTAGAAAGACCTATTTAATCATTAAGTTACCAATTTCAAGAAGAGGAAAATGGGGCAAAATATTAAATATAATACATAAGGACTGGTTCAGCAGGAAAAATCATTTCTGCTTGACATTGAGGGCAGGACAAAAGTAGTTTTAGAAGTTGTGAGTACGGGAAACACAGAGTTTATTCTTGTATTATTATCTGTTAATTATTGTATTACTTTTCCATACAAACAACTGAAAAGCTACTCCTGCCCCACCCTGTGGATGAGTTTCCAGGCAGACTTCTCTCCCTAAATATTAAGGGACTGTGGATACCTGAGCAACACCAAAGCATCACTAAAAGATGGAAGAGGAAGGTCACCAGAAGCCTGCTGAGACGCCAGCCCGGCCGCATGGCTGTGTGACTCGTGCAGTCACATAGACTTTCCTGCTTGACGTAAGGCTCTGCTGTCACCGTCTTAACATTCTTAATTTTGAATAAGAAACCTACATTTTCATTTTGCACTGGGTGGGCCCCGCAAGTGCTGTAGCTGGTCCTCCTGTGATACAAACCAGCAGGCTATCAGGGATCAAACAGAGGCGCATGCCCGTTCAGACTTACTGGTAAGCCGGGAGGTCCTGGGTCCCCTCTGTCACCCTGTAATAATGACACATTGCTTTAGAAGACCAGCACCCTTTCCTGAAACACACAGGATGTAAGAGCAGGAACACATGCGGGAATTATTTGGACTAGCGTGCAGTCTGTTCAACCTTCCAGTGTTGAAGGGACAACTGCGGAGGGCTCCGTGGAAGTGATTTTGGGCCTCGGTTCCTGGGCCCGGATTCTGCTTCTAAAGAGCTGAAACAAACGAAGATGCTGGAGTCGTGAGCACAGGGAATCAAGGTGAGATCTCATCTTTCCACTTACAATGTTCTAAATCCTCAACCCAATGGTCCTGTTTCATCACAGTTTAACAGTCTCGGGTCTGGTGGCCAGACCCTGCCTGCCTTTATGGTCCCCTGCTCCTTTTATCCGCCTGGCTGTAGCTGCAGCAGGGAGGGTGTGGAAACTCTCTCCCACCTGCCTCTGTGCGGGTCTACTGCTCGGTGCCTCTGCCCTGAGGCTCCACCTACTTGAAAGGACCAAAGGGCAAACATTCTCTTGAAGGCAGACTTTTTTTTCTAAAATGTAAAATATAACATACTGTGAAATGTGCATTAGGTAAAAGTTTTCATTTTCACTATTTTTAAGGGTACAGTTCCGCAGCATTAAGGACATACGGTCACAGCGCTGTGTGACCATCACCACCATCCATCTCCAGGGCTCTTCCATCTTCCCCACTGCAAACTGCGCCCCTGACAAACTTACCCCCAATTCCCCGCCCCCAGCCCCTGGTGAAAACCATCCTACTTTCTGTCTTTATGAACCTGAGTACTCTAGAAGCCTCATATAAAGAGAACCACATATTGTTGGCCCTTCTGTGACTGGCTTATTTTGTTTAGCACAACCACCTTAGGGTTCATCCATGTTGTAACATGTGTCAGAATTCCCTTCTTTTGAAAGACTGAGCAATACCCCATTGTCTGTATATGCCACTTTCGGTTCATCCATGCGTACCTCACTGGGCACTTGGGTTGCTTCCATCTTTTGGCTGTTGTGAATAGTGCCCGTTATGAACTTGGGTATACACGTATCTGTTTTTTGAGTCTCTGCCTTCATTTCTTTTGGATGTTTACCAGAAGTGGAATGGCTGGATTATATATTAATTAGATGTTTAGTTTTTTGAAGAATTGTCATGTTATCTTGCATAGACATCTCACCTGCAATGCACAAGGGTTCTATTTTCTCCACATAATTGCCAACACTTATTATTTTTCTTTTTTTTTAAGAATAACCATCCAAAGGCACATGAAGTGAATATATAGGTTCTCAAGACCATTGTTTCTCCAAGGCTTTTAATCCTCTGTTTCTCCTTAAGGTGATGAATTCTCTGTATCTATCATCCTTTCTACCTCTCCTGTTCTCTCTTGCACAATTATAAAAAAATACTCCCCATAACTAATGTTGTACAGCAAGTTATAGTTTACGATATGCTGCAATATAAATCATTATAACAGATCATCAGCACTGAGAAGAAAACACGACAGAAAACATTTTAATTTTCTTTTACAAATAAGGGAAATGAGGCCCAGAGAGGTTAGGGGGTGGAAGCCACAGTTGTAGGTGAGGATCAGTTCACTCTTTCTAAAACACCATGCTGGTTCCTAAAGTGGCCCTGCTTTTGATGCTAAGTTTATCAATATGTCATTTAAGCCATACACAAAAGCTTAGTTTTTGCTGCCTAACAAGTATACATAGGCACAGACGTGACACACAAACGCTGTGAGCTCACTGCAGGGATTGGCACTCAGGTGTGCCCGCTCCACGTGGCGTGGACTCAGGGTCTAGTAGAAGCAATCTACAATTAGCCTTATCTAATTGTTGTAGACTATTCTACCTGACAACAAATGACCACGTCTTGAAAATGTTCTCTCTCTCCTTTTGATTTATTATCTTTCTGGCTACCCATGGCTACTCATATTACAGAGATGAGGTGGTCATTCAAGAGTTTATTTCTAAATATTCATATCTTATTCTCCGCTAGGGACACAAAAGCACTTAATTTACCAAGGACAGTGCTATAAGGTTTCCATAATTTACAAGTTCAATAGCGATGACTTCTATTATATGGACATACAAGTATTAATATTATGCTTTAATTACAAATATACAAGTGCTTCTCATCTGGGGAAAAAAAAATATTTTCCTAGGGGACATTTGGTCTTGTCTGGAGATATTGTGGGAGTTGGGGTTGCTACTAGCATCTAATGGGTAGAGGCCAGAAATACTGTTGAACACCCTGCAATTCACAGGTCAGCCCTCATGCAAACAACTATCAGGCCCCAAATGTCAAAAGGGCCAAGGTTCAGAAACCCTGAAAGGGTTGTTGCAACTTGGCCAGCACAGCTGGAAGGTGTGGGAATGTTACACCAGAGCAAACACAGTCGAGTGCCTCCACACAAGAAGCGCGGTGCCGCCGAGAGGGTCCGGGCGGTGACGAACACCGGTGTGCTCAGGGGCTTCCAGAGGGATTCTCAGCCCATGGGAGTCCTACGTGGGTTTACCCACATCGGAAAAAAATTATTTTAAACCCACCATGACCATCATGCTTACCTGAATACCTTTAATGGCACCAAAAATGAACACGGAATTTCCTTTTTCTCCCATTTCCCCAGGAAGGCCCTGAAAATGAAATTATTTACTTAAGAGGCGAGAAAAGCATATTACTGTTGCAGCATTTTATTTTCTTTGTGAAATATTAGTCACCAATAAAATTACCATTATAGTCATTTTTCACCGGTGGAGATATGCTTTTCTCTTTATTATGGAGAATAAACCCTAAGGCTCTCATACATAATTACTCAAAATTCACTTTAAATCTACAAAGACAGAATATCTACTAATACATTTATATTATAAATATATGATATATACATGTGTAGGTTATATACAATAAATAATATATATTACATACTAATATGTTAATAAATATGCATTAATTATTTAGCAGGGAAATCGCATTCTCCTTTACAACATAATATACGTGTATTATTCTTACGATAAATATTTTTGCAGTTGTCAATTAATACTATGCTGTAGAAACAGTTGTTTAAAAATTGACTTATCCCCTTCACTATTTATATTTAAAATAGAGCCTATGCAGCCTTTGTAAGACTAACTTTTAAAAATCAGCAAGTTCCTTTTGTAAGTAGCTGCAAGTGTATTTAGGTTTTTCTTAAGTGAATGAAATACCTTAGTATATCCTCTCTTCCCCCAATTTTTCCTACTTAATATCTTAATATCCCAGTTAATACAGTAATACATCTTATCCGAGTTGCCACATAAAAATTTTAACCATTTTCATGTATCAAGCTCCTACAAAGGACACGCAGATGTCAAAGTTATTCCCACTTAGAAGCGCGCCTGACTTTGCTTCTAATGGGACATACGAATGGTTTAACTGCAAGATCCATCCCCAGTCTCCTTGAGAGATCAGATCGCTTATACAGGGAGTCCTTGCTTCCCACAGTTCCGATGTGCATGGATTCTAGTCCCACAGTTTAGTTAAATAGCACCTGTCCTCCAACTAAACGGTTCAAATTTCAGTTACTGCTGTACATTAATTGAGTAGCTGCATAGAGTACAAACTTCACTACTATCTTATGGGTCCGCAGATCACTCCTAAGTAACAGATATGAATTATGGTCACTAACTGAGTACATTACTGCTTTCAAAGTCTGCAACTGTTCACTGTACACCTGTTAGTTCATACACACACACGAACAGTGAAGTGTATAATTGTGCGAACCCTTATTTCACAGTTATAAATCCAATGACATGTCTTAAGAACAAATCACTGAAAGAGGGAATTAGCCAACGAACATGCAAGTGAAGTGAGGAAATAAAATACGATAATGTTGGAAGGGCAATTCAAACAGAATGGAAATGGAGCGACAGAAGAACTGAGTGTGGACCCTGCTGTCATTTGATGCAGAAGAACTAGTGAAGACAAACCAATCAACCTTAGAAAGAGGGAAGTGTTTGTGACCAAAAGGATGAAGATGAGCCAGAGGCAGTGACACGGACAAAAGAATTTCATGTAAAGAAATTTTTAGAAATATTTCACAACACTGGAAGCTGATCTAAACTTAGAAAAGAATATGCACCAGAGCATAGAAAACACACTTCTCTTACAAGTTACGTGATGAGAAGACCAGCACCGTTCAAACTACTTTTGATAAGCTTTTACAAAGAATCACTTTAATTCTCACTGTCTAGTGTTTTAAATTAGAAGGTACTAAACGTTAGTTTTTTAAAAGTTTTCCTACGTATTTATAACTAAAAATAATCTTTTTAAGGTTTTAACAACACATTTTAAAGGACATAGGACAGTGCTAATTTTTTCCATCGTATGTCAAGCTTGCTCTGTGTGCTTGCAGCGTATATGGTCATTTCTGAGGTCTCACACTACGGTACACAGCGAGGACTGTGTCCGTGCAAGTCGAAGAGAGGTGCTTTGTCAAGAGACCACTGGGGCAAATGTCAGTCCTGTGGCCAGTGCTACGCGCTGTGCTAAAGCTAAAAGAGAGAACCCCTGCGTTCTTGACTATTGATAGATGCTCAGTAGAATGGGGTTGAGCCCAATTGGAAGCTTTAGGAAACGTGGACTCACCAGACTGCCCTTGAGCCTGGCTGGGTTTGGAAACAAGGGGTGGTTGAGGAGCCAAATACTGAAAGCTGGTTGTTCTTACTTGACAGCACGAGAAAGACACGCGTGTGGGAATTTGTTTCGAGTTGTGTGTTCAGAGCAATCCCACTAGCGCCTGGTGCAAAGGGACAGCTCACGCGAAAATGGAACGATTCTGATGGAGGATGAGAAACTCTTTTAGAGGGAGTCTTGGGAGATGTATTTAATTAAGGAAATGGAGGAGCTGAAAAGTAGGCAGAGGAAATCAGTTTCAAAAGTCCAAACCATCTCCAATCTTTACGTGAGAACAAGAAAAAGTGAGAGGAAGGGAATGTGAGGGGAAGAGGAAAGGGTACTTCTTGCTGACGTTATGGTTAAATAAAAGTCTAACATTTTGAAGGAAAAAAATACCTAAGAGCAGTAAAGTGTTCTCAGGTGCCAGATATTGTCAACTGTTTCTGGACATCCATTCCAATCCCCTTCCACGTATCTATTGCATTATGGGGAGTAGAAAATGAAAAACGACATTTCCCAGACCTCTTTGCAGCTGGCTGTGAGTTAGGCTCCGCCTAGGAGAGGCACTTAGGAGATTTGGAGGCAGAGCGTGGACGACATCCTGTTTCTGGTACTATAGACGATGCCCAGCAGAGAGGGAGAAACCTGCGTGTTTGCGGGCGTCCCAACGTGGGGAGGAGAGAGCGGCTGCCTGCCTTCTGGATGTCTCAGCAAACCTTCGAAATCAGCAGTCCCATGAGGGCCTCTGAGTGCCGCTCCTCCACCACTAAAATAGTGCCACATTCCCCTTATTAAACGCCCTTCTGTGTGAAATACCTAGAGGAGTTTAGGGGTCTGCAGTGAACCCTAAATGATAAACAACATAAGCTTTGCTAACAGCCTCCCTGATCCCTATTAAAGCAGCCAGGAGCATCTTCATGGAACACAATTGGGTCATCTCAAGTCTTCCCTAAAACCGTCCAAAGCTTTCATACGGCTTGGGAAAAAGTCCTGCCTCCTTCCCCAGTCTACAAGACCCCAAGTGTTCTGGGGCTTGCCCCACTCCCGCCCTCACCCTCCAGCCCGCTACTGCTGCACACTGGTATTAACGCTGTTTCTTGAACACACGGAGGCTGTTCCCACTGTGGGGCCTTTCACTTAAGATTCCCATTAGGATGGGCTACAGGTGTCCTACCGGGGGGCCTTCGGGGCCTGGGGCTCCCCTTTCCCCTGGAAACCCTGGATCACCTCGTGAGCCGTTGTAGCCATTCATGCCAGGTTTGCCTCTGGGTCCAGGGGGCCCTGGATGTCCCTACAGGAAACAAAATGATAAGTGAAGCTTCTTCTTTTTTTTTTTTCCAAGAATACTGTAACGCAAAGATTATGCAACATCGGTACCCAAATTACGGCAATTTTGACTCACATGCTGCTTAATTTTGTGAAACTTCCCATCTACAAGTGCTATGTAATATAGCAAAAATCAACAAATAAATTTTAATATACCCTCAATTTAAATGTATTCAGTTTGGAGTATTCTGAGAGATTTGGGAGGAAACCTTCCTTTAAATCCATAGAAAGACTGATGAATAGTAAAGCTCCCCAAATACCTCTTCCTTCTCACATTCGGTTTTCATGTTAGAAACGAGAATTTTAAACCCACTTCCAAAGTTAGGACTCACCTGCAAGTGAAAACTTTCATTTTAAGCATACACCTATTTCCAGAACATCCTACTTGACAGGTATCTCTAGCTCATATTTTGGAATGTTTTTCTCTAACTTATTTGAATATCTTGCTATTCAAGGAAAGTGTTTTGATACTGGAGTTATTCTATAGAATTGAAATGCAAGCAGTCTTTTATTCACTGAGATGAGAAAATAGAGAAGAATTATATACATAAAGGTTTTGAGGAGTGTTTCTCCCTTCTTTAAAAAAAGTGGAGAAAATTTAAGGATACTTACAGGTAAACCATCCAAACCTGGAAATCCGGGAACACCAGTTGGACCCTAAAATTCCAGACAAGAAGACAAAGTTATACAAGTTACTGGGTTATTAGACTGACAAGTTGATTTACTTAAAAATATAAATAATTAATGCTCATTTTTTTCGAACAAAAACCCTTAGCAGACATTGTTACCTGTTTACATGAGCTTTAATGCCAACATTTAAGAATCAACATTCTGAACTTTTTTTTTTTTTTGTATTAAGGAAGCCAACATGGCAGTATCAACTCAAAGAAAATATTCAACACCCTGTAAATTGGAAATTCAACTTCTCAGAAATATCTGTCCCAAAGAAACCAATTCTTAAATGTGAACACAAGTGATGTACAAGACTGTTTCTCACACTTCTCTATACAATGTTCGGATAGGGTCTCAAATTCTCATCAGCAAGGAAGAAACGATAATTTTCTCCATTCTATGGCATATTATACAGTATTTTTAGAGGAGTTAGTTCAATCTACACAAATTAATATGGAATGATCTTTAAGCCACATGGTTGGGAAGGAAGGAAGAAAGGAAGGAAGGAAGGAAGGAAGGAAGGAAACAAGGAAGGAAGGAAGGAAGGAAGGAAACAAGGAAGGAAGGAAGGAAGCAAGGAAGGAAGGAAGGAAGGAAGGAAAGAAAGAAAGAAAGAAAGAAAGAAAGAAAGAAAGAAAGAAAGAAAGAAAGAGAGAGAGAGAAAGAGAGAAAGAGGAAGGAAGAGAGAGAAAGAAAGGAAGAGGGAGGGAGGGAAGAAGGAAGGAAGGGAGGGAGGGAGGGTCCAGCATGATTCATATCATTTAGGTTTTTTCAGAAATCGTGAAACAGTACAACTACCCCTCGCCACAATCATGCATTTAAGTGCATAGAAAAGATCAGGAAAAACACGCTCCTCAGGAAAGGTGTTAGGGAAGGAGGGGTGATTACAGAAGAGGAGTTTAGACTTAATTTATTATAAGGTGCAAGTAGGTCCTCCTTGCGACTACTTAAAAAAAGAATTGGCACAGTGCCATCATGAGGTTACTAGGAATCTTCCCCTTCGGAAGCGGTTTACCTTATCTCCTCGTTCACCTGCTGCTCCAGGAGGGCCACTGTCCCCTCGCACCCCTTTCTCTCCTGGAATCCCAATGGGTCCTGGAGGTCCCAGCGGTCCAATAGGACCCTGGGGCCCTGGTGGTCCTGGTTGTCCCTAAGAAGGAAGATTAAAAAAGGCAGGGTGATTCTTAAGTAATGTCTACTAACACAAATATATGGTCACTCCGGCATTGAGAAGATTGAAAAAGTAGAGGTCAGGCAAACTCCAATATAGAAACACAAGTGATCAGTTCATCGCAGAAATAAGGAACAGTGCCATGGTCTTTTTCCACCTGAATTTAAGCAGTATAATCAATTTGAATCACCATATGTATACACAGTTATCTATGAACTGATAATAGTTCTCTTACTATTGTCACTCTGTCGGTGACATTTATCAATCTTGTGCTGTTTTTTTTAAAGCCACGAACTTTAAAAAAAAAAAAAAAACAACCTCCAAGTCTAATTACCATATGTTAGCCACACAAGCTAAGAGGAGTTGGGGGCGGTGCTTGCTGCCAGATCTTTTATTTACTTCAAGTGGCTAATGATTCATCTGCCTTTTTAGGAGGAAACATTCCTCTTTGTAGCAGCTTTTACTTCATTTCTTATTTATAAGAGTGACGTAGGCTGTCCGTGGCACAGCAAGTTCATGCAATGCAACTTCCCTTGAATGAAAAGGTCACCTCTTACTTCAGGTGCGGAGTTTCAGGAGCCAGTTTCCCCCTGAACCCACCACGGGAGCATTTCTGGCACAAAGATGAGAAACTTCCTGCTGCCTGGGATGGACCGAGCCACCAAATTCACGTTCAGTTTCTGCCCCTGAGAAGCAGCCGCAAGTCTCTTGGCTCTTGCCATCCTGGGAGAAGCAGGTCTCGCCTCCAGGAACCACCGTCCCTTGTCCCCAGGGACACTGCTCCCTTCTCTGTCCCAGGCTGCCTTCCTCTTCATAACCATCCTCATCATCCTCATCCTCATCATCCTCAGTCATCATCATAGCTACAATGTATTGAGTATTTAAAAATACTAAAAGCTGCAGGGGCGTCCAAACTGCGGCCTGTGGGCTGCGTGCAGCGCAGGAGGGCTGTGGATGTGGCCCAATACAAAATCGTAAATTTACTTAAAACATTATGAGATTTTTTTTTTTTTGTGCTTACATGTCGCAATGTATTTAATGTGTGGCCCAAGGCAACTCTTCTTCCAGTGTGGCCCAGAGATGCCAAAAGGTTGGACGCCCCTGGAACATTCACGGGAGTTTCAATGTATAAATACGTGTTACAATAAAAGACAACAGTAAAGCACAGAATATAATTACATGAGCACAAACCATTTGGGGGCATTTTGAGGGCAAATCAATTTACTCCAGATTGTGCACAAATTCTCAAAATAAGAATATACGATGACTTCAGCTGGCCTTTCCTACCTACGTTAATTAACCTTACTTAGTTACTTAATTACCGTAAGTTAAAAGTTCCCATTTTTCCTAAATATAGGGCCCAGGAAATAACTGCTTTTTTTATTAAGTTTCAGAACTACCTTTTTATCTTTCATGTAATTTATACAAAAACTCCTAAATTATCTTTTGTGAACACTGTATTATTTAGAACAACAAAATGCATGTTTGGACATGAAAGGGTGAGCGAGAAAGGGACAGCGAATTAACTGGCTATAAATCTCTCCAATGTGCTTCATTTTAGACACACGAGGCCCAGTCCAGTGGGCTAATGGAGAAGGAAAGAAAAGGAGAAGAATGTGTAACACAGTGTAAGAATTATATAACTCTATTCAGTACAGCACTGTGTCCTGATCTGGGAAAGTATCATCTCAAACACTTCCGCAGAGAAATAAACCAGGGATGGCTGTTCGCATATCAAGCTTTCCATCCCCACCCCCTCCCCCGGCCCCTGGTCTGGCGCACGGACTTCCTCGCCATCTCTGAGCAAGCCCCGCTCCCTCACAGACCCTGGGGTCCTGTCCGAGAAGTGTCCCTCCATTCCCCCCACGTCATCTCTCAGGGCCAATCCCCCGTGGGAAGACTCCCCGCTCTCCTGCCCCCACATGCCCTTCAGAATTGGGTGCCTCTCCAAGGTGCCTCTGTAATGACACTTCTCACCTGCTCCTGCGATCATCTCCTTACTCCCAACCCCGCAGCCGGACCTGAGCTCCTGCAGGGCAGAGGCTCGGTGCCCATGGGCAGGGTGCTAGGAAAGGGCACCATAAAGACTTAATAAAATAATACGGTCAGACCCCCACCTGCCCGCCCCAAGAGAAGTCTGGGTGGCAGGAAAAGGAGCCGCTCTCTCGTCTTTCTGAACTGCCATCCCCACAGCTCTGGCTGAAGGGAGCTTTGTGAACCTGCAAAGATGATGATGACAATTCCACCCCAAAGGGAGGGGTTCACCAGCCGCAGCCTGAGCTCTGGCCCTGAACGCAGCGAAGCTGGCGTCCTCTGCTTCTGAAACAGAACAGGACCTTGTACGCCTTCCTTTCAGCCATGTTAAACAGTAAATACAACCTCGCCTTTGCAACTGGAAAAACTAGCATAAAACACTAAATGCCTACATTTCAAAGGTTGTTGAAAAACATCATTGCTTGTTTTATATTTAGTGCTTTTTTCCATATGAACAGGTGTTTTATGATACGGTAAAAATGTTAAAGAAATACATTAAACCTTGTACAACAGTATTAAATCTTTCAGAAAGCTGCGCATGAAAATTTCCCAAATAGCAGTCTACAAAATAGTGATTGTTAGCTCAGCCAATGTGAGTAAATAATTTACCCACAACAGTGTAGACAATAATTCCATTTCATTAAATTACCTCATATAAAAGAGGGGTCGGTGAAAAACAGCTATAATTATGGGTAGATACTTGAGCTTACTTATTTATTGGGCTATAACAGAATTCAGAATAAACAGGCATAAGCAACAGGCCCATAATAGATATATCTATAATAGGAGAAACATTAAGTAATAACAGAAATTTTTTATCTTTTAAAAAATCTGTTTTTAAAGAAACATTCTACTCCTAACCATGCACCCTCCACCCATGAAGAGCAATGTGATATATAATAAATTGCTACACAGCATTCAATCCAACAAAAAGAAAAAAATGTCCCATGGAGTGACTGGCTTCCACACATGATGTCAATTCTTTCTTTTCTTTTCCTTTTTTTTTTTTTTTTTTTTTTTTTTTTTTGGCTATTGTGTGCACAGAATGATCTCTGTGGTTTATAACTTCCTGTGATACAGGGAAATCAGAAAATGAATTCCCTGCATCCAGAAATGTCAACCGTAAACTTGGCAGGCCATGTGAAGCCACCAGGTCATCCTTTCTACTCAAAAGCCAAGCTGACACTGTGTCACCAAGACCAGCGGATGCTCCTCCCCACTGGGGCTACAGCAGCGCCAGGCTCTGGGGCCAGCTGTGCAAATAAAGGACAAAGGCCTTCACGGTGGGCAGGGCACTCCCGCAGGATTCTGTCCTTGTGAATCACCTATGCCAGACATGACTCTGGGACAAGACAAAGATCAAATGATTTTTATTTCACACCTCGGTAGAAGAAGCCAACAGCTAAGAAAACATGTATCTTTCTAAGACCAAAATCTTCAATCAGGCTTTTGCCTTGCCACTGATCTGCTTATGCCTGGGGACCAGATGCTGTCCCCAAACAAGGAAGCTCAGGCTCAGAGAGATGAAGCAAGTGCTAGAGGCCACCTGCCTATCACCTGGGTAAGCAGAAATTCAACCCATTTCCTCTGACCTCAGAGTTGCCGCTTCCCTCTTTACCCCAGTCATTACAACCTCCCGGTCCTACAAACTCCCGTATCCGCCCTGAGACAGGGAGCATCTCAGTACACTTGCCACCTTTTTTTTCATTCTTGTTTTGTGCACGTTACTTCAATAGCTGCTTGCGGGGACACCTTATAGTGCACTTCTTAGGTCAGGGATCCACATTCATCATCACTCAAACCTTCGCCACTGCTTTGCACAGTATAAATTCTACACAGACCCTCAGGTATTGCTGAGTAAGTGAAGACTTTGATAATTTAACAAAGCAGCATTCAGCGCCACCCCTCCTGCTTTTTGAATGCTGGCTTGTAATGCAAACATAAGACCACTAGGTGGCAGGATAACATCACTTACACCCTCAAAGGGCCTCCCGCTGCGCAAATCAATTACCTGGTGCCTCCAGGGTCCTCCCCTATCGCAAGGGAAACGGCTGGAGATCGCGAGAGGTTATAAAAATAAGGAAAGGTGTTACTCAAAGATAAGACAGTGTGAGACTAAACTGCGGTGGCAGACTTTTTCTCGTGCCTGAAGTTCCCTCCTTTGTCCGCGACGGAACCGATTGGTCAGTTTGGCCTGGTGTAGCGCTCACCCAGGATTTTCAGGGGTGCTCCTTACGGGGCAGCGGTGGAAAGAACGCCGCTCAGAACCGGAAGACATGGACTTGCCGCTGAATAATAAGGTCACGCTTGGCCCAAATGGAAGTGTGGTTTTCCCATTTTTAAAAATGGCACAATATCAGCCCAACGTCGTACACCAGCTGCGGGACCCAAAGGAGGCGGCGTTGCGGGGTCTTTTTAGGCTCCCAAGGAGCCAGGCTCCCCCTGACTTTCCCTCCCTCCTCCTTGCGCGGTTCTGCCTCCCGTGTCCCCGTCCCCTGCGCTCTCCGGGTTTTTCTCCTCCATCTGGCACCTGCGCTGTTCCCCTCGAGCGGGTGGCGGGGTCCCCGCGGCTCCGCGGGGCTGCCCTGGCCTCTTCGCACTTCCTCTTGTGCACACTCGTCCACTTTCCCGGCGGTCTACTGCATCCAACTCTGAATAATCACTCCATTTCTCTCGCGAGCCCAGAGCGCTCTTTCTGAGTCCTGGTCTTTTACCCCGCTGACCCCAGGCTCCGTAAATCCAGACCTGGACTCGTTCTCCCCAGGTGCGCTCGCCACCCATCCCTGCGCCCGCAGCTGCTCACACCGCATCAGAGTCCGCCCCAGCGCCTCTAACCACCAGCGCGCACTGTCCCACAGAGTCACCCCTCCTTCCTGTCAGTTCTGCCTCCCAAATATTCCTGACACCTTTCCACTTCCCCCATCTCCACACTCACCCCCTTGCCA